TCGCTATTTGTTGACGTTTGTCAGCGTTTAAGAGCCTTCTCACGAAAACAGCATTTTCTTAAAAATTCGTAGTTTTTTTTCCTTCAAATTTTTTCAGAGCCACAATTGATTAACTAACTACCCGGACTCTGACTTTCATGGTCATTGAAATTTGAAAAACTGTGACATTATCTTCTCTAAGCCCAGACTTGAGTAAACAAGATCAGAAAGGACTGGGCAACAAAATTTACATCAGTGGATGTGGCTGTGAAAAAATCTACACCATTTATGTTGGCGTCCGAATCATCAACTGACGTAGAAACCCTGCAGATGGGATGGGCACTAAGCAAGGCCCACGCAGGTTCCATCCGGTTTTCTCGTGAGGTTAAAGAATATCTTACAGCCAAGTTTGAAATTGGTGAGCGAACTGGCCGCAAGGCGGACCCTGTTCAGGTTGAAAAGGATATGAGAACAGCACGGAATGTGAATGCCAGGGTCCAGTTCAATGAATTTCCGCGCAGCGTGGGGTCCTGGGAAGGACGTGGAAACTGTAGTAGCGTGGCCATGGTTTCTCAATTCTCTTAGCTGAAATGTGTTGAACCATTTTTGTCAGTGCGTTTATGTTAAGCTGAAGAAGAAAATGTATCGAAGTATGGCGATTCAATGTTAATTACATCGAACTTTACAGAAAATGTTAGGAAACAACCGTGTCACGCTCGCAACTGATGACGATCTCTATTACTTTTATACAAACTAGATAAAAGATGCCGTTGAAGGACAGGTTTTAAACAAAAATTCTATGTTTTTAGAGTTAAAGCGGCTACTTCAGGAGCAAAAATATCCTCTACAAAAACCAAGAGGGACATTACAACCTAAGAAGTTAATAAACAAGTGAACGAGCTAGTATTTGTTCAGGTCATCACCCAATGCAGGAGAACTGGGGATGAAATACAAAGTCACGCATTTTTCAAGTTTGTCAGAAGACTTGGTTAAAACGCTTTGTCAGCGACTCATCGCGTCGTATTTGCAAAGGAACGTGTTTTATTTGCCCTACAAATTTCATTGCGATGTCTTGAAGAGTATAATCTCAATGAACAAGATTGCACCCAACTAATTTTAGCAAAAGATCTTTCAGGACAGTGTCACGAACCAGTCACGCTCGCGGATGGCTGCCATTTTATAAACCAGATAACTTCTTTAAACGGACAAAGGACATGGAATCAACGGCCAATATAGTTTCAGATGATTGAGAAATAACCTTAAAATGTGAAAGAACTTGGATAAGATATATCACACCATCAAATGAAGTTCGACCTTGACAAGCAGATCGACAAGGCGAGTGTTCGTTAATTATCTGGTTTACGAAATTTCTGGAAATTCAAACGGCGGTCTCTTCTGAAAACGTGGAGAGCACAAAAATGTTATTCCTTTTTGTGTTTTTCTATCATTCCTAGATTGTATTCATACAGATAGCGAAGTTCAGACAGGTGCCACACTTTTTAAAATTACCCTCAAAGTTGAGCTACTTTCGTGTTTTGATGGAAAGCCGAAAACACGTGCTGGGGAAAAAATCATTGCCGTTGAAATAAACAAATACTTCGAAACTGTGATATGGCTAGGAAATCTACAGTGGTGTATCTGTATACGGAAAAGAAAATCATGCTTTTTGAGCGAGTTGTTCGTTTTCTAGAGCGCGGTCAATATTAGCGATTTTTGCAGTTTGAAAGGCTATGACGCCAGCGCTAATCGTCCGGAAATTCAAAAATTCGTAAAAAAATATATTTATCACTTTCGGTCAAACGAAATGTATTTTTGTAACTACTAAGGTGAAGGCTTTAATATCCCAGAATATAAGGGAAATTAATTTTTTGATCCGAAATCACTGGTCGGTTTTTACGGAGACACGCTCTTAAATATGGAGACTTTATAAAAGACCGTAGAAACAGCCTCGAATAAACTGTTCGACATCAATTGGTGTGTAATTCACAAGGAGTTGCTTATAAACGTGGGTCTGATACTCCCAATGAAAACTTAACCAAAGAATGCAATCATTAACTAAAAGAAATACAATTACATTGACCGGAATTTAATTGTTATTCTTTTTTGTCACTCTTTATAGACTCCATCCGCGGTAGAAATCACTAACCAAACATTTAACGGTAGTGTGGTGTCTTGCAGGTAACTCATTATGGCCTCATCACCATTACATCGCCATTAACATCTTAATCTTTAAAACTATTAAATAAAAGTGTTTAACACAATATTTAAATGAAGCAGGGGATTAGGAGGTTGTCCGGGAAAACTCTTAGAACTTGAAAGAATGGCGATTCAGCTGTTGGGACATGATATTTCAGAGAAAAATTACTCAACACCCCTTTAAAGGGAACCTCCACTCTTACTACAGAATAAGTTTAAATCGAATAAAATTATGTTGATAAACAAATTTGTTCGAAATTTGTCTTAAAAAAAGTGTTTATATCAGGAAAAGTGAATTTTAAAATCGCTTATTTTCACTTTCAAATTTCGCGGGCGCCGCCATCTTGAATAATTGTGACGTGTTACGGTTGCTCTATTGTTCTGACACAAAGAGCTTTTGTTTAATAACAATAGGGCAACCATTACACGTCACAATGATTCAAGATGGCGACGCCCGCAAAATTTGAAAACAAAAATAGGCGAATCTAAAAGTTATTTCTTTCGGATACAAACGCTTTCTTTAAAAATATTTTAGATTGACTTGACTGTAACAGTTATTTCCTGTGATTTAAAGTTATCTTTTTGTTGAAGTGGAGGTTCCCTTTAACACCAGAGCCTAACCAAATACTATATGCAAAATTCACCGCACAGGTTAAGGGAAGTTGGTATTTCTTAAGACTGCTGTGATTTTGCATATTTTTTATTATATTGGTACATGCTACAGGAATTTAAGGGTTGCCAAAAGAACCCGAAAATTCAGGAAGAAGCGTTGGTATATGGTGTATTGTGTAAAGAATGCAAATATTTTTTGTCTTATGTCTCCTTTGTATAGTTCAGGTTTTAGTCATGTTTTTGTTAGGCTAGGAATTGTTTGAACAGTTCAGCAGGTGTGACGACCTAGTAGAATATAGGACGGTGTAGGTGGTGAATAATGTTAAGTCCAGTAACGGTACTCCATACCGGTATACGACTCTTTACGACGTCTAAAACAAAAAGCAACAAACAAAAAAACAATCATATATACTATTCCTCCATTGTTTTGCTTCGAGCGTGTACAAACCAAAGATTGGTTACAGACAAGGGCTCATTGACTTAACGTAGTCTAATTCAATAATTTTGGACGTAGCAAGAACTTAATATATAATAAGTAATTATTTTAATTGTGAGTGTAATTGTTTTATAGAATAACGAGGGAGCTAGATCCGGGCATTGCTAATTTTAGAAATCTACGCCAGGATTGGTTCCTTTTAGGAGCAATCGGAGATTTGAGTGGTGAGCATCCTATATTTATCAATCACTTAATTCTGAATTCAGCTGAAAGACCTCTGAAGCGCGCACAAGGAATATTTTTGCAACTAGCATCGAATTCTACACTTGTCGGTGCACGTACTTAGTTCAACAACTTTTGAATTTTATTGCCACATTTTTGTGGCAAAAAGCACTATCAAGTATCAAGCTGCGTGCAAACGGAAGCAACAACTCCCAACATGGTTGGGCCAGCAAAATTGGGAGCTGTTGCGTCCGTGTTGGTAGCGGTGTGCAAATGCGGATGCAACAACTCCCAACAACGTTAGCCTATCACGCGTGTTGGTCTATCACGCGAAGTTGCTGCATTGTTGTCTCCAAGGAGACCATAAGTAATGCACGTGCGTGTCCCCAACAATGTTGGAAGAGCTTTAAAAACGGTCCCAACATTGTTATTCTGCTTTGCCGTGATCACGGAGCAAAAGAAATATTGGGAGTTGTTGGCTCAAACGTTTGACCAGTTTCAAACTTTGCGCAACAACTCTCAACACCACTCAACAACATGCAACAGGGGGTGCAAACGAATGCAACATGTAGATATCCAGCAATTTTGGGAGTTGTTGGCCAACACTGTTACGTCCGTTTGCATAGGGCTTTACTTTTTAAAACGATTGCTGACTAAAATAGCTGCAGGGAAACTCATGTTAGGAGTGGTTCACGAAGTAGTGTCTCTTGAAACACATCTTCCGGCTGCAACGCAGCACAACTGCGATACTTAAGATGCTAGCAGGACGTGATAAGGGAGGGCACGTTAGAGGAGCAAGTCCCCTCGAGTGAGAAATTCAGTGTTTCTTCTCAATATTGCGTGATTGCGTGGAATGCATTGGTAAAATTTTTGTGTCAAGGAAAGGGGACAAAATGGCCTAAATGCTCAGTTTACACGATAAAAAACCTTTGAAATGTGACCATTAGTGTGTCCCGGCCCTGCTCAAGGAAAGCTGTCTTGTATTAAAGTTGATCAGAATGACAATGGAAATAATAATGGTACTGATAATTGAAATGGAAAAGGTATGGTAAATTATGCAGGAAAGCGATTACGATTTATGGATTTACATAAGCTTTTACGTTGTAACAACAGGTGCTACTATCGGGATTCATTCAGTTAGACGTGCTTCAAGTTCTAGAATCAACTTGCTGACAAGTGAAGTGGGAAGTGGAGGAACAGTTACGCCGACAAGTTTCTCGTCGACGGTACGGTTGTACTTTATTTTTCTGCCATACCAAATGAGTAAGCAACTACGATGAAAATTATGGCAGGCATAATAGTTTCTTCCCCACCCTCCTCCCTCCGCTTAGTTCGGTTGCTAGTTCATATTATATCAAGTATAGCGCAAATCAGAATAGAAAGAAGCATGTAAGATTTTGAATATCTTAAATGTTATGTATGCCATGCGGACTACCTACCCTGCCAATATGACAAAAACAGTACTTTCAAACTAACACATAAATTGTAAAACACGCGTTATTTGTAATCTGTCTCTTTTCAGGAGGCCCCTACTATACAGCAAGGAAGCTTTAGGTTTCCAGATAATTGCCCAGATGCAGATTGTGATTTTCTTGTAACTTACCAAGCTTCTGGTGCTAACGGTGTTGTTTTCGAGCTAAGAGGCAGAGGAAACTGGGCAGGAGTGGGATTTAGTGAAGATAATCAGATGGTAAGCAACCAAACTGTACAATGGTCTGGCAGAAAAGTATTGCATTCACACGCAAATTTGGCTGTTATTAAAATGCTCTCCAAGAGCCGGTCTTAATGGTGTGGAGGCACTCCGGGCCAACTGTTAGTTATTTAGATTTTTTTTTACAGTTAAAAGCTACGCTTAGTCACCATCCTCTCCGTTACGATTAACAAAAAGCTAAAAATATCGTTAGCTGTTTGAAAAGATCAAAATGAATTTCCATTGTTGAAAATTGATACACAATTCCAGTGGCATTTTGTGCTAAGGAAATTTTTTACGGTAAAAATTTTTTTAACACCGATGGCTCAAGTCCACCAAGCCTGGACTCCCCCTCTAACGGTTAAGATTTTCCAACCACTAAACTTTTGGCCGTTTTTTCCCTTACCTGAATCTTATCTCATTGTCCACAGCCTGATACCGACATACTTATTTGCGCCAGCGATACCTCACTAAGTGGCCATTATTACGCATCCGGTAGAACAAGACCAACTAGGACAGATCCGGTAAGTCAATTGCTGTTTTTCATTGACTATATGGTCTCCTGAACGTTGCTAAACATTATCCCTTGCCTTTAATTAGTTTTCATCATTTTTTTTAGCATTTGGTTTCCCCAAGTTAGTGTAGCCGCTTTCTTTGCTTCCCTTTGATTCCAAAGCTCATCACCATTATCGTTTTTCTCTAACTACAAGCACGTGTGAAATTTTGATTTTCATGTTTTAGAGATTTTAACCCACTCAGTAGTAAAAACCGCATATTTTTATACAGTTTTATCACTTAAGTAAAATAAAGCAATCAATGTCTCGTTTAACAGAACGTTTTGTTTTACAATTTAAAAAAAAGGTGACTGAGATACATGATATAAAGAAAACATGAAGCCGATCAAGCAATTTAACGAGGTACCGCGTTGAATCAGCAGATCAACTCACACTTGCCAATATTTTTATTATTTTTGTAATTTTTGATAGACTCCACTCGCTGTAGAAATCGCTGACCAATCATTTAATGGTGGCGTGGTGTCTTGCAGGTAACTTATCATCATCATCGTCATCCTTATCATAGACCTCATTATCAATGAAATCATCATTATAAATTGTTGTCATGATTATCGTATTCTCAAAACTATTGTACCATTTAATGCAATTATGCAAATCAGTGAAGGGTATAGGGGACCGTTAGATTAAGGATTATTAATTATATGCAAAATTCACTTCCGACCTTGTAACAGAATTTGAACGCGAAATTCACTTAGTATTTGTTTTTTAAAATTCCTGTGATTTTGCTGGGGCTAGCCTCAGGTACATGCTGAAGAATGCAAATCTCTTTTGTCTTTATGTCTCCTTTGCAGGAGCGTACATACGGCTGTGCGTACAGCTGAAATCCGAAAAAAATTATTTAATTCTTGAAAGCATTTCTATGATCAATAATCGGGATTACTCAATAAAGATTATTATTATTATTATTATAACACTAGGCCAAACGTCGAACTTTTCATGACACGAACCAAACGGTAATTTGGGTCGACCTAAATTAAATTAAGATCGTCTGTCGGGTCAGACGTCGAACTTTACTAGGACGCGTCGAACCAATAAACTGAATCAGACCAAAGAAGTAATCTAATAAATTTTCCTTTGTCCGGCGACGATCTTTACACGTTCTATCGGCTCTGATTCAAGCAGAAGAATGTTGTTACCTGTTCCACAGGTAATTTGTCTCGAGTTATTTTTAGAATCGGGATAAAGTTAACTAGCGCGCTGCGTAGATTTTTCGTGGAGGTTTCGCATGACTAAACGCCGTGCAAAAAATGTCGGGCGAAAGGCAATGAACGCGTAAGGAGATCGAGAGCATTCCTGAATATCGACGCGAAATGAGTCGGCGCTCGCCTGGGAAAAGGGAATCGCTGAACTCTTTGACAACCCGTGAAATCAGTTTAACTCGAAGTTGTCCTAACCTCAGTGCTTTAATAACATGAGAAATTTCGCCGGTCTGTTGAAACCGGTCGTTTGTACAATAAAGCAAGTAGGACGCCAAGTGTTATTTTTGTTGAATAATAAAAGACTAATAAAAGAATAAATATCAAACCAGAAATTGCTCTCTTCAAACTGTAAATTATAAATGATCCTGAGAGAATACTCAGTGTGTTAAGGATTTCCCTGCTATACTGTTAACTCTATACAAGAGAAGAAGGGCGATTCTTTTTTTAATTTCCATTTCGCTGACACAAAAATCTCGCTGTAGTCGTTTTTGTCGACAAAACGAATAGCAATATTGCTCTCCGCGTCTTCCGCCATTTTGTTTTTCGTCAATTCGTTCAATGTGTTCCGCGTGGGTCATCCACGTGGAACACATTCGCGCTATGTGATTGGCTGTTGTCTATTCCCCCTTGGGATCTGCGGTCTTAAAAATAACTCGAGACGAATTACCTGTGGAATAGGGTGTGTATGGGGGATGCCTTCTCTGTCCCCTTTATCCTTTCTTGTCCAAACTCATTCAGACGAACTTAACTCTGAGCCAGACGTCGTACTTTTCATGAACTTAACTCTATAAGTTTGGTTCGTCTCATGAAAAGTTCGTCGTTTGGCCTAGGCCTTACAGTGGGGTGAAAAACAAACATACAAAAGTTGTACCCTCTCCCTGCCCCTTCACAGTGTCAGTCTCATCATTTCTCTTTGTATTTTTTTTACTGAAAATGTCCTGCAAGGAAATGGCATGTTTGAAATTATTGATTTAAATATTTTCGGGGGGACTAATTGCCCCCAGACCCCCTAGTTTAATAGAGCGTCTTTGGCTCTCTAACTTTCTTCCCGTGCGTACACAAAATCTCACGTTTCGACCCTGCTTTGCAGTTGGGTTTCGATAAATTTTTGTTAGGATAACAGGGGATTATCCGTGACGATCCAGATCAGTGGTGATTTTTTATCGCAATGGAGTTACGATATTTATTTACTGGTAATACGACCATTTACGACATCTCAAACAGATAAACATACGCCTCGTTCACTGTCTTGCTTAAGCCTACTCAAGCCAAAGATGGGCTACGAGGTCGTCCAAGAGAGAACTCTTGAACTATAATATCATTTTATACTTTACGCGCATAGGTATTGATGTCAATTCCACCACCATTTCCCAAAATGTAGCCTACTGATGTCAGTTATGTTACTGTTTTATAGGATTACAAGGGACGTAAACCCAGGATTAGCGAATTTTAGAAATCTTGAAGATCAGCAGTTTCTTTTGGGAGCAATCGGTGGTTTAAGCGGTAAGCAAGAGTAGATGCTGAACTCACATTTGGTCACTATTTGGGGGCGCTATTTCAGACTTCCTGAAAAAAAGAAACAGTATCCTACAGCCAAGATCATATTTGCGTTACTGCACAGTCCTTATGCTTTCAGTTGGGTTTAGTACAGAGTTAAAGATTAAACAATAAGAGCAGTATCATTTATGACATTTATTAGTAATTATCATTATCATATTAATCAGAAAAATATTAAAGTTGATCAGAATGACAATGGAAATAATAATGGTACTGTTAATGGAAATGGACAAGGTGTGGTAAATTATGCCGAAATGACGATACATTACGATATATGGATTTACATGAGCTTTTACGTTATAGCATCAGGTGCTACAATCGAGCTTCATTCAGCGCGACGTGCTTCAAGTTCTAGAATCAACGTCCGGACAGGTGAAGTGGGGAGTGGAGCAACAGTTATGCCGACAAGTTCCTCGTCGACGGTACGATTAACATGTACTTTATTTGTCTACCATACCAAATGAGTAAACAACAACGATGAAAATTATTGTAGTAAAAATAGTTCCCCTCTCCCCCCTCCCCTTCCACGGGTACAATTGTATCAGTACAAACCTGCTCATCCCAACTCTCCTTCAACTCATTCTCATAGAATAAAGAGAGAAAGAAATAGCTTCAGTATAGTTTGGTTGTTATTTCATATTATAGCAAGTATATAGAGCAAATGAGAATAGAAAGAAGCATGTAAGATTTTGAATATGTTAAAGGTGGCCAAGATGCCTGTTGACGTCGCGGGTTTTATATGCCATGCGGCTTCCTATTCTGCCAGTAAGACAAAAACAGTACTTTCAAACTAAGACATAAACTTTGAAACACGCGTTATTTGGAATCTGTCCCTTTTCAGGAGGCCCCTACTATGCAGCAAGGAAGTTTTAGGTTTCCAGATAATTGCCCTGATGCAGATTGTGATTTTCTTGTGACGTACCAAGCTTCTGGTGATAACAGTGTGGTTTTCGAACTGAGAGGCAGAGGAAACTGGGCAGGAGTGGGATTTAGTGAAGATAATCAGATGGTAAGTAACCAGACTGTAGAATGGTGTGGTAGAAAAGTAATTGCATTCACACGCAAATTTAGCTGTTATTAAAATGCTCTCCAAGAGCCGGTCTTAATTTAGTGGAGGCTTCCGGCCAACTTTTAGTTATTTAGCTTCTTTGCAGTTAAAGGCTAGGCTTATTCACCATCCTCTCCGTTACGATGAGCAAAAATCTAGGAAAATTCGTTAGCTGTTTGAAAAGATCAAAATGAATTTCCATTGTTGCAAAGTGATACACAATTCCAATGGCATTTAGTGCTTAGGAATTCTTTTCACGGTGAAAAGTTTTTCAACACTGACGGCTAGAGTCCATCTGGGCTCCCTGTAACGGTTAAGATTTTCCAACCACTAAACTTTTGGCCGTTTTTTTCCTTACCTGAATTTTATCTCATTGTCCACAGCCTGATACCGACATACTTATTTGCGCCAGCGATACGTCACTAAGTGGCCATTATTACGCAACAGGTAGATCAGAACCAGCCAGGACAGATCCGGTAAGTCAATCGCTGTTTTTCATTGACGTCAGACGATACGATCTCCTGAACGTTGCTAAACATTATCCCTTGCCTGTATTTAGTTTTCATCATATTTTTTTAGCATGTGGTTTCCCCAAGGTAGTGCGGCCGCCTTCTTTGTTTCTCTTTGATTCCAAAGTTCATCACCATTATCGTTTTTATCTAACCACAAGCACGCGCGAAATTTTGATTTTCATGTTTTAGAGATTTTAACCCACTCAGTAGTAACAACTGCATATTTTTATACAGTCTTATCACCCAAGTAAAATAAAGCAATCAATGCCTCGTTTGACAGGACGTTTTGTTTTAAAATTTTAAAAAAAGGTGACCAAGATACATGATATAAAGAAAAAATGAAGCCAATCAAGCAATTTAACGAGGTACCGCGTTGAATCATCAGATCAACTCACACTTGCCAAACTTTTTATTATTTTTCTAATTTTTGATAGACTCCACTCGCTGTGGAAATCGCTGAACAATCATTTAATGGTGGCGTGGTGTCTTGCAGGTAACTTATCATCACCATAGTTATCATTATCATAGACCTCATTATCAATGAAATCATCATTATAACATGTTGTCATGATTATCGTATTCTCAAAACTATTGTACCATATGATGCAATTATGCATATCAGTGAAGGGTATAGAGGACTGTTAGATTAAGGGATTATTCATTATATGCAAAATTCACTTCACATTTTAACACAATTTGAACATGTAATTTATTTAGTACTTGTTTTTAAAACTCCTGTCATTTTTCTGCGATTAACGTATTTCCTTATTCTTTTACTATTCCATAAACGGACGGCAAGAAACCCTAACCGGCCCTAAGCCAAACGTCGAACTTTTGATGAGACGAACCAAACTCTAATTTGGGTCGACCTAAATTAAGTTAAGATCGTCTGTTGGGTCAGACGTCAAACTTAGGATGCGTCAAACCAATCAACTGAATCAGACCAAAAAGCAGTCTAATAAATTTTCTTTTGTCCCGGCGACGATCTTTACACGTTCTATCGGTTTGATTCAAGCAGAAGAATGTTGAACGATCCAAACCCATTTAGACGAACTTAACCGAGCCAGACGTCCAACTTTCAGTCATGAACTTAACTCTGTAAGTTTGGTTCGTCTCATGAAAAGTTCGACGTTTGGCCTAGGCCTTGCATTGGGGTCAAAAACAACGTAAAATTGTAGCCTCTCCCTGCCCCCTCAGAGTGTCAGCCTCATCATTTTTCTTCGTATCTATTTACTGAAAATGTCCTGCAAAACGCTGGAAATGGCATTTTTGAAACCATTGGTTTAAATATTTTCGGGGGGACTACTTGCCGCCAGCCCCCTAGTTTGGAGCGTCTGGGGCTCTCTAACTTTCTTCCCGTACGTACACAAAATCTCACGTTTCGACCCTGCTTTGCAGCTGGGTTTCTCGATAAGTTTTTGTTTGGATAACAGGAGATTATCCGTGACCATCCAGATCAGTGGTGATCTTTTTATCGCAATGGAGTTACGATATTACTGGTAATACGACCACTTACGACACCTCAAACAGAAAAACATACTTCTCGTTCACTGTCTTGCTTAAGCCTACTCAAGCCAAAGGTGGGCTACGAGGTCATCTAAGAGGGAATTCTTTGACTATCTACTCATCTAATCAAACTATTTTAAATTTTACTTGCATAGATACGTAAGTCAATCCTACAAATATTCCCCAAAATGTAGCCTAGTGATGTTGCAGTTGTAGTGATGTTGCAGATGTTCCATTATAGAATTACAAGGCAAGTAAACCCCGCGGGATTAGAGACTTTTAGAAATCTAGAAGAGCAGCAGTTTCTTTTGGGAGCAATCGGTGGTTTAAGCGGTAAGCACATATCTGATACGTTAATTAGCAAATTTAAATTTCCAAATTACGAGGTTAATCAATGGAATACATTTTAACTTGTCTTGCATTATTCTGGAGCGCAGCATTTTTATTAGGGACAAATTTCACTTTCGGCTTGCTTGATTCACTGAGTAACTTCTCTTGGAACTTGCCTCGCATGTCGCCAAACAATTTTGATCAATTATAGGACAAAAGGAATAATGCTCGTACAACGACTTGTAGATTATAATTGTTGCCGTATGGATAAGATATAATGGAACAGGATGTAATGTTTTTCAGGGCTCTCATATCTTGTAAGCTTGGGCTACTTGGTTTCAAGCTATTTGTCTTGGTCAATGGAACCAATTATTGGGCACACTGACATCTAGCTGCTGAGGACTTTCAGTGCTAAACCCCTTTTTGGTTGTCTTAGACATAGTTGACAGTGGTACTTCAGATTTACAAGAGCTTCTGTCTGTTTAACAGGTGCCACAATCGGGATTCATAGCGCTAGACGAGCGTCGGCTTCTAGAATAGATGTAAGGTCAGGTGCAAATGCTGCTGGAAATGACGCTATAGAGGCAATGGTCCTTGCTCACGGTATGCTAATGACCATGGTTGACTGAAAAGCCAATCATGTGGTTTTAAATATTAACTACGAGTCACAGGGCTAATAGGGATTTTAAGCAAATCGGTCGGTGGCGTAATCGCTGCTACATGAGTATAAAATTCGACTTTCCCCCTACCATTTAGATCACTGGTTTTAAAACCTATCAAAGATCGTTTTTCACTTTATCAAGAAAGTTTCTGAAGCTTCTGGTTTTCCAGTAATTACATCCTCCCCGTGTGTAATTAACAGCGACAACAGGGGAGGTTGGACAGCAGATCGCAAAGGATCATGGGACGAATTATTAAGTAGCTCAGTTACAACGAAACCGTCGAGCTAGACGGACCACCGTGATGCACGCCTTTTTGCCGATTTTAGCCATAATTGTGCTAGAATTCTGAATATTTTCGCACAAAAAGTTTATCGTATCAAAGATGTTATGAATTCCTCACGGCTAAGCTGTTGAGATGCCTTTAAAACAAGTCATTTGACGTCGTCGAAAGTTAGTCGGTTTGTGGCTTGCAAACAAAGCGAGCTGTGTCAACTAAGTGCGTTCACCTTTCTAGACAGCGAAGGTTATTGCGAATACACATTCAACTGACCGCTTAAGAATTCGAATGATGGTTAGCCAGGACTTGAAAATCTGTGGTATGCCTACTCGCTGCAAAAAAAACCTGTTAAAATATATAAATACCCTGGAGAGTAACAGATCTGATTAATTTTCAACGTCTTTGAATAAGAAATCTGGAAGAATAGAAAAACTAAAAGTCAAATAACTTTGCTACAAAAAATATCAGTCAGGCATGTAGTCAAAGATTAGTTTCATAATTATGTACTTTATGATACATGTAGGACAACAACCGCTTTGATTCTTTTACTACATTTATAAGCTGGCATTTTTTATTCTCCTTCTGAACAGTTTAACTTCATAAAAGGTAATAATATGCACGGTATGTTTACCAAATCTTAGAAACAATTATTGTATCAAGCAATAATGAGTTATCTATTGTTCAGGATGTATCTCTTTGGCCTTGTGCTTGTAAATCTAGAAAGAAAAGAAATCACAAGAAAAACTTGATTAGGAATTTCCTCCAGCGTCCCAAACAAAATTAAAAATCAAATAGAGTGTACTTGCACACTAGCTCAATGTTATTACTGTAGCCTTACACACTACAGATTTATAGGCAAAATCAAACGTGGCCAAATATGCTCCCAAAACTGAAGAGAGCTCATATGAACCCCATTTGAGCGATGACACTCAACTTAATCTACGTGAGAAAACGATAAACTGTACTCACTATTACCAAAACTAAAATGACGAAGACTGATTGTGACGATTTACGATGAGAATGTTTCCCCACGTGAGGCCGACTGAAGTGTGATTCAAGTGTCACACATCGCATCATTACCTCTGCACATAACATGCTTTAAATGGAAAATAACTCGAAAACGGTAGGAGGGGGGGGGGGGGGGGGGAGAGAAGGAGGGGCTCGACCGTACAAACTGGAAGATCAATATTTTTTCTTAAAAGTTTTGTGAAAAGTAGACCAATAGAGGCATGGAGAAGCGAAAGATTCGCACTTCAAATTGTATCACTCAAACCACTCAAGATGAGCAGCGGCTGAGCCATTTTGGAATGTTGAGCATAGCTCGATGAAAAAAAAAAAAACAAATCCACTCACCTTAAAGATTTTCGCATCGATACAGTCAAGAGGGCTAAGCTAAAACAGCAGAAGAATTTCTTCACGAATCGATGACGGAAAAAGAGGGAAAAAAAACGAAATTATTGAGGCGAACTATGCTTGGAATATTCATCTCACGATCTACAGCAAGATGGCTTTTCTCAATCGTGATTGGTCGAAATTGCTCCCGTGAATCTTTGCAAACTGCTCTCCAACCTCTTCTGCAGCGACAACAAATAAGTGTGAAACCCCGTGGTCACTGTTTGGACGCCGCGCTACGGTGCTAATAAACTCGATTTATTTTGACATAAACTCTAAAGTATATAGTCACGGAAAAAGCAACGGAACTGAATGTGATATACCACACTATACACACACCGTGGCTTTTTTTAATCATGGTGGCGAGCTGTGCATCCGGAGTATTCAATCGATAAAAATCGGTATCGATGTATCAATCGATAAATTCGATTTGATTGACATCGATTGTATCGATCAATCAGTAGAAATCGATGACACACTCGCTTCGTTCATCGATTAATATATAGATTTAGCCAGGGCTAAAAGCGAAGCTCCAATTAATAAATTTATAATTTAAATCAAAAAATAAACTTTTAATCCACAAATCATTTAACTTAAGGGCACATTCATGTGACTTTTGAGGGAAAGGCTAAGTTATTTTAGAGTGAAACATCTTACATCGAATTGATAACCTTATATGTACACCCAAAAAATAGCAAACATCTTCGATCACATTCAAGATCACAGTAGATTAGGCCTCGAAAACAAATTCTTGGAAAACAAATCACGCCGAATTTTTTTGCGTTCGACAGGTTTACTCTACAAATTCTTGCCAACAAATCTGGGGGTGTTTAAACCAACCTTTTATAATTTTTATACATCACATTTGAGGTGAAACAGTACTATTTATCATACAGACCTCGGACAGAATGCAGTATTTCACAATTTTTCAAGACAAATTGCACTCAGTCAATATTCAGGACGATCAATTGTAAAGCGAAACCGTTTAAAAATTTCCAAAATCACCCATATGGCCAGCCGGTTCTCGTTTCTATAGTGCGAGCTGTCAGTGTGGTCGAGTGTTTGAATGAACTTTAATAGAGTTAAGCTTCAACATAATAGCGAATTTATTATTTTTTTTTTGTTATTTAATGGTTTCAGTTATAACGATGTGTAATCTTATAAAGCGTTTGATACGCGCGACATTTTTGAGTACCCCTGCAAGCGATGTTCATGAACGATGAAAACAAACGGCACAGACAAGCGATTAAAATTGCAAGAGAGACTACTAACAATCAAAAAAAGAAATATAATTCGGTGAAACATTTACAGAGATAACAATTTTCATTCATGAAGACAAGTATTAAAGTGTCTCTAAAAATCCTGAGTCTCGGCATGAAGCTTTATAAGCCGGCTTCTCGGCGCGGGTGTTTACTGTTTTCCAAGGTGAACTCCTCGAAGCAAGAAAATCGCTCAAAGTTTTCTTTCTACAGCCAAATTTATAACTAAATATAAAACGTTTTCTTTCTATCTGTGGTGAGCAAATATATCTGAAGGCTTTTTAAAGTTCAGAAAGCTTATATCAAACGGTTCAAACCTGATACTAGGTCAGATCATTGACTCAAACTACGGCTACAAACGTGCATAAACTGTCAGTGTGAATGTGCAAGACTTCATGAAATTAGATATAACAAAAACAAACATCAAATACAATAGTTACTCAGGCTTACCATTCGAGATTCAGTTCCTGAAAGCTATCAAGGAAGGCCACAGTTGCTTGAGACTTTTAACCCCTCAAACGCATTAAGCAATGTGAAAAACGAAAACGATGCCATCCGAAATCGAATTACCAAATTTTGACAAGCGACGCGTTCCTCAACCAAAAACCCAGTAAACAAACCAGCCATGAATAACAGAAGACTCTTGATAGCAGCTGTATTTCATTTTGTACATCCAGAACAAAAAGACAGTTAAAAACATCACACGTTGACACAAAACTCTTCAGCTTCAGCTGTCAAAGTAAACAATTTTCAAGATGCTGCATAATTTTTTCGCATGAACTCACCTGTCAAATTTTGACCAATCAGAGTATAAAAATTGGACGTAGAGCGTGACCAACGCGTGACCATGGTAAGATAAGGTCTTCCCCGCCTATACTTTTTAAAAAAACTGGCTGAATTTTCATTTCCAAAGTCAGTTTGAAGTCAAAATTCTAATAGTGCGGGGCCATAGTGACATAAACACAACATATTTGATATGAATCCTTGGAGAAAATAAACTTGAGCCTGCGATCATTCCAAACTGGTAATTTGTCAGCGGATAACTTCAAAAAAATACTCGACCTCGATGGGTCGACACTTGAGCCCGCGCTACAGTCAGGTGATACTGGTCAGCGGATGCCCTGTTTTGACAGCTGTCAATTGATCACAACATCGATGTGAAATTGGTTTTCTCTTGGGCTCCCAAACTAGCTAAAATGTGAGAGTAAACATTGGTTGTCCTGTGGTGCGGACGGACGGTCGGTCGGCGGTCGGCGGTCGGCGGTCGGTGTACGGTCACGTGATTACCAAATTTTCTGGGATGGGCAGATTTACTTAGCAATGGTGCTCCGCCCACGCGCGCGCGTGGAGCTCCGCTAATATCTTGATTTTTACCGATCTCATCGATTTATATCGTAAGATACATCTGTTCATCAAAAAATGAAAACTGAATTCATGCAAACAGTAAATTTATTGACTTTTGAGTTGAAAGAGAAAGGATCAAACATTTATCACTATTTAAAGAAACCTTTAAAACAATCTTATCTTTTCTTTAAACATATTGGCTAGGTTTGTAAGGGGCCGATCTGCCACCCTTTCCAAATAACGTCGTTGTAGTTCCAGGTGTAATCCTTCATGAAGGACGTGGTAGATAACGGCCTCCGAGACACCGAGGCATTAAGTGGTTTTAGCAGTCCGGTTATCTGGTGTTATATTATTATTTTGGTTATTTGGTCGTCAGCATCTGGCGTCATTAATGGAAAGATAGTAAAGGTACAGTAAACACCCGTATATAAGAACAAATGGATTAAGAACACCATGCTGAAGTTTGGCCAATAAAGCCCCATTTTCACAAGAACAAGATCAGACTGAAAATTGTAACATGCTGTTATGAAATGGAAAAAGTGTCGTAATTACAGAACATGTAAGTTTATGTTTGCTGTCAGATAACTTTATTTGTTGATATAATCAAATTACAGAATAATTGTTTATTTTGTTTTCCTAAAATATGCTAAATACAGGGTGTCCCAAAAGTTCCTTCCTCTGCTTTATAAGTCTGTATTCCAGTACGATTGGACTTGGTAAGCAAATCATTTCAACAGAAGGTGTGCCTTTCAATATAATTCACTATTTTTATACTTCTCGTGCCATCTTTTGACTCGAATATTCGATTTGTGTACTTCCGCGCAAAAGGTGCGCGTGCGCGAGTATATTTTCCAGCCACATATTTTTTGTATTTCATAGCCCGAACTGCTCTAACTCCTTCCTTGTTTCTTGTGAATATCACGAAAGATAAACCCCTTAACACAAAAGCGTTCAGCTGCGTGAGACCATAAGCCTGTATACTTCGATTTACTGGCTTATCTGTTGCAGAAATTTCTAAAAAACCGGAAAAATCCGAATGTTGGGTGGTAGAATGATCATGGAGAAATGAAGGTTATGAAGGCAAGGAACTGAGGGGAAGACCAAAAGCCCATAATAAGGCAGCTAAAATAGTTTTAAAGAAGGCTAGATGCAAATAGGAGACTCGGCAAGGAAGCTCAGTCTCACATAGTTAGCAAGCCAAATAAAAGGGTCATGAAAAGCTGTTTAAAGGCCCCTGAGATGGCAAAAAAACCTCTGCTTAGTCTGTCAATTAACGCCCAGCTCGTTTCAAATTTGTAAAGAAGTACAAAAGCCTTGCTGTGGAAGGAGGCCGGGATGATTATCTTTTTTGGATGAATGCCCAAAATATATTTTTTTCAGCTGCCTAAACTAAACAAATTTTGTTTGGAGGTTGAACTGGATCCTGCGCACCAGGTGATAAAAAAGCTCGAAATGGATCATTTGTGGGTCAATACGCTGTATCCCACTTCATGCCGCAACGGCTACAGAATGTGATAAAAAAAAAACAAAAAGGGCATGCCAGTTACTGAAATTCTGAATACATGTACTTGATAGAGAAATAAACATCTTCTAGAAATTTCATGTAAAAATAAAGTTTTGATCAAAAGTTACAGTGCATGAAATTAAAGGAACGAACTTTTGGGACAACCTGTATACCTCTAGCAACAAGTTTTTGCATAGTATCACTAAATAAAAAATCAAGAACATTTTAATTTTAAGACCATTTTGAGGCTGATTTGTCTTATATGTGGTTGTTTACTGTTTTCTAAATTTCATTAACGCAGGCTGGTTATGAAGAATTTGCCAGGTAATTAAGATCCATCAGAAACGGAGATTCGCAGTCCGCGCATTAAAATAATGGCTTAAGAGAACCAAAATAGCATGACTTATAAATTGACCAATAGAGTTCAGCCAGATTTCAAAACATTGCTAAAATTTTCTTCATATTTTTTTACTTGTGTTTACACAATGCAATTAGGTATTCTGATGACCCTTGCTTGGCTTCTCTTTGCTTTTGTTGGTTTATTTACGGCAAGATACATGCGTCAAGTTTGGGAACCAACAAAACTGCTAGGAGAAAAAGCTTGGTTTACGGTTAGTAATTATGGAAAAGATAATAACACTCAGAGTCTGACTTTAACATCTGATCTAGACTGGCACATTAGAAACGCCTGAAATTTAATTACAAATTAATTATATTTTGATTCTTCTTCTTGTTTTTATTCTGTTCAGAAGGGAAAGTTCTATTCAGTGGAACTTTTTACGCTACATTTAAACACACGACACAAACAACAGTGTTTATGTTTTACTGGTAAAACTTTAGCACGTCCAGTTTGAGTGTTTTCGGCAGCTTTATAAACGTCCCCGGAGTATTCCACAGGAATGCCAAAAAAGCTATTTCGATTCTTTTTATAAAACGTGTTGATTGAAAAATGTGGGAAAAAAGTAGCCAGAATAACTAAGGCTGTTGAGATATAGTTAAGCGAAAAAGGGCCTGTTTACACGGAGGTGGGGGACCCCAGGTAGGTGTGGTAACCTACTTGGGTGGGGAACCTACTTGGGGTCCCCCACCTCCATGTGAAGAGGCCCTAATAGCCTCTCGCTATAGAAAAGAAATAAATTGTATTGTTGGTTTTCAATGGCACGCCATCAAAAATGTGGACGGGGCGTTAATTTGGTCTTATTTCCCGCATAACAATGATATGCAGCAACTGTATTTGTTTGGTTCGTTTTATTCGACAGGTTCATCGAACGCTGATGATTATAACGTTGCTACTGACGATCACTGGAACCATTGTGATTTTTGTTTTTATAGATGGGTATTCATCGGTAAGTTTTTTCGTTATCGCTCTGGGCATAAAGAGATTCATGAAGCCTTCATATGTACTACTAATACTACTACTACTGCTACTACTACAACAACAACAACTACTACTACTACTACTACTACTACTACTACTACTACTACTACTACTACTACTACTACCACTACCACTACCACTACCACTACCACTACCACTACCACTACCACTACCACTACCACTTCCACTACCACTACCACTACCACTACCACTACCACTACCACTACCACTACCACTACTGCTACTGCTATTGCTGCTGCTCCTCCTCCTCGTCATCGTCGTCCTCCTCCTCCTCGAATATTTATCCAGGATAACCCTCAGTACAAAGAGCTGTTATCAACGGGGACCTGCTGACTAAGAGTTGAAACTAATAAATAAGAGTTACTAATTAAAAATAATCATGTAAAATAAAATACATAAAACAAAGCAAACAGGCAATAAGGTAAAGCACCGTTCGAGACAACAATAGAAATTACAAGTAATAATCGTCCTGGGTTTTCCTAAATAAAACTCTAGAATTAATGAGTCTTCAACTTGAAAGCAAGGAAAATACGGAAAATATAAAAACTACGGCCTGTAAAATCGTGTTCAGTGACCTTTCGCAGTTTTGCTGTTTTACCATTGTTTTTAAAGTGTTTAAAGCGTTACGATGTGATCGTTGACAATGATTTTTAAATGGAAAACATGCAGTACCATTAAGACAGTCAAATACAAAATAGCATGCTGTCTTTTGTAAAACCTTGTCAATTATTAAAAATCGAAGACCACAGTTCTACGGACTGAATTTCGGGTAAATGATTTCGAGACTTTGTTTCCCAATGGAGGGGATCACGCGTTTTCGGGACTCTGGCCATGCAAGATTATTATAGCCGCAGTACGTAAATATTGGCATAATCATCGATTGGTAAATTCTGTGGGCACTAAAAGTAACAATGCTGGAACGGATGCGCCTTTTATGGGGATTACTCTTCCTTCTGGCTTCTTGTAAAATTTTGTTAAAATGCATTTCATAGTTAAGTGTCCGGATCCAGATGCACGCCGAGGTACTTGCAATTGTAACATTCAGTGCTGTTGATAGGAGAACCCCTGACTGAGAGCTTGACTTACCAGAACCAAACAGCATCACCTCAGATTAAAGATGAGTTCATTATCACAAAACCAATTAGAGAGATTATCCAAGTCCTGGGAAAGGTTGCCTTGAATCGCATCGATATCACTCTGACTAGAGGATGAAAAGATCACTGTGTCATTGGCTTAGGTGATAATCTTACAATGACGAAGGGGAATATGCACATCATTAAACATGATGAGATAAAAGGAGAGGCCCCAGAATTGTTCCTTTAGGAACTCCGGTGCAAACTATATTTGGTTCAGGAAGCACACCATTAAATCGAACGATCTGCTTGCGAAGGAATAAATAATCAATCATTCATTGTAGTTCCATAATACGCCATAACGGGACAGAGAACGGAATGACGGAATACCTATATCAATACATGTGCTAAATTTAAGTTATAATTCATTAGTAAAATATAGAAGGGAATAAAATCTAACAAAATTTGATTAAAACGCCGAATTATTATTTTGGAAAAAAATATAAAAAACAGACTTTTTAGAGTAAACATTTGTTGATTAATCGGTTTCTCCTTGTGTTTTAACTCATCACCTGGTTTATTAACGTAACATCCACAGCTTCGGAGCTTTCCAGACTAGAATAGATGCCAAATAAATGCTATAAAAAATAAATGAGAAACAGGTTTCCTACTCCTGTCTACTGACAATGAGATCGCTTTCGAATGCTCTCTAAGGATAAAAGGACTGGCTACTACAATATTTATTAACTGCTTATCTCAGTTAATTCGCACTTAAAATTTTTAAGTAAAACGTGTGATGTTTACTAGCGACCATGGGTTTAACAAGCATCACATGACTTAATAGGGGTCATCAATTTACAGTGAATGCTTGCGCTGGCGTAGCCTTGACGAGAATGCGTCTGACATTTCGCGACGCCACCAAGATTCCGCCGCAAAATGAAACCAAGTGTTGGCTCTCGGGTTAGTTTTACAGTGCCTTCGCATCTTGTTTGGTAATATACCGACAAAGAACCTATTGGCGAAGTTACTGTCGCGAAGGAGGTTTGAAAATCAGATCTGAGCTTGAAATTTCTCTAAGAATATCCCACATTATATCAAACGCTTGAATTGTTTAATCTGATATTCAGACATTACGAAAGCTTCAGGTGCACTTTTTAACGGTTATACCCTTCAAATGCATGCATCAGTGTCTTTTTTGGACCCACATAAAGATGTTCCCTTGCGGGTATAAACACCAATCTCTGATTCGATATTTCTTCAGGCTGATGAAAATTTTTTGATACCATCATTTCCTCCCTTTTATAACAGAGTGCACAACCGCATCCATCTCTTGGTATCGTTACAATCGCGTTAGCGCTTATTCAGCCGATCATGGCGGCATTCAGACCACACCCTGGAGAACCCAAGTAAGATTAAACTCTTTATACAGCTACGATAAGAGATTAGTGTCGAAGTTAATAACGCTTTATTAAAACTGAGGGGATTGAAGCCATGAGCAAGAGACTACTGGCACCGTACAAACGACTTATTGAGCTGCTCAAGGTCCCTGAAAACCGACAGCCACAGAATAAATGGACCACCGATAATTGTCATTTGAAGTCAATCTTTTTATTTTCCTCCAGTCGCCATGTCGCCATGTCACGCATATGGCAAAACATCTTTCTCATGATCTTATGATAATAATTACAATAATAATTGTTATTATTATTATTATTGTTATTATTATCATTATTACTATTTTAAAGGAAATAAAGGGAGATGTAAAGAATCAACCATAAATGGACACAGAAAAAATCTGAGCCCCAGACGGGATTCGAACCCACGACCCTCCGTGTTCTAGATCGGATGCTCTAACCTCTGAGCTACTGACGACTCGTTGGCGAGCAAGGGTCATTTTTGTGGGTTGGACTTGCGAACCGCATCTCGCAGTCACACAGTCCATCACAAGCAACCTATTTAGGCTTAACTGTATCACACAGTCACATTAATAGTAAGAAATGCCTCACCCACGAAGGAGCCTCCAACCAACCAACCTATGCCAACGCCAGCCTATGCCACTGCCACTGCCACTGCGTCCTCTTATGGTTGATTCTTTACATATCCCTTTATTTCCTTTCCAATATTAATATCAGTGGCATAGGTTGCTTTATTATTATTTTAGTGTGAAATTTCATAGTGTGTCAGCAACGAAAGCATGGACGAATGGTAATAAATGAACCAAAATATCTTGTATCCACTTATTTAATGCATATTCTCGAACCCATGCATGCAATTCCCCAGCCATGACTAACACAGAAGTCAGCCATAGAATAAATTATCTTGGTTATATAATTTTGCAGTTATATTCTGTAATTAAGCAGTTACAATTTAATGCGAGCTCCGCTTTTAGGCCTCTCTAAATAACCACAATGCACAGTTAACTCTTTCTTATCCAACTGGAATACCCATACCAGGAATGCAGTTGATTATACATGAAGCACATGTAGCTTCTTGTAATATCACTGAAAGATTATCTTCAGTTCTCACTCCATAACAGAAGCTCTTTATTTTTATAGGCGCGAAATTTTCAACTGGTGTCACAGAATTGTCGGCATTGGTGCTCTTGTTATGGCAAGTAAGTGTTTTAAAGAGTATAAAATTTATTATTATTATTATTATTTTTGTTATTGTATAACTTGTAATAAATCCAGAGACGCAACTTATGCATCTGCTTAAAGAAAGCCTGAAAAGATTCAGGGTTGCCGGAGTGCCGGTATTCTGCGGAGATAGCAGTGCCGTGCTTTAGCCAATTGAGCTAGCAAGCCAACCGGGAACTGAACATAATTATTATATTGTTCTTTTATGAAGCTGACATTTCGAAATTCCAATCCGATCAGGGATTTGGGGCAGCCGGCGCCCACTCAAACCTAGTGACCATTCTTATTTTTTGAATTCTAGAGATGTACGGGAATATCCTGTGATATCACAGTCAAAATAGTCTGTCTGAAAGAAAGGTGAATTTAAGCGATTTGAAGCGTTTGCGAAGGACGTTTACGTGAGTTTAACCTGTTCCAGGCCCTCGGATGGTAGGGATGACGCGAAAGTGAAAGGCACGGGAAAATACGAGCGCATGGTGTAGGAAAGGGGGGAATAGCGGGTTTTATATTCGTGTTCGGGCTTTCCTCAATTTCGCGGACCCGACTATCTCGGAGCCTAGAGGAGGCTAGTTTACAGTAAAAGTGGTAGCTTGCTATACATGAAAGGAGCGTGTCTTCACCAAGAAATGCCATTTGCATAGCCGTCCACTATAGGCACGCTAAAAGCCAGATGATTTTTCTCGTACAATTATAATAGAAATCTGTCTAAAACACAGAGCTCTAGACCTCAAATAATATCGAAAAATCCTGCAATCGAAGTTCAAGGGAACCACGGCTGGATTCATTAGTGACGGCCTCTAACGATGACTCATTTTGTTCCCTTCTGATGTGATTATAGCAAGTTTTGCCCTTCTGTAAATTTGTCCCATGGGAGGGAAGGCAGGAGCAAAAACGTCAGCGATGCGGAAGGCTAAACGTTAGTTTTTTCATTTTTGTTTTACAGTTGTAACAATCGACTATGGACTGGCAACAGAAAAGGTCGGATTGGGAAAGGAAGGTTTCCGAGCTATTATAGCTTTTATTATCGGAATTGGGCTGATAATTATGTTTGAGTTTTATTTATTCATCACCAAAATAAACAAGGAGAAGAGAACTGTTTCATCGAACAATAGCAGAGGTAAGAGGTTACAATTCTTTTGGAAAAAAATGCGTTTACTTTGACAACCAGAAAACCTTGGGTGGTTGAACTAGGCTTGTACCCTGGTAACCATGGTTTAACAAAGCTTTTGGTGCCCGAGTGCTTGCCTCCAGTGTCCTTGCAATCAAAGCTTATGCAGTAGCCGATAGCTCATTGTATAGCTTACCTTTAGGGTGTGAAAGTGTTTGCCAAAGCTCCAAGTAATTTTGAACAGCATCATAAGATTCTTACCTGTCTTTCCATACGTAAACTCTCATTTATTCATTAACGAGGAAAGAGTATAAAGTAACACAGGGAACCCGCAGAATGTGTGTGTAACCAATTATTATTTTATAGTAAATGTACGGGATTTACCGTTTGCTTCACCTATAGCGTTATATTGCTAAGTATGTATATAAATCAGTATTAAATAAACGTTCAATTACCTTACCTGTGGTATATTGTCGTCCTTTTGCCTCAAAAGCGGTTTTTTGAGCGATTTTGAAGGATTTCGAGTTTTGAACTCAACGGTAAATCCCGTACATTTACTATGATATAACAAGCGGTTACACACACATTACAGTGTGGGCCCCTGTGAAAGTACCATAGGTGAGCCTCGACCTTTGTGCTGGACGCACCGGACTGCGGCGTTACAGGCGACCGACGAAAATAAGACAGTTTTTTCCTCATTGCCACGCCCGGCGAGAGATCTGTGTTTTTCTTCCATAGTTTCACCAGCTTTGCAGGGGTGGGGATAGGAGAAAGCATTGTTACACTTAGTCATCCAGTTCTTTTACCTGAAACGTAAATATTGTTTCTATAGCTTCCTTCTCTTATCCGCTCTTATGATAATCGGCCCTGGAGGACTCATTGATAATCATTAATGGTATTCACTTCATGTCACTCTTTTAAACTTACCTCTATTTGCAGACATCCAAATGGAACCGACAGGACAACAGACCGCCCAGCCGCATCCTAAAATGTCGATCAAGGTTAATAGGAATTTACACTATAGGCATTTTCTTCAGGGCATAGCTACATGTAATATTATAATAGGGGAATGGTTACGAAGCCCGTCAGACTCCTTTAATATATGTTTTTGTGTACTTTGTGCTGCGCAAATTTTAAAAGTGAATAGCACTCCTATCATTTCGATCTTATTGACCATTAATTTTAACGTTACATTTATTCATTCCTTCACAATTTGTGAACAACAAACAAAGGATTATGCACCGTCAGGGAGCTTCCATAACAAACAACAGAAACGTTGTTTTTACCTTTGATGTTTGCCGCTTGTCATAGCCAGGCTCCTCTACTATCTATGTTCACTAAAACAATAATAACCTCGAAAAAAATAAAACTTTTTATGTTAGGAAGGTGCTATAAGTCTTGGCCGAAAGAAGGGGATAACAAGTAAAGCCTAAAGGCAAATATTTGATGGAAAACTTAATAACCTGACTATACTTCCTATATGCATTTTTTATCTATCTGATCTTTATTATTATATTTCCATTATACAATTAGGAAGCAATGCTCAGAAGCTTGATGTTTACTTTCGTTGTCCTTCTTGGAGCAGCTGTGGCGCTGACCATAATCATTCTTATGGTGTTAAAATAATTGTAATAAGGTGAGCGTGGAGTATAATGTGAAGGATATTTTTTCATATCGCATTTGAAAATGCAAGTAAATCTGATACTACACATATTTGTTTTAATTTGTTTAGCTATAATGTTGAGATTAACTTTGAAGTCATACATAACGAGGCAAAGTCACCAAATTGCAGAATCTGAGAGCTAGGTTAAGCGTCAGTACCTGCTACGATTCTAAAACCAGTAAATATGCAGGTTCAAATGCAAAAACCGCAACTTTTGGTCTTGTTTAAACTTATATACAAGATTAATTTACAAAACCAAATGTGAATCGAGCGATGGGTAAATAAATAAATAAATAAATAAATAAATAAGAAAAACAAAGACTATTCCGGCATCAGTAATTTTAATTACTGATGCCGGGTAATTTCTTGAGTCCACTATTTTACACAATTTCTCACTTTCTTTCTCACTTTTTTTTTCAGGCAATATTTTATATAACTGCCATTTATGTCAAAGTGTGGAGGAAACACCAGCATTAAATTCCATCGACGAGAAAAGATATTTTTTTGAAGCCTTGGTCTTAGCTAGTCTCGCTAATCAATACTGCCGAATTATTCGATAGCACTTTTCAAATAGCTTTATATTTGTTTAATCTACGAAAGTGTTTTCCTGCATCATGACGCAGTATGTTAAACTGTCAGCGGATTCATTTTATGTCATCCAAAAAACTGCGATATTGTACAACCTGTATGACTGACATGGCTCCTAAACGCCCTCAGCAATATTTTTATTGGGAGCATTTTGGGAAATTTTCGATAGCCTGTCAAAACCGCTCTTGCTTAATTAGATTGTCTTCGGTAAAATTAGAGTTAAACGGATAAGCAAGCATTTACTTAAAATCAAACATGTCAAACTAAGCTGAAAACTCACAAAAAAATCACAAGAAATCGAGAATTAAATATTTTTTTTCTGTTACTTATAATTTTTATTTAATATTTTAACACTTTTCAAACTTTACTGTACTTAACTAAATTTTGTTGCTTAAATTTCATGGTCGTGTGATGATCATTTCGCTGGGCAAGGTCTGTTGGCTTAGAAAATTAAACCTGTACTTGAGACTCTACAGCTGTGCATTTTTGGTTGAGGTTACAATATGATTTAAACAAGGATGAAGCGCTATAAAATACCAAAATACGCAAAAAAGTTAAAATAGTTACTTTTCGTTGGTCCGGTATCATTAAATCACGGTCACGTACTGCATGGTACACAGCTTCGTTACTTTTAATTGATTAATCCTGTGCGAAAAGTCTGACCATATGCCTTTCTCTGTAATTACTACGTCACCTTTTAGTTCCTTAAACGAAGGGATATCTTAACAATATAATTCGAAATAAATTATTTGTTGCCAACGAGAGTGGAGAGTGTTTTTTAAAGATGCCGACTTTATTTTGCTTACAATATTTCTGTCGTTTTCGACAGCGCAGTTTCACCACTTAAACCTCTCTTTTTCTTATGCGCGGAACAAGCAAGAATAAATAAAAAAAAGTTGTTAAATCATATTACAAAAAAAACCCCTCACTTGTCTTGCTTTTCTAGCTTTCATAAGCTTCTCTTTAATGGTTACTTAGCAATTAATGAATGAGGCTGAGTAGGATATGAAGAATTAAGCAGATCGAGGAGGGCGTTATCCACCGTGGCCGAAGGTCGATATGGATAACACCCTCCAAGATTTGCTTAATTCTTAACATTCTACGAAAGCCAAATTCATGAATTGCTTTATTATTCATTCAAAATAATTCCTAGTTTAAAAACGTAGCAAAAACATGCTTACCTGGATCGATGTTAAGTTCATCTTCCACAGTGTACGTTAGTTTGTCCAGCTTCGCAAATATTCTGCAAATAGCAGTTGTCGCCCACCGACTTGTCGTCTTGCTGTTTTTGCCATGTTTTTAGCTATTATTTCGCCTAGTTTCAGCTGTAGTTCTTACTCTTGAAACGAGTGAAATGTCCGCCATTTGTTTTTCGCAACCACAAAAACTCAAGCTCGTCCCAAGGTCTTCTCGGTAACGGTGCCCTAACCTGTAGAGGGCTGCATTTTTGACGTCATTTCCTCGTTAAACACAAAATTCTTCCAAAGTTGGTCATCAGTAACTGGTTATGGTGAACTGTGCGTGTGCTTTTAGCCAATAAGAATTGGGGAAATATTTTGAATGAATGATAAGAAAAATTAAACGCCGACTGCATTAATTGCTACTGTTTTATAATACAAAAATAAGATTGCACTCTTCTTTTCTGCCTTTTATTTTCTTATTAATCTTTAGCTTGCTACATACCCCTTGAGGCCTTTGATCCCAAATTAAGTTATATTGGTTTTGCTACGTGGAAGTAAATTGACGCATAAATCTTCATTTAAATAGTTTAAGACTTCGCATAATTAGCCAGAACGTTATGTTCTTGTATAGGTAAGATATATTGGCCAATATCTTTCTAAGAAAGTGTTAGTCACCCTGGGTAACATCTCCCCTATGAAGATGAAGATTAATACTACAAAAAATCACAGCAAGTGCATCGATAACTAAAACTTGCAGAAGCGTTTATTGTGAATCAAGGTTCTCGTGGAGAAACTATTTTTAAAAATACAATATACCTTTTCCAAAAAAGCGGTTTGATGCAACGCTGTCTCAATATTTGTTTTTCTATTCTGGCCATGAAGATATTTGCAAAAGAACGGCCACCTTTGTCCCCATGGTTGTTCAATGGGTTTGCAGGTACATGCTACCGCAAAATTGGAACGGGGTTTCTGTTAATATAAGGTGGAGAATTTCTCTGAGGTATTTGGTGGGTATAGGGGCTTTGTATACGTGACATACGGATGTTACGCCCTCTTCGTGGTATGTTGGTGTAGAGACTAGTAACGTCCATAGAGACTAGGACTGTATTTTTAGGCAATTTTGTACTCTCAATAAAATTCAGGAAGTCTGTAGTTTCTTTTAGGTACAAGTCTTGTTTCTGCGTTATTGGCTGAATGAGTCGATCTACAAATGCAGATATCCGCTCCTTGGGGCCATTGCACCCTCACATTATAGGTCTAACAACAGATCATCTATCAGTAAATTGAAGTGGACAGGGTAAAACAGTAAACTTTTAAGACTGTCATTTATTTCTTGAAAAAAAGAAATAGATATATATAAGCTTGTAACACTCTCAATATACGTTCGACCGACTGAAAAAGTTTAAATCTACACTGTAATTTTTGGGGAGTTATTATAACTCCAAAAATGGAGTAAAAATTTTAGGTACAGGATAACCCCTTTTTTGGGGTTATTTTAACTCCTAATTTAACTCCGAATTTGGGGTCATTTTTACTCCTGAAAAAGAGTTCTTTTTACTCCCAGTCTTGGAGTTAACATTACTCCGAAATGGGGTTACTTGTACTCCTTACAGGGGTTGTTTTTACTCTTTTTGGAGTTAATTTAACTCGGAAAGTGGAGTAAAAATTTTAGGTACAGGATAACTCCTTTTTTGGGGTTATTTTAACTCCTCAATATCTGGGGTCACTTTTACTCCTGAAAAAGAGTTCTTTAAACTCCTTTTTGGAGTTAAAATAACTCCACGAAAAATAACTCCACTGTACGGAGTTAAATTAGCCCCACTAGAGGAGTTATTATAACTCCCTGAAAATTACAGTGTAATGAGAGATTAAGTGTCGATAACCATCAGAACCTTCGTCTTTTCCTCATTAAGAGGCGTCTGCCCAAAGCCGTAATTCATTGACAGAGCTGTCTAGTACAGTTAGTGTTCCAGTTTTGCCATGATGCTGACGTGTGCAAAAGCTGCAACAGTAGTGTCGTCGGCATAAAGGTCCAGTTGAGATTTCACATACAGCGGCAGATCAGAATGAATAGAATTAAGAACAGTGGTCCCAGAATACTGGCTTGAGGGACTCCATGCTTCACCCGAGCTTCACGTGACTCTTCATCATCCGATACTACCACCTACTTTTCTATCCAAGTAGTAAGAATGATGACACCATAGGCCTCTAGCTTCTTTAGCAGTAGCCAGCAAATGTCAAAGGTGTCGCTATGGTGACAAGCATTTTGACCACCTTTTCTGCTTCTCGATACGCTTTTGATTTTTGTCGATGTGCAATCCAGGCGCCTTCCTTTTCCACAAATGCAGCACAATTTCGGAATAAAACATGATCATAGTTAGCAGCGGAACCAAGTATAACAAAACGAACCGAATAACCACTTCGAACATGGTAATATTGTGCGAGTTGTGGATATTCTCAATCCACCTAGGTGGGCAGACCGACAGCGGTCTTCTCATCGGGCCAACAATGGCAAAATAACGGTCAATGGTCATTATGGTCAGCGTCAGGACAGAAGCACTTATGGAGAGGCATGTCAAGAATAGTAATAGCTTACAAACGAATACACCAACTCCTCCTGGAAACCACTTGACACTCACAAACAAGTACGCCACAAAAGAGCAGCACGGCGATGATGACGTCAAGAATATCAAACACCAAGCATTGCTTATCATTATCAAGGATCTCAAAATGACTTCATTAAACGAGCTCTTCATACTCCTTTCCTCCTCTCTCCATGTATCTACTGGCTGGCTTTCGCCCCCTCTTCCTCCTGTTTTTGTCCCCATCGTCTTTTAATTTTGAGGCAGGCTATTGGGGAGCTTTTCGGGACACCGCTGAGGTTTCTCAGGACGCATGCCAAACTATTTATTTCCAACCAGTGTGATCTGGCCATCGCATGGTACTTGTTGCATGCTACTTCCGCTGAAGGTACCCCCCCGCATTTTCTCAGAAGGGAAATTGTAGACACTGTTTTGCGAACCAACCAAACCCTCTTAAAGACACGTAAGCATGCTTTTTTTTTTGAAAGTGGGATGGCTTGATCCTGATTTCTTTGCCTTTGATAGTTGTCTAGAGGACCTATCTGCCGATAGAGATGTTCGCCCTCCTGATTGTATCATGGTATCTGTGCTCTAAGAAACAATAGCAATTAAGAATGACGCAGATCATAGAATGCGGAAGTCTATAACTGCTGCGGGACCATGATCGTGCAATTCTAGTTGTTTATTTGGCGGTCGTATAGTGATTTTACTTAACCCTTAAAATAGAAGGAAGAATACTTCGAGTTATTATATGCTAATTCCATTGTCTTCTTTTGTTTAGTTGTAGCTATTTTGCACTAGTTGTTATTCTTTGTTTCACGGATCACGTAATATTCATTCTATGACAATATAAGACTTTTTTATTGCGGTGCATAAAATACCTCTTGTTAACTTCAAGATGCCTGCTAACTCACTTCACGGGAGGCGTGAAAGTTTGTTGTTTCTTTGACTCAATTCATAACCAAAACTGACTGAAAGCGTTATTATGGTGCTGGCATCAGCAAAGGTAAGAGAAGGGAAAGAGCTATCTAACACTGCCTATATACCGCCGCTATGTAGCTGTCATTCAGTATTCCCGTTGCCAAAACTGCAGTACTATTCAGATAAACTTGAATCCTGTTATATTACCCACGGCGTATTAGTTAAGCTAAAAGGTGGCTCCGTCATTAATACAGGCGCATTTAGCTGTAACGGAGTTTTCGTCAAAACTTTTTCGTTTTTGACGCGATAGCTGAGAAACTTTGCAAAGACTAACAGATGTCATTCCGTAATAGTACAAAATGTTCCGATTTCATTGATTATTTCGCTAAATTAGCGCTTAAAAGGACCCTACTATTCAAAGAAAAACGGGATTAGCAAAAAACAAATTGCTGATATTTTTTACTGAAATTTCTGGTATCGGCTTTAATTGACATAAAATATAAATATGCCACGGGAATTTCAGAAAAATCGTTAAAGCAGAAGTCCGTAACCAAAAGTCGCTCAAAATTCAGCTGTGAAATTGTTTTGAAATTTCAAAAATAAATTACTATCAGGTAGAGGGAGACATAGGTTTGAATTTTCAGGACAAGTAAATTCAGTGTTTGCTAATTCTTAAAACAAAAGCCGATTGCCTATCGTGCTATTCTGTAAAGGTACTTTTTAGTTTTAGAAGCACTATCAATTGCTCCAAACCTTGCTTTGAAGTAGAATGACTTGTTCCTCGACATTTTTAAAATATCACTTGGCAGTTTTGGCTCAAACTCCTGCTGCATACATTTTGATTTACTGCAATTCATTTTCAACGACTTTCACTGCTTTTCGTTGCTTCCAACTCGTATCAGAGCTCAGAGAGAAATGTCCAACATACCTTTGTTTGTGACTACAGAATGAGTGCGAGTAGCAGTTCTGCGAAGAATTCGCACCTCAGCCAGGGGGGACGAAGGACAATGATGCCCATGCCTGTGAACCGAATTACATCACAGTGCAAAATAAAATTATCGCAAAAGTACTGCCCGTGAATAAATTCACAACTCTGAAATTTTTGTCACTCCTTCCTTCAATGAATGGGTAGTTTTTTCTTAATTATTGTGTTTTGCCCTGCAATACATGTTTATACAGATCGGTCCGCAGGCATGGGCATCATGGTCATTCGTCCCCCTTGGCTGAGGTGCCAATTCCTCGCAGAGCTTCCGGTCGTGCTCACTTTCTGGTCATAAACAAAAGTGCAGGACAGTTCTTATCTGAGCTTCGATGCAAGGTAGCTTACAATCCCAATACCTTTTTCCTGAATTGGAAGCAACGTGCAGCAGGAAAAGCCGTTGAGGATGCATTGCAATACATCAATAATGTATTTAGCAGGATTTTGAACCAAAACTGCCAAGGGATAGACGCGATTTTCTTTGAACAGTAGGGTCCTTTTAAGCGCTAATTTCTCAAAAAATATTTACCATCAATAAAATCGGAATATTTCGTACTATTGCCGAATGACATCTGCTGTTCTTTGCAAATTTCTCAGCCATCGCGTTAAAAACGAAAAAGTTATGACGGAAAATCTGTCACAACTAAATGATCCAGTATTAATGACGGAGCCACCTTAAGGGATTAGAATACTAGTGAAGATATTTCAACTGCTAGTCGCTTTGTAGCCTGCATGACATGACATCATTTTGTGTTTTACTTCTCGTTTCGACTAAGCATCATAATTTTTATCTGGGTGTATATATATTAATTAAACTAACAACTCATACAAACGTCGCGATGATTAAGATGTTCAGTGACCGAAATGGTGCCTTGTAATAGTTTTAATAGTTATTTCTTTATGCTTAAAATGTTGTTGCGAATTTCAGCAAGATATAATGCACGGACATTTAATATTGCGAATTGAAATATTGGCAGTGATGCCGTTGTATGGACCCGGAAGAACAACTTAGAACAAGAAAGTCGATTCTTCAAGATTGCAAGATATCTTTCTGTCTGTGTGGTCATGATGCGGTAAAACTGAACGAGTGGCAAATGGCTAGGTTTTTAATTTTTACTACTTATAAACTGCTCTCGAGTAACATCATTTTGTATTGAAACACACTTGGCGGCAGATATATTTTTACTTGTTACTAAAAATTTATTGAGTTTGACAACGTTAGTACATTGAATGATCACGCACTAATATTTTTACATATTCAGTTTATCCCTGATTATTTACCAAAACTCTATGAATACGTGCATATAGACATTCATAATAGTTATATTGTATAAAGGTAAAGTAAAGGTGCACACGAGCCAAAGGCCTAAACGGCCGGAGCTTATCTCGGTTTCCTTAGTATGAAGCATGCTTAGGAGTATTACTACTCCCCCCCTGGAAGGGATGCTAGTCCATCACCGGGTTACCTCCCCGCAGTATGAAGCCAGTAACTACCCATCTATACACCTGGGTGAAGAGAGAAAAAGTGAAACAACGAGACGGGCGAGGCTTAAACCCCGGACCTCCAGATCCGGTGGTTCGAAGTATTAACCGCTCGGCCACACACGCCTCCTGTACATTGTATGCCGACTTAGAAATAAATCGGAACAATGTCAATATATTCTAATAGCTATTTTAGGATTTACGGCATTTTACAAGGATTATCAAGTGCTTCCACCGCCCAATTGATAGTGATAACAGGAGTGAGTGGGGTCCAATTCGGCTTGTGATCATACGAGTGATTAGTAAAAATCGAAAGGCCGCGTAGCGGGAGTCCGATTTGCTTAATGACGAGTATGATTAGTGCTGAAATCAGGACAGTTGATAGCCAATCAGATTTGAGAATTTTGTTATGTATGATTAAAACTGCAATCAAGCTTTATCAATTATCATAATCAAATAGGCATGCTTAGGATCTGAAACCATTAGTTCCAAAGGACGGTAGAGGCAGTGGTGTATAAGACGCGACAAACAGTTATCACCACTTTTATTAAAACTTAAATGTGCTTATTATAAGTGATATAAAGGTTCACTAAGGGTATTTACCAAAACACGAAAAATAAGCCTTTTTCTTGTCACGAGACAAGACTCAACAGACGAGGTAGAATTTTACTAACTCGCTTTTAACATCTGGATTTTTTTTTATAGAAATTATTGTCGTCTGTTCTTCTACTTTCGTTGTCAAGCAGGCTTTGTGCTCTAACGGTTTGTAAACTCAGTGTTATTCTCGCGAGCGTCCGTTATTGTTAAATTACCTTTAGGAGTCATCTAGCCAATGACTGAACAGCCCGGCAATAGTAAAGTTAGTCCTTTGTAACTTTGGGGTGATGTTTCACAATTTTCTACTCATCAACTCTACTGAAACAGGTTCCTTGGTGTACTAATGAGAGCTAGGTGTATGCCTCGTCATAGACAAATAAAATAGTTTTGGAATAATATGACCTAAATACTACAGTTTAGCTGACAGTGAAAGCCTTAAATATGATAACAATTGGTTGTTTGACCCCAGTTTTGTGGGAATCCAGATCTATCTTTAAGTGCTTGACTTTAAAGTCTATCGGAGAGTTTCACTGTAAAATCCTACCTGAACAAAGAATAAAAATCATGTTCCAAGCATTTGCATTATTACAGTACAAGTGCCCAAGCTAACATAGTCTCTTTAGAAATGGTGGTTATACGTTTTCCGAAGGAGTTTCATTTCTTGCTTCGTTTTTGTGTTGCCTTTTGCATACGTGACTTTTTCTTCCGATGATGTTTCATTGATTAACTGTGTATCTCTAGCAGCGAAAGTATTTACAAATCTATATTAATCTGCTATGTCTCCAGTTCACTCTAGAAGGCTGTGGAGTAACTAAAGGTTGCTATGCATCTCCAACCTCGTGCACTACAAGCGAAAACTGTGATTTTCTGGTGACATACAATGCCACCAAGTCACTGAGTAGAGTTGATTTCGAGCTCAGTGGTAAAGGAGACTGGATAGCCCTGGGTTTTAGCGATGACCAATTAATGGTAAGTTGTAATGTCTCAAGAATGCACCTTTATATATTCTTAATTTTGCTTTCCCCATGAACGTCACGGGATGTTACTCTAGGGCGCTGTGTCTTTGAAATTTTGTCGTATTTACACGCTTATGAACGCATAATGAAAAAAAATCAACGGGCAATTGTTAACTAACTTGTACCAAGTAGGCCAGTTTACAGTTATGAATGGCCGGGGTTGACATTACTTTGATACAAAAAAAGTCAACTTCAGCCTCACTTTCACTAGAAGGCTAGGTTACTAAGTCCACAACTGTGAATTGGTCTACTGGCAAAATAATACACACACGCTGGTGTGATATTCCCAAAATGACTTCTTTGTTTGTTTGTTTTTCTTCCTAAACCAAGGACGAGGAAAAGCTACACCAAAACGGAGGGGGAGAGGGGGGTGGGGGGAACTTTTTTTCAGAGTTTACATACACTCTTTGATTTAACATGAATCAATTATTTTTGCCATGTTTTCTTCATGAACGTTTATTTTTCTAGATGACGAAGCTACAAATCTCTTTTAAAAATACTTTAATAGACTCTCCCCTTGTAGTAGTTTAGTCCTTCTCAGTGTAGCAATTGCGGTATAGGTGAAGCATAAATCCACCAAAAAAATGAACAGTAACTCTCTTTAAATGGCATAAAGTCAAAGAATTAACTGTTGAATACATAAATCACACAGCCAAATATCGAGATTCTGATGTGTGTCAATAATCAAGCACTGAGTGGTCACTATTACGCAACATCACGATCGACACCGCCAAGGACAACGCCAGTAAGTATAGTGTGACTTTCAATAAGGTTTCCTCCAGTGGTACTTTGAACCTATGAAAATGAGGCATTGTTCATTGATTCCTATTCCACCTGTCGAATCTCATTTTCCCTCACGACACAGTTACTAAGCCAGTTACTAGCTTGTACACGGGATCCTGTTAACCAGAAATGGTTAAGGGGGCATCCATGTTTTATCACAGCGGTATGATCAATAAAACGCTGAATAAGCCAATAAAGGGCAAGATTACTATAAAATAATCTGTGTAAATATCGTTCTCGTCAAGATACATGTACATCAAAAGCATTGGATACCGTAAAACAGATAGCATTATCATAAATAGCATTTTATATCAAGACATTTTCACAATAAGGAGGACGCTAAAAACTTTGCGTGACCAAGAGCTCCGCGCAGGGGCGCTCGTTTGGTGACAAGACAAGTTATTAAACACAGAGTCAAATAGTGAAAATTCAGTTCAAGCAAGTGATGTGAACAACGTGAAGGTGAGCGAACGAAAGCGGTGAGCACAGGGTAAAACACGTTCAAGAGCGATATCGTCCGGAACACCCTAGATTCTGATCGGCAGGAAAGAAGATATGCTTAATATAGCCTGCCGCCTGAGGCTGCAAACCATTATCTAAACAATGCCATGCCATAAAATCCCATTATATGGTCAATAATGGTGTCTTTTTTGTCTTCAACATGACAATTATTAATTTTGTCATTATCATCATTATCACCATCATCATCATTGGCCATGAGGAAATATAAAGCTTAAGTGTGACGATTATTACGAATTATAACAGAATATTCCATCATAATTGTGAATTATATTTTTGTTTACGACTTATATTCTATTTACTTAATTAGGCCAATCTTCTAATCGAGCATCGAGCCACTAATGTTTTCATTATACTACAGGATTTTTGTGTTTTTTTATTCCAGACACCAGCAGCAGTACAATTTATCGAGCAAGCAGACGAGAATAATATCATAAAATGCAGGCATGTAGTATGATTGTTACCTTGGTGTATAATTTCTGCATTTACCGAAGTGATTCATTTAAAAGAATTTTTAAGTAAGTGATTCTTATAACCAACTGAAAACAAGTTAGCTTAATCTCTCTGTTCCTTTTAGGGTTTCAAGAGATGTAAATCCAGTCCAAGCAATACCAAATTCTATCGATCTTAACCAAGACGTATTCCTTTTAGCTGCATATGGAAACGTCGCAGGTTTGTTCCGTTTCATTTTCTTAGTTTGGGTTTGCTGCTGTTGCTCGATTTTCCATCATTCTTTACATCCCGTTTAAAGTAAAACATTATCTACTTTAGGGCGTTCAGATTGTTGTAATCATTTTCGGTTACGACAAACCTGCAAAATGTAGTATGCTTTGATGAGATGTTTACCTACCATATATAAATACTCAATACAGTAGATATAATATTTCATCTTGTTGTCGTTGAGATGTATTGTCTCAATTCTTCCATTTATCAATCTGTGTACCTGGCTATTTTGCTTCTCTTTTTAGAGACCTAGCCTTAGAAATGTGTTTTGCGACAGTCTGAAAAAACTACTAAACTACTTAATATTTTTACGGATTACTGTTATTAAAATCCGTAAGGGAAAGCAATTAATTTTTACCCGCAAAGACCCAACCGTTAACCGTAAATGCCACGAAAAACTCAAAACAGCGATAATCAATCATTCCTTTCTCCTCTAAGGTTCCGTTAAGGTGGCTCGATATAGTTTATCAAGGCCAGTACCTCCCAAGTTTGAGCATAAACTACGTCGCCATAAACAAAGTTTTGGAAAAATTGCCACCATAGTTGTATTAGATAAAGATGAAAATTTGTTATGATCAGGGTTGCAATGACATCGGAGTTGTCATAGCAACGAAAGGACGCTATTACCTATTTTACTCACAGAATTATTTCTCGGCACTGGGAACTGTTCTTCCAAAATCATTCACGGGAGCTTTTTCCTCCAATAGTCGCCTCAATGTTCGTGAAGTTTAAGCGAAATCTGTAAGAGCGTTATCGAGAAATTTTGGGATAAAGATTTTGTGGTTAGAAATACGGTAAAAAATGGATGATCTTGATGTTCGGCTGTTATGTGTAGAAAATGAGGCGCTTTTGACATGCAATTTCACCTCACAGTAGTTTCAATCTTTTTAAAAACGTGTGTGGAGATAGCTCCTGCCGATTGCTAGAAAGAAGGATTTGATTAGTATGTATCGAGGCGCTTTTGTTAGCGTTTTTGAACATTTTGGTCTACTTTAACAAATTAGCGAATAATTTTTAAACAGCTCGATAGATTTTTTAAAAAATCTAGGATTCTTGAGATTAACCTTCCTTTTATATGACTTTTTAGTTTCAAGATTATTGATATATTGTAAGGCAGTTACCTCAGTTCCGACTTAAAAGAGTTTTCTATTTCTTCTTCTCCACTGATATTTAAATTCCTTCCCTCCTCTCTTAAGTCTAAATTACGAAGTCTGTTTTTCTCGCGCCTATCATCGGCCAAGCACTTGGAGGATCTACTGTGCTCGACTTGCCGCTATTCTATTCTTTGTCACTGTTTTTCATAGTCCTACTACAACCACTATTACGTCTTTTTATTTATATTTATGTATATATGTATACATGTTCATTTATAGTACATATTTTGCCCCCCTTCGTCGATTTATATATTATTCATTACGTGTTTATAGCCTATTCTACTTTAAATATTGTCTCTTTTGTGTATATATATATATTTATAAATTTATTTGTTTTTAGTCTTCTAAATTTATTTATCTATTTATCTATTTTTTTGAGGGCCGTAGGTTAGAAAACTGTAAAAGGTTATTGCGCTTCCCTCTTTAAATAAAGTTATTGTATTGTATTGTATTGTATTGTATTGCAGTAAAATAAGGGCTACAATTCGCCAATATTTTGGCAGAAATTTTGTGTTTACAAATGTGAGCCTCTCATTATTGAGGGTATTGTCTCCAAGTTTCATATTTTCGCGCATTAGCTAGCATTTTTGCGTATGTCAAATGCATTGTTAGTTACTGTTGTTCACGTGAAAATGAAACTTGGAAACAATGCCTTGAATAATGAGAGGCTTTCACTTGTAATAACGAAACTTCCGATAAAAAAGTAACGAATTGTAGCCCTTATTCTACTGCCTTACAATGTATCAATAATCTTGAAACTAAAAGGTCATATAAAGGGAAGGTTAATCTCAAGAATCTTAAATTTTGAACAAAATCTATCGAGCGGTTTAAAAACTATTCGCTAATTTGTTAAAGAAGACCAAAATGTTTACAAAACCGCTAACAAGAGCGCTTCGATACATGCTAATAAAACCCTTCTTTCTAGCAATCGGCTGGAGGTATCTCCATGATCTTTCACACACGTTTTTAAAAAGATTGAAACTTCTGTGAGGTGAAATTGCATGTAAAAAGCGCTTCATTTTCTACAGATAACGGCCAAACAACAATATTGTCCATTTTTTACTGTGTTTCTAATCACAAAACTTCATCCCAAAATATCTCGATAACGCTCTTACAGATTTCGCTTAAACTTCACGAACATCGAGGCCGCTATTGGATGAAAAAGCTCCCGTGAACAATTTTGGAAGAGCAGTTCCCAGTGCCGAGATATACTGCTGCAAGGAAAATAGGTAATAGCGTCATTTCGTTGCTATGACAACTCCGATGCGGTTGAAACCCTGATCATAACAAAATTTTCATCTTTATCTAATACAACTGTGGTGGCAATTTTTCCAAAACTTTGTTTATGGCGATCTAGTTTATGCTCAAACTTGGGAGGTATTGGCCCTGAAAAACTGTATCGAGCCACCTTAAGTCGATTATTCATGCGCATGATGCAAAAGGTTGGTAGAATGGCTATTATTATTTGAACAGGTTCAAGTCTTCAACTGCACATTAGGAGGGAGGCCTCTCCCAAAAAGGTCATGGTTACCCAGTCTTATTCTACTGTCACTAATGGATCCCAGGTTCCCCAGGTCAATTCTTCTAAGGTGAGTTGAGTGCATATTATCTTACAATGTAGGTCATTCAAAAAAAGTTAAACTTAACTAAGCCGCACCAGCCCAAAGTTGAAACTACATTCCAATACAAGAATTGAGTTGCATAATAGTACATGTGATCGAACAATTTTCAAACAACGAGCCTTCGCATTGGGTGTGATCTCAAACATGTTAAGGCATGACCCAAAGCCTAATTTGCATAAAAGCTGCAAAGAGTCATAACTTCAAGAGAATTTACGTAAACATGATAAATCGTGGTAATAACATAAAACATGACATCGTTAAGTCAGTATTCTGTTTAAAAGAGGATTTTTGGGGTCACGTGACCTGTTATAGCCGTTTTCTTACGGGAAGAGAAAAGTGAAAATGTGCCGCACAGATGACATGTAATGCGAGTATATGTTAAAACACCGAGGTAATTGTCTGGTTTCACCACTTAAGAATCTGTCCAGAATGGACGACTACCATTTATCGTTTAACTAATAATTTCAAAAATTAGGTCGTGTGACCATTTTATTCTTGTAATAGAATAGAATAGAATAGAAACTTTATTAAAGTGTCAAAAACCGTCTAGCCAGGGAACAAATCCCTTACTAATTTGGGGACACCAATTAGGGGAGAATATACAAACTAAAAACTATATACAGTAGTAGGTAAAATATCTATAGTTAACTAATTAAGAGATTTATAGTAAAAATACACAGAAGTCAAAATGAACAAAGGCTACAGCCTGCGCAGCCATCATCTAAAAGTTCACTTATATTGAGTTGGCGTATCTTGCTTTTAAACGACGTTAGGGTTGTGACGTCCCTGATACTCTTGGGTAGTTTTGTCCATAGCCTAGGCCCTAAATATCTAATAGAGTGCTTGCCATAGGTGACTGTCTCATACCTAGGTATAGAGAAATCTGCTTGCCGCAGATTGTAATTACTATTTGGTTCTTTAAAGATGTTACTTATATATGCAGGGCACAGTTTATGTTTTACTTTATACATAAGGATGCACAGATCCTGTAAGCGACTATTTAGTAGTGTTGGCAGATCTGCCTTCTCTAATAGTTGTTCATAACTAGAATTATTATCCTTGAAAACCGCTCTAAGTCCTCTTTCTTGTAGTCTTTCAAGCTTTCGAGTGTCACTCGCTTTACAAAAATGCCACACTAGGTGACAGTACGTGAGGAATGGTAATATCGCGCTTTTGAATAATATTAACTTAGATTTCATAGGAATTAAATTACGTAGTCTCATTAGAACACCAATTCTCTGGCTGGCTTTTTTACAGATAGAGATTACATGCTCAGAGAAATTTAGCTTAGAATCTAACACTACTCCTAGAAGTATGATATTATCTTTAGATTCAATCACAACATCATTCACGCAAATATTGCTGTCATTTTGAGTGAAGCCCAAGTTCAAAACTTGGTACTTTTTGAGGTTTCCCGCCAATAAGTTAGAATCGTACCACGTTGTTGCTAAGTTGGCACTATCCTTTAACTGGGAAGTCACAGCTGCCTGGTCTGCTCCTGCGTGGTAAATTTGATGGTCGTCGGCATACATAGACAAGTTCGCTGTTAGGCAGTAGGATAGGTCATTCTGGAAAACATTCCATAACAACGGGCCAAGCGCGGAACCCTGAGGACAGCCACGACTCACGAATCGGCTAGAACTAACATGACGGCCGATCTTTACTTGATATTTCCGTTCATTTAAATAGCTGTTTAAAAGTTGAATAGCGCTTTCCTGAAAACCGTACGCTTCAAGCTTGTTCAGAAGTAGTGGTGGGTGTAACGAGTCAAATGCCTTTGACATGTCAGTTGAAAGTATGCTCACAACCTGTTTTCGATCCCTCGCCAGTCTCCAATCTTCTACTAAATTGATCAATGTTGTTTCGCAGCTGTGAGCTTTGCGATAAGCGGATGAGTGTTGGTAAATGCGATTACCAAAGCCAGAGTTGATCTGCGCTCCAACCAACTTCTCAAGAACTTTACTTACACATGGTAAGAGAGTTATGGGCCGGTAGTTTTCCTTTGCATTCCTGTCATCCTTTTTGTATACTGGGGCCCAATGCCCATACTTCCATTCACTAGGCCATGCATTCTTGTTAATACAAGAATTGAACAAGGTGGTTAGTGGAGCGGATAATTCATTAGCACCTGTTTTTAAAGCCTTTGAAGGAATTCCATCAGTGCCGGTGGCTTTGTTTATGTTCAGCGAATCGAGAACTGCAAGGACTTGTCCCTGTGTAACCAATTCGATTTCGATGGTCTGAGTGGAATTCCTATTTAATAACTTCTTAATGGGGAGAGATTTTTCTCTGTTCTGGACAGAAATTAAATCTATGCACCAAGTCAATGAATACTGCATGGTTCTTTGCCTGCCACATTTAAACACCATTGGCTCATTTCATATTCCTCTTTCTCTTTCATCATGACCTCATCAAACACGTGACCACAGTTAAAAAACTCTTAAAATGTTAAGGAGGTTGAATTATTTCTGCTTCGTACTTCGAATGGTCCAAGGAAGCTAATTTCTTCGCGGGGGGTATAAGAACAGAGAAAGGGCCATGCCTTAACATACTTGAGATCTATATCAACTGCAATCTATAGCCGTTTCCCCATTACATAGATATGGTCAGCTGTAGCTCACAGCATTGACATCGTAGGGACCTTACGAAACTACGACATCGACAGCAACGATAACGTCTAAAACACAAAAGCTTTTATGAGCAAAACAACAACTCCGCACGTGCATCACGCTGTTTCTACATTTCTTTGACGCCCCTACACAACTACGAGGTGAGATGACCATATTTTGAGTTGACTTGAGAACGGGAATGGCAAGGCGATGAATTTTACTATCTCTTTCTAAACTCGCACGCGGTCCTCTCATTTCAGCCCCAAACTAACTTCCCTACTTTAAAGTAATTGGGTGACTTGGTGTAAGGGCAAAAAAGTATCAAAGGATCGAGGCAAAGTCTATTTTTCAAAGACATTTTTATCGCCGTTGTTGGATTGTAAGGTTTCTAATAAACAACAACGTCGAACTGTATCAATATTAAACAATACATATGATACCATTAGCCATTACCATTATGATACAATAGTCGAGTCACTTACAAATAAATTAATGATACTAGCGTGACCATCATCTATACCCTTCTGGTAACAATTCAATTTCGAAATCGATATTTCCCAGGATATGGATAGTAGGCCGTGTCAGTCCAATCCCTAACGTTGATAACCCAACAAAAGAGAGTACGTGTACATTTTAGACCGATATCAGTACTTCCGTTTCTGTCCAAAGTAATCGAGGAACATGTAAGACGTCAAATAGTTGATTACATCGAATTTTATCAATCCTTAAAAGCAAATTATTGCTGAATTCCGTAAAGGACACTGGTGCTATTACGCATCAGAGACGGCATTATTAGGGCCATGAAAAAGGGCCAACTTAATTTAATGGTATTGGCCAATTACTCGAAAGCATTTGACACTGTATCGTAATCTGCTGTCGTCCAGAAGATGTTAAAATTGGGTTTCTCAAACTGTTTTCTACATTGGATGACAAACTACCTTTATGATCGCTTTCAGTATGTTCAACTTGAGAATCGTTACTGGAACATTTACATTTCGGTGTTTCCCAGGGGTCAATTTTAGGCCCGTTAGTGTTTAAGATATATATTGCCGATCTGCAGGATAACCTCAGTGACTCCATTTCGTGTTATCAATTATACGATGATGATACTACGCTTTACAAACAATGCTCTGTTAAAGATCTCGCACAAAATGTTCTTGATTTTAATAACTCTCTCAGCCACATGGCTTCGTGGTTCTTTAAAGTCCAATCTCGCCCTAAATCCAGTGAAAGCTAAGCCGATGCTGTTATCATCAAGCCAGTGACTAGCTTTCGTGGTCTCAAACATGAAAACCTCAATTTAGAAATTTAGAATCTTCAACTGGAAAGAGTCAATGAGACAAGGCTACTAGGAGTGAAATTCCAAGAGAAGTAAAATTGGAATAATCTTGTCGAGAACATCGCTGGTGCTTCTTATGGAGTCTTACGCACATTGCGAAAATTAAAACCTTTTCGCTCCATTAAAGAAACTAGACTTGTATTTCCCTATGTGGAGGGTTGAATGAACTTCTAAGGATTATATAGTTATACTGGCGCGTGATTCTTCCCTAAAACTCCTTAAAACTGGGTGCGTTCGTTCTACCTATCACGCCTGTACAACTGAAACGGCTCCTTCAAAAAGACCATACATATATATTTGAAAACACATTACTTGTGACCTTTCCCTTTTCAGACGGCCACCACTATGGAACAGCCGAGAAGCTTTAGGTTTCCAGATAATTGCCCGGATGCAGATTGCGATTTTCTTGTGACATACCAAGCCTCTGGTGATTATCGGGTGGTTATTGAACTAAGAGGCAGAGGAAACTGGGCAGGCGTGGGATTCAGTGGTGATAACCAAATGGTAAGCAACCTTAATCTGCAGGATTAACTTATCTGTTGAGGCAGGCGTATAAGGAAGTAATGAAAGACGATTGCTTCATGAGCAAATTTTTCGCATCCAAAAATTCAAAAAATAGAGGCTGTTTTCTAAGAGTGAGTGTGCCAATGGATTGGAGGCACTCGCGGTTAGCGGTTAATAAATTTGTCTTTTTAACGCTAACGTTTAATTGTTTTTCTGTAATACTGCAGTTAACCGCGAAACTAAGCTTACAAAAGTCAGTTGTTCCAAAAGTTCATAATTAAACTTTTAATGGTCCCAAAATCACTCTAATTTATTTGGAAGTCTCTTAGGATATTTCCCTGATAAAAAGGCTGAAACAGGCTACATCAGCCAAGAACCTAATCACATACATTCCCAGCATGCGATTGACACTCTCTAAATGGCATGTTGTGGTTAGGAAAATGTTTATCAATCAACTTTTTTTACGCCCAACTAGTTTCTAATAATTGTAGCCCTGTTGAGGCTCTTTCTAACTCTTACCTCCACAGCCTGATACCGACATACTTATTTGCGCTAGTGATACCTCACTGAGTGGCCATTATTACGCAACAGCTAGAACAACACCAACTAGGACAGTTCCAGTAAGTCATTTATTGCTGTTTTTTATTATTGGCGATGTAGCCAGTTCCGTTTCTCGCTCCCTTGCCTTTAATTAGTTCTCATCATATTTATTTAGCATGTAGTTATCGCAAGTTACGACTGCAGCCGCCCGACCATTGCTTCTCTTTGATTCCAAAGCTCATCTTCGCCATTGTCGCTTTTTCTCCCGTTTCTATCGGACTATAAGCACGTGCGAAATTTCATTTTACTCAGTCTAAGCTCTTTCTACACTTCTGTACCTGAGATACTGGCATATTTTTACAAATTTTAACGCATTCTCTTCGTGGTCACAACAGTATATACAGTTTTATCACGAGCAAGTAAAATAGAGTAATACATTTCGAGAACGTTCAGACATGTACGTTTAACAGAACGTTTTGTTTTAAGATTAAATTAAAAGAAAAAGGTGACTGAGATACATAACATAGAGAAGATGAAGCCACTCAAGAAATTTACCGAGGTACCAGGTTGAATCATGATATCAACTCTTATTAGCCAAAACCTTTTATTTTTTATTATTAATTTTTTTTTTATAGGCTCCACTGGCGGTAGAAATCAGTGACCAATCATTTAATGGTGGCGTGGTGTCTTGCAGGTAACGTATCATCATCATTATCGTCGTTAATTATCATAGACATCCTATTCATTATCAATATAATCATATCATTATATTTAGCAATTATTCGCCAAAGGCGAAGTAAATATTGTTGAATAATTCGTCTCGGGGATTATTCAACAATATTAACTGAGCCTGATGTGAACAAATGCTTTAGTATATTCACACGAAGTGATCTCAACAGAATCAGAAAGGAAACCTTTAAAAAATATATTGGGTGAGTTTGATTGAATTGATTGAATTCGTGCGTGAACACGAAGCCGTAAATAGTGGATGCGCAAGAGTTAGATCTTTACAGTGTCTTCAAACATGGCAAATGATAGTTTTAATCTTTTTGTATCGATTGTTGTACCTTTAGCATCAACGGTTTAAAAGAAAACGCCGAAAATTTAAATTACTCCCTAATTCTGAGAAGAAAAGTAGAGCTTTGTTTGTTTTTGTCAACTCACTGTGAATGAGAAAGTTTTATTTGTCGCTTTCTCCAAAGTGCTATCAACAGCGGCTACGATCAAGGTGAGCGTCGTTTATCTGCAGTGTTCTTTGCCTTGTTAACGTGCTGGCACTTACAGTTTTCGAAAATATCTGCCTTCCTTTTTTCTCCATAAATTAACTTCTATTTATAGGCAAAATTGGTCTTGCGAGAAAATCCCGAAATCACAAAACAGTAGCAAAGCGGCCTCGTTTTCCTCTGTAGTGGTAAACATAGCTTCGAAAGTACCAAAAGTCAGCTACAGTAAACCACTTCACAATAAATTAAAATCACGCTGTTTAAACACCATGAAGTCTTTCCCTACCTTCAAAGTCATCAACACTTAGAAATTCTTGTAGTTTCAAAAAGCTCTTACTATGTAACTTTGGCAAAACACCCAGTTCACGACAGCGATTTTGTTCTGCTTTATATTCACCGCCTAGCGCGGTGAATATTTAACATTTATTCCTCGAGCCCGAATGGACTCTGAGTCAATAGCTATTGACTCAGAGGCCATTCCGGCTCGAGGAATAAATGTATAGTAAAATCCAAGTAGTTGGTCATAAATTTCGAGAAAAAACAACTTTAGTTAGCAAAACGCGATTCAGCCGCCATTGTTTTGGTTTTCAAAGTCGGCGCTTTTCGCTGCTAGTGGGCTATAACATATAGCCTAGTAGAAGCTCAACCAATCTGAACGCAGCATTGATAATAGACCACTAGTTGGATTTTGCTAAAACGTCATAGTCCGAGATAGCGAGCCAATCAGATTGCTTGAATCACCAAGATCACTGAGTGTGTATATACTAATATCATATTCTCAAAACTGTTGGATCATATTCATTTACTGAAAATCCCTGCAAAATGCAGGAAATGGCATTTGCGACACCCTTAATTTAAATGTTTTCTGGGGGAACATGCCCCAGACCCCCTGGTTTGAAGCGCCTTCAGCTTTCTAACTTTCTTCACGCTGATTTCTCTCACATTTCGACCTTGATTTGCAGTTGGAATTCGATAAGTTCTTGTTAGGATAACAGGGGATTATCCGTGACAACCAGATCAGTGGTGATTTTCTATGGCCAATGGAGTTACAATATTACTGGTATACGAACATTTGAGAAATCTTGAACAGAAAAAAAACACCCACCTCATTCACTTGCTTCAAGCCTACTTAAGCCAAAGACGGGCTACGCGGTCAACCAAAAAGGAACTCTTTGACTATCATATTATTTTACGCGCGTAAATACGTAAGGCAATACCACAACCATTCCCCAAAATGTAGCCTAGTGCATGATGTCAATTATGTTACTGTTTTATAGAATTACAAGGGAAATAAACCCGGTATCAGCGAATTTTAGAAATCTTGAAGAGCAGCAGTTTCTTTTGGGAGCAATCGGTGATTTAAACGGTAAGAAAATATCTGATACGTTAATCAGGAAATTTAAAGTTTCAATTTACGAGTTCATTTTAACTTGTCTTGTCAGTGGTTCGTTAGACTTACAAAAGCTTCTGCCTGATTTAACAAGAGGTGCCACCATTACGAATTTCGTATTCATAGCGGCAGGCGTGTGTCGGCTTCTAGAACATGTAAGGTCAGGAGGATCGGCTTCTCTACGAGTAGGCAAAGCAATGTGTGGTACTTTAGACTTACACGTCATAGAGCTTCTGCCTGATATAACAACAGGTGCCACCATCGGTATTCATAGATTCTCAGTTTACATGAAGTATAATATCCTTGAAACGTGTGTCTCGGCCATGCTCAAGGAAAGCTGTGTTACTTTACATCACCTTAGCAGGCAGCTTGGAAGATCGCGAACTATCATTTGGTAACCATTCAGGAGGACTATTTCCGACTTTCTGGAAATAAGAAACATATCAAAGCGTCAATACCATATTTGCTTTATTGCAGAGTCCTTATGCTTTTAGTTGGGTTCAGTAGAGTGTTAAAGATTAAACAATAACAGCAGTATCAATTACGGCATTAATTATAATAATTATTAGCATGATAATACAGTCGACTCCCGATAACTCGAACCTTCAAGGGAAATCAAAAAAAGGTTCGATTTATCGGGATCCCGAAGAAAATAGCCCAGAGTAAGGTAAACAACAGTTTTTATTGCACAGTGAACATTTTAATCACATTTAATGGTAGAAATGTCAAGTGAAAAATAAAAGATACTTCTAGATTACAAATCAGAACGTAACGTAACAAAACATAGCCTAAATAAAGCATGCGTTTTACTGTTTTAAGAAGAAAAGCTGCTTCACGTTAGCCTGTGACAATCAACATCAGCCTCCACTAGTAAACTATACTCCGACAACACGTCAATAGGAAATCCAAAATTTAATGTTTCGGACGCCCGTAGACGGTTTTTTTCCAGACTTTTTAAGGGCTCAAAACATGGTTCGAGTTATCGAGGGTAAAATTATGTAGAAAATGACCTAAGGGGAAACGAAGATTGGTTCGAGTTAGCGGGAGTTCGTGTTATCGAGGGTTCGAGTTACCGAGGGTAAAATTACAGTAAATGTATGACGGAAATCCAGGGGAAATCGATTTTGGTTCGAGGTAGCGCGAGGTTCGAGTTAGTGAGGGTTCGAGTTATCGGGAGTCGACTGTATTAAAATTGATAAGAACGACTATGGAAATTATCATGGTACTGATAATAGAAATGGGAAAGATAAGGATGGTGAAAGCGATTACGATGTATGGCTTTACATGGGCTTTTACGTTATAACAACAGGTGCTACTATCGCGATTCATTCAGCGAGACGTGCTTCAAGTTCTAGAATCAACGTCCTGACAAGTGGGGGAGTGGGGAGTGGAGGAACTGTTATTCCCTCAAGTTCCTCGTCGACGGTACGGTTTTACTTACTTTTTCTTGCTTAAGGTAAAATATTCCTGCCATTTGAAATGAATGGGCAATAACGAAAATAATTGCTGTAATAATAATGGTACAAATGATCACAGCACCACTTCAACTCAGATGCATAGGTAAAAAAGAATCTTTTAAATGAGCAAAACTTCGAGGTTTACAGGGAAATCAGGATCAAGGATCGAGGATTGAGGATCGGGGATAAGTAAATAAATTGTGGATGGTGATGTGGGCCTTAGACTGTAGATACATTTCACATAACATAACCCCGTTCCCTGTACTGAACACTAAATTTAAGTAAAATACTCCGAGTCTGACTGAGTCAGTGATCGTTTAGACGAGAAAGTCTAAATGAAACACTTTATCCCAGTGATACTGTGATAAAATGCATGCTGTGTACAGCTCTAAACATTGCACTCTGAGACTGTACGGAGATATTAAAAGAAGATACTGACTAAGCAGCCATGGAAAATGCACTTACTTTCAAGCGACTTTGATATCTTAAAAAACGGACAACAAATTCAACAGGAATACGCGCGAACTGAATTATCTGTCAGTTGTATAAGGTTCCGCTAAACGTACACATTTTTCCTGTGCTGAACATATACTATACCGAGACGTATCTTGGTCCGCTACATAGAAGCTATATACATATACATTTATACTGATAAAAAATCATCGTTCAATTTTTTGAGCGTATAATCCCAATGTGTTAAATGTTGTCCAAAATACCTCTTGAGCTCGCGAGTTTTATATGAGGGTACCAATGAGGTTAACAGTTAACTGATACTTGGCCAAAAAACAATAGTTAGCTGATATTTGGCCAAAAAATTGGTTGTTAACTGAGAAATGAAAAGGTAACAGTTTAGTGACAACCTATTAATTATACTGAATAAAATCGTCGATGTTAATGAAAGCAACAAAGGTTTTCAAACAGCAAAGCTTTCTTGTGACATTTATCTGCCCTGCTGATGACCCGGTGAGATGGCGGCATTAACTGATAAAATTATGAGCAAAATATACCAGGGTCCTACTAGCTAAACAGAAAGCGTCAGTCATAGGGCTGGTTGTAGACAATTCAACGAATAATTCATATTCTTATGTTAACAAGATTTCTGTTTTCGGGGAAAAAACATTGTTTTCACGGACCCAAAAGATCGTCATATTAAACATAATTTACTACCCAGAGAAAAAAAAAGGGGCCATTGTTCAGTTAGACCTTGGAAAGAAGAACATTCTGATGGGTCAGAAAATCAGCATCTTTTGTCTACGTACTGGAATTTGCACCAACAAGCAACAATTTTTTGTAACTGGTGTTGCAGTTTTAGCTATTAAGCTCGTGTTTAAACCAGTCTTTGTGAAACAGTTGCATTAAATTTTCTGAAACCTTAAGCTTTGGATATCTTTATGATCTTTTGAAATACACGAAAAGGCACGCCTTCGAAAAAGGTAACATACAGACACGCGATAAAGAACTTTGACAAAGTCTGCGTGTATGAACGCGAGGGATGAACAAACAGCAACTGAAAACGTCAGGTGCTGATGTTTTATCCTCAAGGGATAAAACTCAGAACCTCACCTAAATCACAATCCAGTCCCTAATTGCTCTATTAAAGGAACTAGACTTGTATTTCCCGACGTGGAGGGTTGAATTAACTTCCCAGGATTACACTAGTTCTGGCTGGTGATTCTTCCCTAAAACTCCTTTAGCCCGGGTGCGACCCACTACCCCTATAAAACTGAAACGGCTCCTTCAAAAAGAACATACATGTATATTTGAAATCATATTACTAGTGATCTTTTCCTTTTCAGCCGGCCACCACTATGCAACAAGGAAGCTTTAGGTTTCCAGATAATTGCCCGGATGCAGATTGCGGTTTTCTTGTGACTTACCAAGCCTCTGGTGATAACAGTGTGGTTTTTGAACTAAGAGGCAGAGGAAACTGGGCAGGAGTGGGATTTAGCGATGATAACCGAATGGTAAGTAACCTTATTCTGCAGAATCGACTTATCTGTAGAGGCGGACGTACGGACACAGCGAAGACGGCTACGTTATAAGCAAATTTCTCAAATCCATTAATGTAAAGAGCTGCAGGTTGTTTTATAAGATTGTGCCAATTGATTGGACGCACTCGCGGTTAATAGTTGATAATTTGTCTTTTTAACGCTAACGGTTAATTGGTTTTCTCTTCTGCAGTTAACCTGACAAAAGTCAGTGGTTCGAAAGTTTCAAAATATTCATTTTAATGGTCCCAAAATCATTTTTATGTGTATGTCTCTTAGGATCTTTCCGGAAAAAAAAGGAGGCTACAGGCTACATCATGCAGCCATGCGGCCGAATCACATGAAGTCCCAGCATTCGATCGACCCTCTCTAAATGGAATGTTTTGTTTAAAACAGTCAACATTTTTTTAGCACTAACTAGTTAACATTTTTATTTTTTTTTATGCCCAACTAATAATAGTTTTAGCCTTGTTATGGCCCTCTCCAAACTCTTGCCTGAGTTTTATCTCGCTTTTCCACAGCCTGATACAGACATACTTATTTGCGCCAGTGATACCTCACTAAGTGGCCATTATTACGCAACAAGTAGAACAACACCAACAAGGACAGTTCCAGTAAGTCATTTGCTGTTTTTTATTATTATTATTATTATTATTATTGGCGATATGGCCTTCTGAACGATGCTAAACATCATACTTGAAGTTCGTTTTTTTAGTTTTCTTGCGCCCTTGCCTTTAATTACTTTACCATGTAGTTATCCCATGGTAGTGCGGCTGCCCTCTTCTTTGCTCCTCTGATTCCAAAGCTTATCACCATAATCGTTTTTTCTTACGTTTCTATCAGACAATAAGCAAATGCGAACTTTTCATTTTACTCAAGACATTCAATTCTACACTGTACCTGAGATGCTGGCATGTTTACACGCATTCTCTTCGTAGTCACAACCTTATAAAATTATACATTTTTATCACGAGTAGGTAAATAAAGTAATATGTGTCTTGAGAACGTTTAGACATGTACGTTTAACAGAACGTTTTGTTTTGAAATTAAAGAAAGAAAAAGGTGACTGAGATACATAAAATAGAGCAGATGAAGCCACTCAAGAAATTTATCGAGGTACCAGGTTGAATAATCAGTTTAATTCACATTTGCCAAAACTTTTTAAAATTTATTATTATTTTTTTTATAGACTCCACTCGCGGTAGAAATCACTGACCAATCATTTAATAATGGCGTGGTGTCTTGCAGGTAAGTCATCATCATCGTTGTCGTTAGTTATCATAGACATCATCATCAATATAATCATCATCATGTATGTTATCATGTTCTCAAAACTGTTGGATCATACAAAATGCCCTGCAAAATACAGGGAATGGTATTTTTGAAACCCGTAATTTGATTTTTTCCGGGGGAGCATGCCCCCAGACCCCGTAGTTTTTGAGAGTCTTCGGCTCCATAACTTTTTTCCAGTGGGTACGCCTTCTAAACTTCACCGGTTTCGCCCCTTCTTCGCAGTTGGATTTCAATAAGTTTTTGTTAGGATAACAGTGGATTATCCGAGTCGACTAGATTAGTGGTGATTTTTTTTTATCGCCAATGGAGTTACGATGATACGACCATTTAAGACATCTTAAACAGAAAAAAACACCTTCCTCATTCACTTGCTCCAAGCCTAATTAAGCCAAAGACAGTCTACGAGGTCGTCTAAAAGGGAACTCTTTTATCCTATTATCTTGTATTTTACGCTCATAAATTAATACGTATGATACTAAGTGAATGACACTAGCATTGCCCCAAAAAGTCAAGCCTTGTGATGTCAGTTGTGCTTCTGTTTTGTAGAATTACAAGGGAAGTAAACTTGAGATTAGAGAATTTTAGAAATCTTGAAGAGCATCAGTTTCTTTTGGGAGCAATCGGTGGTTTAAGCGGTAAGAAAATACCTTATACGTTAATTAGCAAGTTTTTAAAGTTCTAAATTACGAGGTTACACGAGGAGATACATTTTAACTTGTCTTGCATTTTTTTGCTGCCCAGAAGGCCCCAAAATTTCCGGTCGTAGTAACATCATTCTACAGCAGTTTTATCAGTAAGAGAAATTTTACTTTAGGTGTGCTTAATTCACGGAGTAACCTCTCTTGGAACATGCCTCGCATGCTGCAATAAAATTTCGATCAATGATAGGAAAATGGAATAGTGAATTCTCGTACATGAACGGCTTATTAATTATAGTCATTGCCTTATGGATAAGAACTAGTAGGATAATCTCATTATATAGCTTGTGAGCTTGGAGTACTGGTGGTTTCGCCCATATTTGCGTGGCAAGTTTCAGGCTATTCAGATGTCTTGGCCAATGTGAACAATTATTGGGCAAACTGACATCTCACTATTTCGGACATTCAGTGCTAAACCCAATAATGACTGTCTTATAAGACAGAGTTTACAATGGTACGTTAGACTTACAAAAGTTTCGGCCTGCTTTAACAACAGGTGCCACCATCGGTATTCATGAACAGGCGTGTGTCGGCTTCTAGAGCATGTAAGGTCAGGAGGATCTGCTTTTCTACGAGTAGGCAAAGAAAAATGTATTAAAATTACTTTGTGCACCAACTTCCGAGTTTCCCGCTACATTTTTGTTGCAAAAAAACGCTCTTAAGCTAAACTATTTTTTCCAGAGATAATTGCAAGGAAAATTCAGTTCTGGAGTGGTACATTGAGCAGTGTCTCTTGAAACTTGTCTCGCAGCTGCAGCCCAGCACAACTGCGATAAGATATGAAACATGTTTCTGGGACGTGATAAGGGAGCTCTGTTGGAGAAGCACGTCCCCTCGTGTGACAAAATGTTTCTCCTCCATAATGCGTGGAATGCAACTCGTAAAATCTTTGCACCAAGAAGCGGGGACAAAATGGCCTAGATTCTCAGTATGAATGAAGTAGAATATCCTTGATACGTGACCATTAGTGTGTCTCGGCCTTGGTCAAGGAAATCTGTCTTTCTCTACATCACCTTAACTGGCAGCTTGGAAGATCGTGAACTCTCATTTGGTCACTATTCTGAAGCGCTATTTCAGAGTTTCTGGAAATAAGAAACATATACCGCCAATATCATATTTGCTTTATTGCAGAGTCCTTTCAGAGTACAGTACAGAGTTAAAGATTAAACAATAACAGCAGTATCATTTACGACATTAATAGTTATTATTATTATAATGATAATATTAAAATTGATAAGACTGATAATAAAAATTATCATGGTACTGATAATAGAAATGGAAATGATAAGGATGGTGAAAGCGATTGAGATATATGGCTTTACATGAGCTTTAACGTTATAACAACAGGTGCTACTATCGGGATTCATTCAGAGAGACGTGCTTCAAGTTCTAGAATCAACGTCGTCCTGAGAAGTGGGAGACTTCCCTCAAGTTCCTCGCCGACGGTACGGTCTGACTTACTTTTTCTTGCTTAAGATCAAATATTCCTGCCATACGAAATGAGTGGGCAATATCGCTGATTAATGACTGTGATAATAATGGTACAAATTATCACAGCACCACTTCAACTCAGATGCACCGGATAAAAAGAGAAAGAGATTGCTTCAGTAGAATTTGGTAGCTTTATTATAGCAAGAATATAGTAAATGAGAATGGAAAAACGCACATGAGATTTTGAGCACCTCCTCAAATCAGATGCACTGGATAGTAAAAAGAGAAAAAATTGCTTCAGTAGAGTTTGGTAGCTGTTTATACGTGGTCTCAAAGATGAAAACCTCAATTTAGAAATTTAGAATCTTCAATTGGAAAGAGTCAATAAGACAAGGCTACTAGGAGTGAAATTCCAAGAGAAGTCAAATTGGAATGATCTTGTCGAGAACATCGCCAGTGCTTCTTATGGAGTCTTACGCACATTGCGAAAATTGAAACCTTTTCGCTCTATTAAAGAAACTAGACTTGTATTTCCCTATGTGGAGGGTTGAATGAACTTCTAAGGATTATATAATTATACTGGCGGGTGATTCTTCCCTAAAACTCCTTAAAACTGGGTGCGTTCGTTCTACCTACCACGCCTGTACAACTGAAACGGCTCCTTCAAAAAGACCATACATATATATTTGAAAACACATTACTTGTGACCTTTCCCTTTTCAGCCGGCCACCACTATGGAACAGCCGAGAAGCTTTAGGTTTCCAGATAATTGCCCGGATGCAGATTGCGATTTTCTTGTGACATACCAAGCCTCTGGTGATTATCGGGTGGTTATTGAGCTAAGAGGCAGAGGAAACTGGGCAGGGGTGGGATTCAGTGGTGATAATCAAATGGTAAGCAACCTTAATCTGCACGATTAACTTATCTGTTGAGGCAGGCGTATAAGCAGGAAGTAATGAAAGGCGATTGCTTCATGAGCAAATTTTTCGCATCCAAAAATTCAAAAAATAGAGGTTGTTTTCTAAGAGTGAGTGTGCCAGTGGATTGGAGGCACTCGCGGTTAGCGGTTAATAAATTTGTCTTTTTAACGCTAACGTTTAATTGTTTTTCTGTAATACTGCAGTTAACCGCGAAAATAACCTTACAAAAGTCAGTTGTTTTAAAAGTTCATAATTAAACTTTTAATGGTCCCAAAATCACTCTAATTTATTTGTAAGTCTCTTAGGATATTTCCCGGATAAAAAGGCTGAAACAGGCTACATCAGCCAAGAACCGAATCACATACATTCCCAACATGCGATTGACACTCTCTAAATGACATGTTGTGGTTAGAAAAATGTTTATCAATCAACTTTTTTTACGCCCAACTAGTTTCTAATAATTTTAGCCTTGTTGAGGCTCTTTCTAACTCTTACCTCCACAGCCTAATACCGACATACTTATTTGCGCTAGTGATACCTCACTGAGTGGCCATTATTACGCAACAGCTAGAACAACACCAACTAGGACAGTTCCAGTAAGTCATTTATTGCTATTTTTTATTATTGGCGATGTAGCCAGTTCGGTTTCTTGCTCGCTTGGCTTTAATTAGTTCTCATCATATTTATTTAGCATGTAGTTATCGCAAGTTACGACTTCAGCCGCCCGACCTTTGCTTCTCTCTGATTCCAAAGCTCATCTTCGCCATTGTCGCTTTTTCTCCCGTTTCTATCGGACTATAAGCACGTGCGAAATTTCATTTTACTCAGTCTAAGCTCTTTCTACACTTCTGTACCTGAGATACTGGCATGTTTTTACAAATTTTAACGCATTCTCTTCGTGGTCACAACAGTATATACAGTTTTATCACGAGTAAGTAAAATAGAGTAATATATTTCGAGAACGTTCAGACATGTACGTTTAACAGAACGTTTTGTTTTAAGATTAAATTAAAAGAAAAAGGTGACTGAGATACATAACATAGAGAAGATGAAGCCGCTCAAGAAATTTACCGAGGTACCAGGTTGAATCGTGAGATCAACTCTTATTAGCCAAAACCTTTTATTTTTTATTATTAAATATTTTTTATAGGCTCCACTCGCGGTGCAAATCACTGACCAATTATTTAATGGTGGCGTGGTGTCTTGCAGGTAACGTATCATCATCATCATCGTCGTTAATTATCATAGACATCCTATTCATTATCAATATAATCATATCATTATATTTAGCAATTATTCGCCGAAGGCGAAGTAAATATTGTTGAATAATTCGTCTCGGGGATTATTCAACAATATTAACTGAGCCTGAGGTGAACAATTGCTTTAGTATATTCACACGAAGTGATCTCAACAGAATCAGAAAGGAAACCTTTAAAAAATATATTGGGTGAGTTTGATTGACGGGTGAATTCATGCGTGAACACGAAGCCGTTAATAGTGGATGCGCAAAAGTTAGATCTTTACAGTATCTTCAAACATGGCAAATGATAGTTTTAATCTTTCTGTATCGATTGTTGTACCTTTAGCATCAACGGTTTAAAAGAAAACGTCGAAAATTTAAATTACTCCCTAATTCTGAGAAGAAAAGTAGAGCTTTATTTGTTTTTGTCAACTCACTGTGAATGAGAAAGTTTTATTTGTCGCTTTCTCCAAAATGCTATCAACAGCGGCTACGATCAAGGTGAGCGTTGTTTATCTGTAGTGTTCTTTGCCTTGTTAACTTGCTGGCACTTACAGTTTTCGAAAATATTTGCCTTCCTTTTTTCTCCATAAATTGACTTCTATTTATAGGCAAAATTGGTCTTGCGAGAAAATCCCGAAATCACAAAACAGTAACAAAGAGGCCTCGTTTTCCTCTGTAGTGGGAAACATAGCTTCGAAAGTACCAAAAGTCAGCTACAGTAAACCACTTCACAATAAATTAAAATCACGCTGTTTAAACACCATGAAGTCTTTCCCTACCTTGAAAGTCATCAACACTTGGAAATTCTTGTAGTTTCAAAAAGCTCTTACTATGTAACTTTGGCAAAACACCCAGTTCACGACAGCGATTTTGTTCTACTTTATATTCACCGCCTAGCGCGGTGAATATTTAACATTTATTCCTCGAGCCCGAATGGGCTCTGAGTCATTCCGGCTCGAAGAATAAATGTTTAGTAAAATCCAAGTAGTTGGTCATAAATTTCGAGAAAAAACAACTTTAGTTAGCAAAACGTGATTCAGCCGCCATTGTTTTGGTTTTCAAAGTCGGCGCTTTTCGCTGCTAGTGGGCTATAACATATAGCCTAGTAGAAGCTCAACCAATCTGAACGCAGCATTGATAATAGACCACTAGTTGGATTTTGCTAAAACGTCATAGTCCGAGATAGCGAGCCAATCAGATTGCTTGAATCACCAAGATCACTGAGTGTGTACTAATATCATATTCTCAAAACTGTTGGATCATATTCATTTACTGAAAATGCCCTGCAAAATGCAGGAAATGGCATTTGCGACACCCTTAATTTAAATGTTTTCTGGGGGAACATGCCCCAGACCCCCTGGTTTGAAGCGCCTTCAGCTTTCTAACTTTCTTCACGCTGATTTCTCTCACATTTCGACCTTGATTTGCAGTTGGAATTCGATAAGTTCTTGTTAGGATAACAGGGGATTTTACGCGCGTAAATACGTAAGGCAATACCACAACCATTCCCTAAAATGTAGCCTAGTGCATGATGTCAATTGTGTTACTGTTTTATAGAATTACAAGGGAAATAAACCCGGTATCAGCGAATTTTAGAAATCTTGAAGAGCAGCAGTTTCTTTTGGGAGCAATCGGGGATTTAAACGGTAAGAAAATATCTGATACGTTAATTAGGAAATTTAAAGTTTCAATTTACGAGTTCATTTTAACTTGTCTTGCAGTTTTTTTTTACTGCAAAAAGGGACCAAAATTTCCGGTCATAACATCATTATTCTACAGCCGTTTTATCAGTTAGAGAATTGTTATTAAAGGTGTGCTTACTTCACTGAGTAACTTCTCTTGGAACTTGCCTCGCATGTTGCAATGAAACTTCGATCAATTATAGGAAAAAGTAATAATTATGGTACAACGTCTTATAAATTATAATTGTTGTCGTATGGATCAGAACTAGTAGGATAATCGCATTATGTAACTTGTGCCCTTGAGCTACTGGTGGTTTCACCCATCTTTGCGAGCCACTCTTTAAAGGCAAGTTTCAAGCTATATGACGGTCTTGGCCAATGTAAACATTTATTGGGCACACTACTGACATCTCTCTATTTCGGATATTCAGTGCTAAACCCGATATTGGTGACTGTCTTAGACAGAGTTTACAGTGGCACGTTAGACTTACAAAAGCTTCTGCCTGATTTAACAAGAAGTGCCACCATTCCGTTTCGTATTCATAGCGGCAGGCGTGTGTCGGCTTCTAGAACATGTAAGGTCAGGAGGATCGGCTTCTCTACGAGTAGGCAAAGCAATGTGTGGTACTTTAGACTTACACGTCATAGAGCTTCTGCCTGATATAACAACAGGTGCCACAATCGGTATTCATAGATTCTCAGTTTACATGAAGTATAATATCCTTGAAACGTGTGCCTCGGCTGTGCTCAAGGAAAGCTGTGTTACTTTACATCACCTTAGCAGGCAGCTTGGAAGATCGCGAACTATCATTTGGTCACCATTTAGGAGGACTATTTCCGACTTTCTGGAAATAAGAAACATATCAAAGCGTCAATGTCATATTTGCTTTCTTGCAGAGTCCTTATGCTTTTAGTTGGGTTCAGTACAGTGTTAAAGATTAAACAATAACAGCAGTATCAATTACGGCATTAATAATAATAATAATTATTAGCATGATAATACAGTCGACTCCCGATAACTCGAACCTTCAAGGGAAATAAAAAAAAAGGTTCGAGTTATCGTGAGTTCGAGTTATCGGGATCCCGAAGAAAGTAGCCGAGAGTAAGGTAAACAACAGTTTTTATTGCACAGTGAACATTTTAATCACATTGTAGAAATGTCAAGTGAAAAGTAAAAGATACTTCTAGATTACAAATCAGAACGTAACGTAACAAAACATAGCCTAAATAGAGCATGCGTTTTACTGTTTTGAGAAGAAAAGCTGCTTCACGTTAGCCTGTGACAATCAACATCAGCCTCCACTGGTAAACTATACTCCGACAAAACGTCAATAGGAAATCCAAAATTCAATGTTTCGGACGCCCGTAGACGGCTTTTTTCCCGACTTTCTAAGGGCTCAAAACATGGTTCACCGAGTCTATTTATCGAGGGTAAATTTATATAGAAAAAGACCTAAGGGGAAACGAAAATTGGTTCGAGTTAGCGGGAGTTCGTGTTATCGAGGGTTCGAGTTACAGAGGGTAAAATTACAGTAAATGTATGACGGAAATCCAGGGGAAATCGATTTTGGTTCGAGTTAGCGCGAGGTTCGAGTTAGCGAGGGTTCGAGTTATCGGGAGTCGACTGTATTAAAATTGATAAGAACGACGATGGAAATTATCATGGTACTGATAATAGAAATGGGAAAGATAAGGATGGTGAAAGCGATTACGATATATGGCTTTACATGAGCTTTTACGTTATAACAACAGGTGCTACTATCGCGATTCATTCAGCGAGAAGTGCTTCAAGTTCTAGAATCAACGTCCTGACAAGTGGGGGAGTGGGGAGTGGAGGAACTGTTATTCCCTCAAGTTCCTCGTCGACGGTACGGTTTTACTTACTTTTTCTTGCTTAAGGTAAAATATTCCTACCATTTGAAATGAATGGGCAATAACGAAAATAATTGCTGTAATAATAATGGTACAAATGATAACAGCACAACTTCAACTCAGATGAATAGGTAAAAAAGAGAAAGAACGTACTTTAGTAGAGTTTGGTTGCTGTTTATATTATAGCAAGCATATAGCAAGTGAGAACAGAAATAAGCATGTGAGATTTTTAGCGCCCCTTCAAATCAGAGGCACTAAATAAAAAGAGAAAAAATTGCTCCAGTAGGGTTTGGTAGCTAGTTAGTCGAGCTTGCTTTAGCAGAGCGAGACTTTAAAAATGCAGGCGTTTCTTTTTTTTTCTTTGTCTGTCAGCACCAAATAGTAGGCCAGGCGTTCCTAGTGGAGAGCTTGGAAACTGAAGATAAAATTCTTGACGACTTTCATTGTATGCAAATGAATCTCGTAATGAGCATGCTGTTTATTTTCAGCGATGACTGAAATGACGCATATAGGTTGATCACGTTTTCGCTGTTTGGCAATGATGTAATTTTCTCCGAATCGAGGCCCTTGATTTTCGTGTAATTATGCACGACATGCACGCGTATTAAAAAGTAAATATTATGAGTAGGATAAGAAAATATTATAGTGGGAAAATTCTGTTTCGCGGTGTATTGAGGCGTTACGTTTCTCAGAATATTGTCGCAATTACTGAGACGCTACGGTTAAATAGATTCACTTTGTTGTATGTATTTGATTGATAGATTTTCTGTTATAAATACTTAAGATAACAATGATTTAAACTTTAAGTACAACTACCCGCCTGACGCTAGTGTATGTGTCACGGATGTGTTTATACGGGTAGCTTTGTACTTGACTATCACGTACTCTAGTTGCAGCACTTCATGTCTATAGAATAGATATCTCATATCGAACTTTTCCGGAACGGTACAGGAATTCTATCGCTTGAAAGCGTTGATTACATTGGAACAAGATATTACTTCAGTGGTCGAAAAAAAAAGATTAATCTTTTAAATGAGCAAAACTTCGAGGTTTACTGGGAAATCAGGATCAAGGATCGAGGATTGAGGATCGGGGATAAGTAAATAAATCGTGGATCGTGGTGATGTGGGCCGTCGACTGTAGATACATTTCACATAACATAACCCCGTTCGCTGTACTGAACACTAAATTTAAGTAAAATACTCCGAGTCTGACTGAGTCAGTAATCGTTTGAACGAGAAAGTCAAATTTTTCTGGAAAATGAAACACTTTATCCCAGTGATACTGTGATAAAATGCATGCTGTGTACAGCTCTGAACATTGCACTCTGAGACTGTACGGAGATATTAAAAGAAGATACTGACTAAGCAGCTATGGAAAATGCAATTACTTTCAAGCGACTTTGATATCTTAAAAAACGGACAACAAATTCAACAGGAATACGCGCGAACTGAATTAACTGTCAGTTGTATAAGGTTCCGCAAAACGTACACATTTTTCCTGTGCTGAACATATACTTTATTATATACATACTGAGAAATACTCACCAAAAAGCTATGTCGTAAATTTTCGTACGCAAATTAGTTCTAGCCAATCAGAGTTGCGAACGATGGTTTTCACACGTGAAAAAAATGATACGTCCAATCAGAATCGCGAGCGATGTTTTTTCACGTGTGAGAAAAATGATACGTCCAATCAGAGGCGACAGAGGTGTGTGAGTTTCGCGCCAAAATTCCCGCCTTTTATTGCAACTTGCGGCGCCGCTTCGCACACATTCAACGAGAAAAGTTTTACTCAAAGAGTTTTTCTCGCTAAAAAAGTGAAAAACATTTTGGAAATGGAGTGGAATAGTTTCGTTTGTGTCACTGTCGATAAAGAAAACGGCAGAGAGCCGGCGAAACAACAGCGGAAAGGGAAAAACAGAACGAGACGTAAGCTTTTGTTGTGCTTTTTGTCGGAGCTACTTTGCCTTTCATTTAAGCTTAAGCTTATATTGAAACCGGCCATTTTACTTAAATTCACTCATTTTCAATTGTGCATTGACAACAAACAGTGAAGATCACTTATAGTTCTTGGATTACCTCATATCCTTACCGTCATTTATGTTGTTAACAAACGTTTTTACTAAAAAGCTGATACTTCGTTTTCGTTGTCATTTTGCGGCAAGTGTGTAGCGGCAAATAAGCATTTTTGAAAGATTTAAAATAAAAAGGCCGCCAAAATGATGAATGTCTCGGTATGTATATAATAAACACAATACCATATGGAAAGTGCTTTGTACGGTATTTACGCACTCGTTGTTTTTGTATCAGAAATCTTACTCGTTCGCTGCGCTCACTCGTTCGATTTCTGATTCGTCAACAACTCGTGCGTAAATACCGTACGACAGCACTTTCCATGAAGTATTCTCTATATACCGAGACGTATCTTGGTCCGCTACATAGAAGCTATATACATATACATTATACTGATAAAAAATCATTGTTCAATTTTTTGAGCGTAAAATCCCAATGTGTTAAATGTTGTCCAAAATACCTCTTGAGCTCGCGAGTTTTATATGAGGGTACCAATGAGGTTAACAGTTAACTGATACTTGGCCAAAAAACAATAGTTAGCTGATATTTGGCCAAAAAATTGGTGGTTAACTGAGAAATGAAAAGGTAACAGTGACATCCTATTAACTATACTGAATAAAATCGTCGATGTTAATTGTGATGAACAATGAACATTCAATCAAAGAGAACTTGATTACGTAATTAAGCTTAGTTTTGTTTTGATTTAGATAAGATACGTTTCTGTTCTGTTTCATTTATCGAGTTTTTACGCCCCTATTTTCTTGTACTATTGTTCACAGTTTGAATCAATTACGTAGTTAACCATTCCTGTTTTCTAACCGGTTTTACAACTGTACACGTGAATTGTAGTCTTATCAGAGAACGCCCCTTTAGTTTTTGGGGAGTTGGAGTTAGGAGATCTACGGAGCAACGTCGGAGTTTTCAGAGCGGTTTTATCTTTTTCGGAGTTACGTAACGTTGGAGTTTCTCTAGCCCTTAAGACAGGATCAGACGTAAGTTTCAGCTTATTGTATTTAGTTTTCGTTTTCCTTTCAATTTTGCTTCTTTTGTAATTAGCCTCAGCCCCTTTTTTGATCTTGTACATTGTAATTTCCCCTTTTAGTTTTCACCGCATGTGTACAATAATTCAGACGAGTTGGTGATCGTATTAAATGCTGTTGAGTCAACTTGTGCTGTTAAATTTTATACTGTGGTTGACACTTCCCGATCTCCAGTGCACAACATCCCGTGTCCGCTGCACTGGGTACGCGACATTAATGAAAGCAACAAAGGTTTTCAAACAGCAAAGCTTTCTTGTGACATTTATCTGCCCTGCTGATGACCCGGTGATATGGCGGCATTAACTGATAAAATTATGTGCAAAATATACCAGGGTCCTACTAGCTAAACAGAAAGCGTCAGTCATAGCGCTGGTTGTAGACAATTCAACGAATAATTCATATTCTTATGTTAACAAGATTTCTGTTTTCGGGGAAAAAAAAACATTGTTTTCACGGACCCAAAAGATCGTCATATTAAACATAATTTACTACCCAGAGAAAAAAGACGTGACTATTGTTCAGTTAGACCTTGGAAAGAAGAACATTCTGATGGGGCAGAAAATCAGCATCTTTTGTTTACGTACTGGAATTTACACAAACAAGCAACAATTTTTTGTAACTGATGTTGCAGTTTTAGCTATTAAGCTCGTGTTTAAACCAGTCTTTGTGAAACAGTTGCATTAAAATTTCTGAAACCTTAAGCTTTGGATATCTTTATGACCTTTTGAAATAAACGAAAAGGCACGCCTTCGAAAAAGGTAACATACAGACACGCGATAAAGAACTTTGACAAAGTCTGCGTGTATGAACGCGAGGGATGAACAAACAGCAACTGAAAACGTCAGGTGCTGATGTCTTATCCTCAAGGGAAAAAACTCAGAACCTCACCTAAATCATAATCCAGTCCCTAATTGCCCTATCAAAGAAACTAGACTTGTATTTCCCGATGTGGAGGGTTGAATTAACTTCCCAGGATTACACTAGTGCTGGCTAGTGATTCTTTCCTAAAACTCCTTTAACCCGGGTGCGACCCACTACCCCTGTAAAACTGAAACGGCTCCTTCAAAAAGAACATACATGTATATTTGAAATCATATTACTAGTGATCTTTTCCTTTTCAGCCGGCCACCACTATGCAACAAGGAAGCTTTAGGTTTCCAGATAATTGCCCAGATGCAGACTGCGATTTTCTTGTGAATTACCAAGCCTCTGGTGATAACAGTGTGGTTTTTGAACTAAGAGGCAGAGGAAACTGGGCAGGAGTGGGATTTAGCGATGATAACCAAATGGTAAGTAACCTTAGCCTGTAGAATCGATTTATCTGTAGAGGCGGACGTACGGACGCAGGGAAGGACAGTTACGTGATAAGCATCTCAAATCCATTAATGAAAAGAGCTACAGGTTGTTTTATAAGAGTGTGCCAATTGATTGGACGCACTCGCGGTTAGTAGTTGATAATTTGTCTTTTTAACGCTAACAGTTAATTGGTTTTCTCTTCTGCAGTTAACCGAAACTAACATAACAAAAGTCAGTTGTTCCAAAATTTCAAAATATTCATTTTGATGGTCCCAAAATCACTTTTATTTGTAGGTCTCTTAGGACCTTTCCCGGATAAAAAAAGAGGCTACAGGCTACATCATGCAGCCATGCGGCCGAATCACATGAAGTCCCAGCATTCGATCGACCCTCTCTAAATGGAATGTTTTGTTTAAAACAGTCAACATTTTTTAAGCACTAACTAGTAACATTTTTATTTTTTTTTTATGCCCAACTAATAATAATTTTAGCCTTGTTATGGCCCTCTCCAAACTCTTGCCTGAGTTTTATCTCGCTTTTCAACAGCCTGATACAGACATACTTATTTGCGCCAGTGATACCTCACTAAGTGGCCATTACTACGCAACAGATAGAACAACACCAGCAAGGACAGTTCCAGTAAGTCATTTGCCTTTTTTTTTTTTTTTATTATTGGCGATATGGCCTTCGGAACGTTGCTAAACATCATAATTGAAGTTCGTTTTTTTTAGTTTTCTTGCGCCCTTGCCTTTAATTAGTTTACCATGTAGTTATCCCATGGTAGTGCGGCTGCCATCTTCTTTGCTCCTCTCTGATTCCAAAGCTTATCACCATAATCGTTTTTTCTTACGTTTCTATGAGATAATAAGCACATGCGAAATTTTCATTTTACTCAAGACGTTGAATTCTACACTGTACCTGAGATGCTGGCATGTTTACACGCATTCTCTTCGTAGTCACAACCTTATATACAGTTTTATCACGAGTAGGTAAATAAAGTAATATGTGTCTTGAGAACGTTCAGACATGTACGTTTAACAGAACGTTTTGTTTTGAAATTAAAGAAAGAAAAAGGTGACTGAGATACATAAAATAGAGCAGATGAAGCGACTCAAGAAATTTATCGAGGTACCAGGTTGAATAATCAGTTCAATTCACATTTGCCAAAACTTTTTAAAATTTATTGTTAATTTTTTTATAGACTCCACTTGCGGTAGAAATCACTGACCAATCATTTAATAATGGCGTGGTGTCTTGCAGGTAAGTCATCATCATCGTTGTCGTTAGTTATCATAGACATCATCATCAATATAATCATCATCATGTATGTTATCATGTTCTCAAAACTGTTGGATCATACAAAATGCCCTGCAAAATACAGGGAATGGCATTTTCGAAATCCTTAATTTGATTTTTTTCCGGGGGAGCATGCCCCAAGACAACGTAGTTTTTGAGCTTCTTCGGCTCCCTAACTTTCTTCCAGTGCGTACACCTTCTAAACTTCATCGGTTTCGCCCCTTCTTCGCAGTTGGATTTCAATAAGTTTTTGTTAGGATAACAGGGGATTATCCTAGTCGACTGGATTAGTGGTGATTTTTTTAATCGCCAATGGAGTTACGATGATACGACCATTTAAGACATCTTAAACAGAAAAAAACACCTCCCTCATTCACTTGCTTCAAGCCTAATTAAGCCAAAGACAGTCTACGAGGTCGTCAAAAAGGGAACTCTTTTATCCTATTGGCCACTCCAGAAAATACCATAACATACCATAATGCTTTTTGATTGTCGCCCCAAAGTTTTGCATAAGCATTGTCTTCAGTTTCTCTTGGGAGTTAAAATGGCCCCAAGAGAAACTGAAAACAATGCTTATGCAAAATTTTGGGGTGACAAACAAAGAACATTATGGTATGTTATGGTATTTCTGGAGTGGTCAATTATCTTGTATTTTACGCTCATAAATTAAAACGTATGATACTAAGTGAATGACACTAGCATTGCCCCAAAAAGTCAAGCCTTGTGATGTCAGTTGTGCTTCTGTTTTGTAGAATTACAAGGGAAGTAAACCCGATATTAGAGAATTTTAGAAATCTTGAAGAGCATCAGTTTCTTTTGGGAGCAATCGGTGGTTTAAGCGGTAAGAAAATACCTTATACGTTAATTAGCAAGTTTTTAAAGTTCTAAATTACGAGGTTACACGATGAGATACATTTTAACTTGTCTTGCATTTTTTTGCTGCCCAAAAGGCACCAAATGTCCGGTCATAACAACATTATTTTACAGCAGTTTTATCAGTAAGAGAAATTTTACTTTAGGGGTGCTTAATTCGCAGAGTGACTTCTCTTGGAACGTGCTTCGCGTGTTGCAATAAAATTTCGATCAATTATAGAAAAATGGAATACTGAATTCTCGTACATGACCCGCTTATTAATTATGGATATTGCCGTATAGATAAGAAATAGTAGGATAATCTCATTATATAGCTTGTCAGCTTGGGCTACTGGTGGTCTCGCCTATTTTTGCTTGGAAAGTTTCAAGCTATTCAAATGTCTTGGCCAATGTGAACAATTATTGGGCAAACTGTCATCTCACTATTTCGGACATTCAGTGTTAAACCCAATAATGACTGTCTTAGAGAGAGTTTACAGTAGTACGTTAGACTTACAAAAGTTTCGGCCTGTTTTAACAACAGGTGCCACCATCGGCACTCATGGACAGGCATGTGTCGGCTTCTAGAGCATGTAAGGTCAGGAGGGTCTGCTTTTCTACGAGTAGGCAAAGAAAGATGCATTAAAATTACTTTGTGAACCAACTTCCGAGTTTCCCGCTACATTTTTGTTGCAAAAAAAAGGCTCTTAAGCGAAACTATTTTTGCCAGAGATAATTGCAAGGAAAACTCAATTCTGGAGTGGTACATTGAGCAGTGTCTCTTGAAACTTGTCTCGCAGCTGCAGCCCAGCACAACTGCGATGAAATATGAAACATGTTTGTGGGACGTGATAAGGGAGGTCTGTTGGAGAAGCACGTCCCCTCGTGTGAAAAAATGTTTCTCCTCCATAATGCGTGGAATGCAACTCGTAAAATTTTTGCATCAAGAAGCGGGGACAAAATAACCTAGATTGTCAGTATAAATGAAGTAGAATATCCTTGATACGTGACCATTAGCGTGTCTCGGCCTTGCTCAAGGAAAGCTGTCTTTCTCTACATCACCATAACTGGCAGCTCGGAAGATCGTGAACTCTCATTAATTTGGTCACTATTTGGAAGCGCTATTTCAGACACTCTGGAAATAAGAAACATATACCGCCAATATCATATTTGCTTTATTGCAGAGTCCTTTCAGAGTACAGTACAGAGTTAAAGATTAAACAATAACAGCAGTATCATTTACGACATTAATAGTTATTATTATTATAATGATAATATTAATTGATAAGACTGATAATAGAAATTATCATGGTACTGATAGTAGAAATGGAAATGATAAGGATGGTGAAAGCGATTGAGATATATGCCTTTACATGAGCTTTAACGTTATAACAACAGGTGCTACTATCGGGATTCATTCAGAGGGACGTGCTTCAAGTTCTAGAATCAACGTCGTCCTGAGAAGTGGGAGACTTCCCTCAAGTTCCTCGCCGACGGTACGGTCTGACTTACTTTTTCTTGCTTAAGATCAAATATTCCTGCCATACGAAATGAGTGGGCAATATCGCTGAATAATGACTGTGATAATAATGGTACAAATTATCACAGCACCACTTCAACTCAGATGCACCGGATAAAAAGAGAAAGAGATTGCTTCAGTAGAATTTGGTAGGTTTTTTATAGCAAGAATATAGTAAATGAGAATGGAAAAACGCACATGAGATTTTGAGCACCTCCTCAAATCAGATGCACTGGATAGTAAAAAGAGAAAAAATTGCTTCAGTAGAGTTTGGTAGCTGTTTATACTATAGCAGGCATATAGCAAATGAGAACAGAAAAAAGCATGTGTGATGTTTAGCACCTCTTCAAATCAGATGCACGGGATAAAAATTAAGAGAAAAAAGTGCTTTATTAGAGTTTGATAGCTAGTTCACGTTATAGTAAGCATAATGAAATCGAGAAGCATACAATTGTAAGATTTCCAATATGTTAAATGTTCCGAAAAGCCATAGGCGTGCGGGAAACTTTTTACCAGGGAGGGGGGGGGGGGGGAGGGCGGTAAACCGCTTGCTCAAAAATATCTCGCAAGTTGCCCAAATTTTTACGAAAGAGTCGAAAAGAAATGAGGGCCATATTGCAACAACATAGGCCGTCCTGGCATATGAAGGTGGCTCGATACAGTTTTTCAGGGTCAATACCAAGTCTGAGCATAAACTACGTCGCCATAAACAAACATTTGGAAAAATTGCGACTACAGCTAGGGTTGCAATGACATCGGAGTTGTCATAGCAACGAAATGACTCCATTACCTATTTTACTTCAGTAATTCAAACTGAGAGTTCAGTAGTCAGCCACTTCTTCATTTTCATACCCACTGCTAATGCTATCTCCCATACACTGTTCTTCGAGTGGAGATGATTCTAGAAAGTTATGCAAAAGTATATTTTAATCAATTCACGACTGGAAATAGCCCATTCCAGGTAGTGCAGTGCAGTATAGTGCCCAACAAAAAAAAAAACTGCAAATATGTAAATTACTCATCACGCCGACTTCAGGTTAATACTCAGGTCTTCAAAATAATTATATAAACATGGAGACGTCTCTAAAAACTGGCTTTGCCCAAATTTTCTCTCGCTGCCCAAAAAATCTGAGTGCCCAAAATCTGGGGGGGCTGCAGCCCCCCTTGCCCCCCCCCCCCGGCCCGTACGCCTATGCGAAAAGCTCCTGACGTCGCGAGTTTTATATGCCACGCGGCTACCAACCCTGCCAGTAAGACAAAAACAGTACATTCAAACTAAGATATAAATTTTGAAACACGTGTTACAAATGAATTATTCATCTTTATTCTCTTGCTTTAACTCTCCACCTGGTTTATTAACGTAACACAGCTTCGAGGCTCTCCAGACTAAAATACATGCCTAATAAATGTTATCGAAAATAAATGGGAAATAGGTGTTCTACTCCTGTTTATTACTGACAATGAGATCGTTTTCGAAGGCTCTCTCAGGATAAATAGACTGCCTACTAGAATAGCTACTTATTTTTACAAGTTAAACGTGCGATGTTTACCGGTAACCATGGATTTAACAAGCATCACATGGCTTCATAGGGGGCATCAATTGAAAAGAATCACATAGGAATGTGCTTTAGTTACAGAGAATGCTTGTGCTGGCGTAGCCTGCATGAGAACCCGTCCTACATTCTCGACGCGAACAACGATTTTCCCGCTATGAAAATGAAACCCATGCATGGTAGCGTCACGAAATGTCGGCTGACTTTTCTCGGGCTAGTATAACTGTGCCTTCGTACCTTTTTTTGGTAATATACTGACGAAGAACTACACCAGGGAAGTCACTAACGCGAAGGAGGTTTGAAAATCTGATCCGAGCTTGAAATTTCTTTTAGAATATCGCACATTATATCAAACGCTTGAATTGTGAAATCTGATATCCAGAAATTACGAAAGCTTTCGGTACACGTTTTGACTGTCAATATACCTTTTTTAGATGCATACATTTGTGTTTTTACCCTGCGAACAGAGTCTTCTTCGATCTTCCTAGATAAGCCTCTCCTAGGTGAGTCTTTCCCGACTCATTGAGGAAAGATCGAAGCCACTCTGGAACGGGGTATCGTGTTTTTTGTGGACCCACATATAGATGTTCGCTGGCAGGTAAAAACACCACATCTCTGTTTCAATATTTCTTGGTGTTCACAAAATTTTTTTGATGCCGTTATTTCCTTACCTTCTTAATTAACAGAATGCTGGACCGCATCCATTTCTTGGTATTTTTACAATCGCATTAGCGCTTATTCAGCTGATCATGGCAGCACTCAGACGTCATCCTTGAGAACCCAAGTAAGATTAAACTCTTTATACAGCAACGATGCGTGATAAGTCCCGAAGTTAATAACACTTTGTTAATGCGAGAAGATTGAATCCATGAGTCATTTAATCAGTAGGTGGTAAATAATCGTCTAACTGTAAGCGTGTCCCTAAATAGCACTGTTGTTAGCTGTGACTGACGTTTGGGCAAAGTATAAATGGAGTCACAAAATGAGTTTATCACGTCAACTCAACGAACACTACTAAGGGCCTGTTTACATGGAGGTGGGGGACCCCAGGTAGGTGAAGTAACCCGCCAGTCCATATATTCTCTCATTTCAATTTGATCACGTCTACATGATAGGTGAGGTGACCCGCCAAGGCGGGTAGCCCGGTCTGCCAGACCGGGTAATCCTCTCAGCCGGGGTCAAATTTTGCCATGTAAGCGTTTCAAGGTGGGGTAACCCGCCTAGCCGGGTTCGGATTCATGATACGTCAAATTCGCGCAAAATTCACTTTGGCTATGGCTTTGCATCATTATTAAAGGTAACAATATAATGAAAAAGAACTGAAGGTTGCAGCAAGAGCAGTAAGTGAGTGTAAAAGAGCATTAATCGCCAAAACACGTGGTTTGCCAGCATTTTTCTTGTTTACGAGCTTAGCGACGATTCAATAATCTTGAGAAAGTGCACCCCGGGATGGCGAGATTGGAAGACTGCATGTAAAGGAGGGTTATTGTTTTACCCCACCTAAGCGGGTTAGCTCACCTACCTAGTTTCCCCCACCTCCATGTAAACAGGCCTTACATAGCAAAATCTGAGTGCTAGGTTAAACGTCAGTACCTACTACAATAATTCTAAAACCAGATGCTGGTTCAAATAATGCAAAGACTGTAACTTTTGGCCTTATTTAACAAAGTTTAGAAATAAGATCAATTTTCAAATCTTAATTTGAATCGATCGATCAGGGCTTGCACAGTCTTGAATTTTAGGAGAAGTCCTTTAAAAGTCCTTGAATTCCATTTCCTTAAAAAGTCCTAGAATTTTCTTCAGATTTGAATGAAGTGGCCCAGAAAGGGTGGCCTGGTTGTCCAAGACAAGATATAAATCATTGCGTAGAGAAGTTAAAGGTGATTTACATCAAGCTTTTTTTTTGGCTTGATGCAAGAGGTAACTATCAATTTAAGACAAGTGCTGAAAAATTTAGGGAAGTTGGTGAAGCAAACAGTTCAAGCCTTAAAGTCCTGTGCATTTTTGTACAATCTGTGAAATTACATTCCAGATAGGTGGTCCTTGAAAGTGAAATGTGGTCTTTGAAAAGTCCTCGAAAAGTCCTTAAAAAATGGTTGCAATTTTTTGTATAAACCCTGGGGATAAATACATTAATCAATAAAAACAAAGATACTAGTAACTGATGCCGGATAATTTCTCATTGAATCCACTATTGTTATTCCACACAATTTCTCACTTTCTTTGTTGCCTTTTTTTTTCAGGCAATGTGTCATACAACTGCCATTTCTGTCAAAGTGTGGAGGAAATACCAGCATTAAATTCCAACGAGGGGAAAAAACATTTTTTGGAACATTGGTTGTTGCTAGTCTGGCTTATAAATACTGCCGAATAATTCGTGTGCATCTTCGAAATATACCTTGAGGTTATATTTTATTCTATGAAAGTATTTTCTTGTAACATTGCGCATGTTAAACTGTCAGCGGATTCATTTTTTTTCTGTCATTTAAAAAACTGCGATGTTGTACAACCTGTATAACTGACATGGCTCTTAAATGTCCTTGAGCACTGTTGTTATTGGGAATTTTTTTTGAGGGGGGATTTCCGATAAACCGTCAAACCGCTCTTGCTTAGATTGTCTTTGGTGAAATTAGAGAAAAAAATTAAAAGCATTTATTTGAAATAAAACATTTCAAACTAGGCTAAAAACCTTTGAAAGATGCAGTAGGTCAGAATATCATTTAAAAAAGGAGTGACAAAATATCAAGAATCCAATGCATTTTTTTACGTTTGCTATAATTTTTATTTCATGCCTTTTTAAACACTTTTCAAACTTACCCGAATTTTGCTGCTTATATTTCAGGGTTGGGTTATGATCATTTCGCTGACCATTAGGTCCATTGGCGTAGACAATGAAACCAAAACTTGAGACTCTACAGCTGTGCATTTTTGGTTGAGGTTACAATATGATTTTGACAAAGATGAAGAGCTTTAAACAACCAAAATACGCAGAAAAAGCTTATAATAAGTTGAAATGTATAGTTACTTTTTCATCAGTCAATAATATCAAATCACGGCCCAGTACCAAATGCATGGCACGCAGCTACTGAACTGACCATATACCTTCCTCTGACATCGTTGCGTCAAAAATTGTTTGATTTTTTTTTAAACGAGGGAATGTCTCTACAATATAACATAAAAGAGTGTGGAGAGTGACTCCTAAATTATGCCTTGCAAGGTGGTATCTACAACAGCAACAGCAACCAATTAAGATGACGATTTTATTATCGTTACAATTCAGTTCTGAGTCATTTTCGTGGGTTGGGTATTTAAACTTTCATCAAAGGCTTTCACCTCCGAAATTTCCTTATGCTTAGTTTCACTCAATAAAGATTGAGCCAAAAGTCTTTACGTTTTCTAATGAACCTTCGTTTATTTGCCGGTGTGGTTACTTGGGGATGTTCATAGCTGAAATTAAATTGACAGTATCCACGGAACATGCAAATAATAATAATCATAATAATAAAGCTGCTAAATCATATTAAAACGAGTAAATGACCTTACTTGCCTTTATTCTTTAGCCTTGCTTCTGTTTGATGGTTATTTAACAATTGATGAACGAGGCTCAGTATCTAATGAAAAATTATGGAAATCTCGGACGGTGTTGTCCGACGAGGCCTAACACCCTCCGAGATCTCCATAATTCTTCATATGATACGAAAGCCGAATTCAATAATTGTTTTATTATTCATTGAAAATAATTCCTAGTTTAAAAACATGGCTAAAACATGCTTACCTCCATCGAACCATTGATGTTAAGTTCATCTTCGATAATGCACGTATAGGGTTGTTCAGCCCCGCAATATTCTCCAAATGGCAGATGTCACCCTTCGAGTTGTCTTCTTGCTGTTCTTGCCATGTTAGTAGCTATTATTTCGCCTAGTTCTTACTCTTAAAACGAGTGGAATGTCCGCCATTTATGTTTTCACAACCAAAACAACTCAACCTGGTCCCCAGTTCTTCCCGGTTAACGGTGCATTAACCTGCAAGAAGGCTGCATTTTTGACGTCATCGGTTCTTTAAATGCAAAATTCTTCCAAATTTGGTCATCAGTAGCTGGTTATGGTGAATCATGCGTGTGCTTTTAGCTAATCAGAATCGGGGAAATATTTTGAATGAATAACAATTAACAGTTATTCTTTGAAATCGAGGTGAATTGTGGCTAAATATTTACCGAGCCGCGAAAGCGGCGAGGTAAATATTCCCAAAGCCACTATTCACCGAGATTGAAAAGAATAATTGTTTTAGTATATGCACACGAAGTGATCTCAACAAAATCAGAGAGGAAACCATTAAAAAGTACGAAAACTTGTCGAAACGGTTATTATGAGTAGTGGGAATTCAAGGTTTTCGCGGAGGTACTGTTTAAAAAAAAAAAAAAAAAAAAAGAGAACTGTTCGGCTATTTAGGGCTATGCAAGATTGTGAAGGGCTACGTAGAGTTGTATAGGGCTATCTAGGGCAGTGTAGGGCTATGCAGTTCGATGCAAGGCTGTCGAGGGCCATGTAGGGCTGACTACGGCTATGTAGGGCTATGTAGGTCTATGTATGGTATTATAAAGGTATTAGAAACGATTCTTTCGAGTTCCCTAGCGATTACAGGGTTGCATTTATCCCTCTAAAATCATTTGCCTCTACAGGAACATCTACCTTAGACAAAGGGTTGATATTTTCTTTCCTCTATGACCGTGGCCAAGTTTTGTATATAGATATAGCCTGTTCCAGGCTCCGTGATAGTCGCGCCCGCTAAATTGAAAACGCGCGAACACGAAAATAAAACGGGAGGAAACTGGGGAGAGCAGGGGCTGTGGAGCTCTCTCTCCCTTCAATTTTCCTTTTTCCCGCCGCCAACTTTTCGTGTGCCCTTTACTTTAGCTTCTTCCCCACTATCTGAGAGCCTGGAAAAGGCTAATATAGGTAGGGAACGGTTCTGTAAGGTCTTAACGACTGGAGTTAAAATAGCCGCATATTCTTTCCACACCCACTACGAAATGGGGTCCGGTCCCGTAGCAGTTTTTCTGATTCAAGACAGAAGGTTGAAAACTTGAGAGGTTCTGAGTTGGGCATTTGGTTATTATCTAGTTGAATAGCTGCAGGCTTGATCTAGCCATCATCATAGCAAAGTTTACCAAAATATGTATTCAGGCCATGCGCGAAGTCCTTTATTTCTTCTATGTGTAAGCACAGCGACTTTCCGCCACCAGGTCCGCGATCCCTTTTTCGTGCCCTTTACCAAAGCTATACGATTTTCTGAGATATTCAGGGGGGCACCCAACGTCAATTTTCGGAAAATATCTGTTCGGAAGACGATTTGAGATCTAGAATTTTCGGAACATTTGTTGTAAAATTTCTTGCTTGCCTGCCTCTCCTAGGATTTTCGAACATCTAAAAACTGGTATAATTGCTCATTTTTAAAGGATTTTTTCTGGCTGAAAGTTTTGATCCCTATAATTCTCAGATCAGTACTGACTTTCAGCTAGGAAATCCGAACAGATGAAAAATTTTTAGGGGATAAAAATATGCCTATATCTACCGTTTAACTACTAAAACACGTTTAACAATGCTATGTTTAAGTGGTTTTGAAGTATATTCTCGTTAAGCGCCTCTGGATATTCTTGTCAAACTTATCATTAAGAACTTCTAAATAAATCCGTCCGCCCTGCGGGCTTGTAGTCTGGCTTTTTTCTTGATCAATACTTTGACAAATGAACACAACCAAGGTGGGTCTCTCAAAGACATTCTGACAGTTTTTGTGGGAAAACATAGTTCCATTAAACAATGCATGGATCAGACTACGAGAACTTATCGGCAGAATCCACGTTTTCACACATATTCACACTTCTTCCAAGGGTTTTTGTTGGAATGCAATCTTGAGGTGCTCTCTATAATTGCGCGTTGTGTATTTAAATCTCACAGGTTAAATTTAATACCTGGTGGCAAAATAACTCCCTTGTGATCTGTTTTGATTTACGCAGCAATAGGGTCACAGTTGGAGAATACAATTGCTTTGTTGGTTAAACAGTTATCTAGAATATGTGTCCCTCTAGTTAGGAAATCAACTAGGACTTTCAGGCCGGATACATCAGTCAGTCTATCGAGATTTAATCGATTGAGATCGCCACCACACACAAATAAACCTTCGGGATTTAGTTCCAAGAAATCGTCCGCCATATCATCACTTAAATGATCGATAAGGTCCGCTTCCATGTAGTTAGGTGGTTTTAGGTCGATGATAAATTCCACACATAAGCATTTTATGGCCCGATGGGAGTCAATTTATACAGCTATTTCGAGAAAGGTTGTTGGAAAAAGTTCACGCAACAATGCCGAAAGGTATTGTGGGTAGTTCTGAGTTCACTGTTCTTCAACGAAATTTGAAAGAATGGCACGAGACTAAGGTCATGTACGTATGTTTGGAGTACTAAAGGAAAGCAACAAAAGTATTTTCGACAGCTACAGTGTCAGGAATGTCAGGAACAGTGTATTGATCATATCCCATATTACCCTTCGGGATTGTCGCGTGCACATTTTTTTCGACATCCTTTCTCGAAATAGCCGTATATGATAATGCCTGAGCTCCGAGCCCTTCTTAAAAAGAATGACCTTGTTCTGCGCGCTCGGTCATTATTTTTTAAGAAGGCAGAGGAGCGAGGGCATTATCCGATTTAATGCACCTTTCCATTGTTTTAGAACCAGCAGGTCATTTTTGTGGCCACTGAAATGGAGCAGTAGGTTATTATTCGTAATAATGACCTCCTGTTCCATGTCAGTGACCTGCCCTTCCATTTATTGAAAATAATAACCTATTCAAAACAATGGAAAGGTCCATCAATGAGGCTTAGACACTCGAACTTTTCTGATCTTGTAATGTTATTAACTATGATGTTATTCCTTGTGTACATAACTACTCCTCGTCTCCTTTCTGCCGCTTATCGTTGTCGAACAAATTTCTGATTGTATCGTGACATCTGTGCTCTAAGAGACAATGCTGTTAAGAAGTCGGTTAATGACGCCGATCATTGCATGGAAGTCTATAGTTGGTGCTGGACCGTGATCGAGCAATACTATTGCACGATCACAAAAAACAAAGAAGAACTTATCTACAGTGTGGATAAGTGTAGAGAAGTTTTTCTTTGTTTTTTTGACAGTCGCATGACAATATTAAACTTACTTATTACCGTGCATAAAATACCTTGTGTTCACTTCAAGATTACTGCTAACCCATTTCACAGGAAGTGTGAAAGGTTGTTTCTTCTTTGATTCAATTCATAACCAAACTGCGACAGAAAGCATTATTATGGTGCTGACATCAGCAAAGGTAAGAGAAGAGAAAAAGCTATTTAACGCTGCCTATATACCGTCGGTTTATAGCCGCCATTTAGTATTCCCCTCGCCAAAACTGCAATATTTATTCAGTCGTAAGCTTAGCCACACTTAAGGCCAGACACGATCTTGTTATATTGATACGGGACTAATTCGCTTGTTGCAAACGAAAGGACTCTCCGACCACCAAATAATTCAAGCTTTACGTCAAATACTTTATCACAGAGTGACTTACTCTTCCACTTCACAGTTCCTCTATGTCGCTTCACAACTTCTTTCTAACGACGCCTTGTTTTTCAACTAAGCCTTGTTCTTAGGTAGTTCACGTTGTTTCTGTCTCTCTAAAATCTACTCCTTCGCATCTCGCCATTTATTTGTTTGGTCCTTGACCATGTGTTTACGTTGATAATGTATTTATGTTCGTATTAACATATATCAACTTGTTACGCAAAATTCCTTGAAAAAGCATTTCTTCGGTTCTGAAGAGAGATAACAAGTGAAGGAAACTTAAACTAAGCAAAGTTCAGTAAAAGGAACACACTTTTGCGCAGTGACTTTTAAGTTACTTGGTTCTTTGAAGCTAAAAAAATCAAAGTGAAAACGTCGTTAATGGTAAACAAAGGACAACTCCCATATTAAATTAATAATATGACAACAAAATAAATACAGGGAAAGCTTTACCAACAAAATCGAGCGGCAAAACCCTGACTAGCTAAGTTAATTAATGAAAAACTGAAGAGATTAAAAAGGGGACATTTCTTTTGTTAGAAGAACAACATGAAAATTTTGTAGCGGCGGTGACAAAATGAGAAATGCTAGCGGCCACCAATCAAATGTAAGGTGAAAATGAGCGACAGTGAAAAAAAGTGATCGAGAACACGTACGACGTTTCCTCCATTAAAGTGTATCTAAGAAGTTTCTGGAAGTTTCACTTTGTAGTCGTGCAAAACAACGGCAAAGAAATGTCCAAAAAAATTGTGAAGTTGCTTTTTTGCTAATTAGACCTATTGTTGATTTTTACCGTTCTCCGGCGTTGCCGTCGCCGCTTAACATTAGGGAACTTAAGATGGAGACGTTTTCGGGGCGACGGCGACCGGACTGGCAGAGAAAGCCTGGAACTAAGGCAGCCGTCGCTTCCCGCCAAAAATAGAACATTAAGATCGCAGTGAACTCAGAAGGACGGCGCCTTTAATTAGAAGAATACCGAAGAGGAAAATATGACTTCACATAAAGAATTAAGAGAATAAATATTTGCTATGCAGACAACATGTATCGGATGAAGAGTTTCTCGTTTTGTGGGAAAATTATGAGTCCAAAAATCCCGCTTTTCCTGGGGAGAGTTACGATCCGTTCACGCTAAAAAAACATGCGGTATGCAGCTGAGTTCAAGGCAGAATTTCGTGTTGGAAAAAAAATGATCTCCACAGGCTTGCCGAAGCCTTGCAAGTTACAGGAACATTAAAATGCTACCAAGGAACCGTATTCTTAGTTTGGTATTGAAATAATTCCCGGCAAATACTTGCATGCAACAACAACAACAACGGCAACAGTTTTATTTCAGTATTCCCACGCCGAGTTAGTACATGGTATTACCTACTATTCTATATAATTTTCAATGCGTTTCATTTATACGATATTCTAACCAAAAGAGCGAACTAAAAACACACAATTGAAATATCGGAGTTCATATTTTTTGTCTGGATACTTTTATTTGGCTCGTGGGAAAATTTTGTCCATGTCAAGCTCACTTACGGTTGGCTGTTTGCCAAGTTGGATCTTGATCCCTGTGACATGAAAACATAGAAACATTCAAAGATGTAAGTTTAGATAACAGAGCTTGGAAATCGAGCTTGAAATGTGCTTCAAAGAAAACAAGGACAATTTGAGAACGATAATTTGCAAAATGTTGGTTGCTAAACGCAACAAACCTGATTGAAATGAAAGTTAAATACTCACGTTTTCGCCACAACGGCAAACAGACCAGTTTCACGTCGCCGACGGGACCACGACGGCAAGGTGGTGAGCACGAGCATGCGCAATATCCAACAAATGATGATGTCACGTCCGGTTGAAGTTGCCGTCGCCCCGAAAACGTCTCTATCTTAAGTTCCCTATTACTTGATTTTATTTTTTGTTTGAACCGAACTATAAATATTATCGAGAGCTTCGCTTTTAGCCCTGGCTAAATCTATATATTAATTATTTTGGAAAATGTTAATTCCAATTTTTGGGTCAGTGTTTTCTATTCGTTAATACTTATTAGCCCACTAATGCGTTTAAGTCACGCAAACAAAGACTACCGTAGGGATTCATTTTTCTGTCAAGTTTTCTCCAGCTTTGTTTCACTTCCATATTGGCAGCGATACCGTTGTTTTGACCGGGAAGAAAAACTTAACAACAAAGTCGATACTTCAAGATCTGTCCGTGTGGTCATGATGCGGTAACAAAACAAGTGGTATTGCAACTGGCTACGTTTTTAATTGTTACTACTTATAAACTGCTCTCGAGCGACATGGCTTTACACTCGGAGACAGATTTATTTTTAATTACTTCTTACTAAAATGTTATTGAGTTTGACAAAGTTCGTACTTTGAATGCTCACGCACTAATAATTCTTATACATCAGTACATACTCGATCCTCACCTGATGATTTAACAAGAATATATGAATACATGCACATATTTTAATGCACCTTTCCATTGTTTTGAACAGGTTATTATTTTCAATAAATGGAAGGGCAGGTTACTGACATGGAACAGGAGGTCATTACTACGAATAATAACCTACTGCTCCATTTCAGTGGCCACAATAATGGCCCTATGGTTCTAAAACAATGCTGCGCGCTCGGTCATTATTTTAAAGAAGGCCGAGGAGCGAGGGCATTATCCTATATTTAATAGCTATTTTAAGAGTTGACCGCTTCTTATTTTGAAAAATTTGAAGTTACATTATAATATAGTACAATGCAATTCAATGAAGTGGAAGACAAAACAATGCAAGACCTTACTGCGCTTTTCACAAACATGCGAATTCTGAAGTTCAAAAGCCTAATGACCATTGCGTTTTTCTCTGCCGTCAATCATCTTAACGGACCTATTAGGAAACAAAACTTTACTTTAACGGGTTCAGAAGGTCACGGTTTGTGATTTGTGATTGATGGATTTCGATCCGTTTTGTGTCGTTCTGTGTTTCAAGGTTCGTTGCTTGTGATCGTAATTATGATTGACGGCAGCGAAAAACGCAATTGTGAAGGCGACTTTTGAACTTTAGAGTTCGCACGTTTGTGAAAAGCGCAGTAAATCACACACGCCAAAAAGTCCTGAAAAAACCGCAACGCCTGAGGATATGACTGTTAGAAAATTAAAAACAAAACAATGTGCACAGGTTAAAAACTAAAAATTGTCGTGCCTTTCTCTGTGATGACAAAACTCTAACGACGCGCTAAGGTCTTATCTAATAAGTGTTGAATCGAGGCACATCACCTCCGCTAGGCTTAGATTGTGTCTTAATGCTGGTTTTTAGATATTGAATTATCTATGCAATTTGGTGTAACTTTAAAGGGACAGGTTCAGGGTTGAGCGCATGCTCTTTTATCAAAATCCTGTTTTTCTGACGGGACATACTATATCGTCTATGCGAGTAATATGATCATATCATAATGTTGTCAAAGAACCAATCCGCACACTCCCCTGGCAGTCACTTGCTCTTGATCAACTTAAATATTTGCAAATATCTCTAAATTAATCAACCACGGAATAAAACCTTCGGGCCAACAATAAATTCAACGTTGGTAGTGTTGGCATAATCCAATAATTTTTTCTGCCATTTTAATGACCAGGTTACTCTGAAATACACTTCTACTGGGAAATACACTCTGAGATCGCTGAGATACACGTGAGTGGGATTGTTAATAAAATGAGCATGCGCTTAACCGTGAACCTGTCCCTTTAAGAGTTCCATCTACAAGACTCCTAGCTAGAGTGCTACTCTCTCTAACCTTACTGGTTGGGTGGACGTTCATGGTAGTGATCAGTGGAGGACAAGATAGAATTTTACTAACACATTCTTAACATCTTACAATTTTTTTTGTAGAATTTATGGTCATCTATCCTGCTACTTTCGTTGTCAAGCAAGCTTTGCGCTCTAACGGTTGGTAAAGTCGATGTTCTTTTTGTGTTCTTTAGTTATGGTTAAGTGACATAGAGCTGCTGATTCATCTACCCAAGGACTGAATAGCTGGAAAATGGTAATGTTAGTTTAGCTGTGGGTTGATGTTTGTAATTCGCATTTTTCTGCTCATCTACTCGACTGAAACAGGTTCCTGCTGTAGGTGTTAAGACTGCTAATGACAGCTAGGTATAGTGCCCCGTAGTGGACAAATCAAATAGTTTTGAAATAGTGTGCTCTGAATGCTACAGTTAAGCTGACAGTGAAAGCCTTACATATGACAATAATTGATTGTTTGACCTTAATTTTGTGGTTATCCATGCAAGTCTATCCTTCTACGCTTGACTTCGTTCTCAGGGTTCTCTGTTCCATCGATTCACTTTATTACAGCACAAGTGCCCAAGCTAACCTGGTCTTTTTAGAAATGGTGGTCATAGTTTTTCCCGAAGGAGTTTCATTTCTTGCTTCGTTTTTGCGTGCTTTTGTATGCGTGATTTTTCCTTCCGATGGTGGTTCACTGATTAATTGTACCAGCAGCGAAAGTATTTATATATCTATATTAATGTGCTTTGTCTCTAGTTCACTACAGAAGGCTGTGGAGAAACTAAAGGTTGCTATGCATCACCAGCGTCCTGCACTTCAAGCGAAAATTGTGATTTCCTGGTGACCTACAATGCCACAAATTCAACTCATGTTGAATTTGAGCTGAGTGGGAAAGGAGACTGGATAGCAGTTGGTTTTAGCGATGACCGATTAATGGTGGGTTGTAATGTCTCGAGAATGAACTTTTAGATTATGTTTTTATTTTCTGAGTTCCCAATGTACGTCAGGTGATGTTACTCTAGAGAGCTGTGCCTTTGAAAATTCGTCATACTTACATGCTTAATAAAAACATAATGCATAATGAAATTTAACAATGGGCAATTGACAAGGAACAATACTTTTAACCATAGGCCATTTTATAGTTATGATGATTGGAAGCGAGGCTTGAGCTGACATTGTTTTGATACAAACGGTGAACCGCAGCCTCACATTCACTTGAAGGCTAGGGTACAAAGTCCACTACTCTAAAATGGTCTATTGGAATAACAAAATACACAAGCTAAAGAGGTCTATTTCGCAAGAAACCAAGAGCGTATAACCAAAGCTTATCATATAAAGTTTAAGGAAGCCGTTCCATCGGTAAATTTTGTAAGTTCGTGTGATATTCCAAAAAATTAATAACAATCGTTGGAATTAGTATGTAGATAAAATGTTAGGATATAGATAAAACATGAGCCTTCAGTCGAAGGCGAGCTCTAGAAAAGTGTATAATTGACGCAAACGCTTTTGTGCATATGAAACAAATCTTAAGCTTAATTTTGTATTATCCGTAACTTCTTTGTGTTTGAGTTAAACCAAGTACGAGGAAAACTAGAACGTAAACGGGATAAGAAGAAACAAAAAGTAAAATGCGGTGAGAAACAAAAGGAAATATAAACTCATTTCTGCAAAGAAATAAAACTTTAACTTGACGTTTCGTACTGCATACATCTTCAGAAATAATAAGCCGTTGAATATCAACAGAAATTTAAATGTAGAATAAGTAACTAAGGACCCATCCACACGTATTCGGATATTTTTGACTCTACAACTTTTTCTTTCCGCATCACGATGGTCGGTTGCTATGGCTTTTGCTCCCGCAAACTGAGTATTTTAGGCCATAGACAGTTAGTTACTTATTCTGCATTTAAATTTCTGTTGTTATTCAAAGGTTTATTATTTCTGAAGATGTATTTCGGAACATACGAAACGTCACGTTCAAGTTTTATTTCTTTCCAGAAATGCTTTTATATTTCCTAGTGTTCATCACCGCAGTTTGCTTTTTGTGTCTTCTTAACCTAAAATGCCCAAAAAACAAGAATAAATGGGATAAACTCTTTATCAGGGTTTACAGACACTCTATGATTTAACATGAATTTGATTATTTTGGCCATGTTTTCTTCACGAACGTTTAATAAAATTTTTAAGCTTACGAAGCCAAATACCTATTTTAAAAATGCTTTTATAACCTTCCTCCTTGTAGTAGTCAAGACCTTCTAATGTAGTGATTGTATAGGTGAGGTAAATCCACAAAAAAATTGACAGGGCATAAAGTCAAAGAATTAACTGTTGTATACATAAATTCCATAGGCAAATACCGACATTCTTATGTGTGTTAATGATCAAGCACGCAGTGGTCATTATTACGCAACGGGACGATCGACACCTTCAAGGACAAATCCAGTAAGTATATAAATTGGTTAACTTAATTTCGCTTTATGCTTTTTGCTTAATTTTGCAAAGAATCTAGGGAGAAAGGAAGTCGAAAAATATTTACTGAAAGTTCGAACAAGCTTGCTAAAAAGAATAAAAATCGATTGGTTAATTGCTAGATGTTAACAATAAATAAAAAAAAGTTAAGGGGTGACTTCCAATTAGGTTTGCGCAAAGGTATTTTGAGCTCATGAAAGTGAGACGTGGCTCATTCCTTCCTTCTTCTGTCGAACCTCATTATCCCTCACGACATGTTATTATTAACACGGGATCCTGTTAACCAGAATTGGTTAAGGGGACCTCCATGTTTTATTACAGGATAATCAATAAATCGCTGAATAAGCCGATAAAGCGCAATATGACTAACATAATAATCATTGATATATTTTCTCGTTATCATACATAAAAAGCTTTGGCTATCGTAAAAACATACAGCATATATCATAAAAAGCATTTTCGTCATCATCACCGTCATCATCATCATCATCATCACTATCACAATTATTATTATTGTTATTATCATCATCATAATCATCATCATCATCATCATCATCATCATCATCATTGCCCATGAAGAAATATAAAGTGTGACGGTTGTTACAAATTGCAGTAGAACATTCCATCATAATTGTGAAATAGAATATGTTCGTTCCTGACTTATCCTATTTACGTCTCGTCTCGTCTGCGGGTCAATCCGGATTGTCCCAGCAGGACCAGGCGGCAACCGGATCTTTCTCGCTCTGACAGTGCTATATCCTGTTTATGTACTTAGGGCAATCTTCCGAGCGATCTATCCAGTAACTTACGTTGTCATTATACTAAAAGATTTTTGACTTTCTTTCGACTTTATTCCAGACACCAGCAGCAATACAATTTATCGAGCAGGCAGACGAGAATAATATCGTAAAATGCAGGTATGTATATGATTGTTACCTGTGTGTATAATTTGTGAATTTACCGGCGTTATTCGTTTGAAATAAAAGAATTTTTAAGTAAATGATATTATTTCTTATATCTAAAACATTTGTTTTAAATCTCTATTGCTTTTAGGGTTTCAAGAGATGTAAATCCAGTTCCAGCAATAGCAAATTTTAACGATCTCAGCCAAGACGTGTTCCTTTTAGCTGCATATGGAAACAGAGACGGTTTGTTGTTGGCATTGTTCCTTTTCATTATCTTAATTTCGCTTTTGCTGTTGTTTTCTTTTCCTCTCATTTACAGTAAAAACATTATCTACTTTAGTGCGTTCCTATTGTTGCATTCATTTTCGGTTACGACAAAACGACAAAATGTAGTACGAGTGTGATGCGATATTTACCTACCATAAATGAGTTCTCAATACAGCTGTAGACATAGTAATACATCTTATTGTTGTTGACATGTATTGTTTCAGTTCTTCCATCTATCAATCCATCTAATCTGCGTACCTGGCGGTTTTGTTTGTTGAGCGCCCAAATGAGCGGCGTAGGCCCCAGGAGAATGGGGCAGAAATTTCCTGGTACAGCCTCGTGCCTAGGGCTTTTTTCCATTCCCTCCCAATTTCTTAGGTTGTCCTAGTCAGAAATGTCATTTACAGAGATTCGTGGTCAAGTATTAGGACCTTATGTGTCTCGTTCTCGTGGTTGATGGTGCCTATTTCTCCCCTTTTCTTCTCAGAGACGTGTAGACCTTAGAAACGTGTTTTGCAACAATCTGAAATTAAATTTCAACTATTAATAACTACTGAATATTTTTCAAATTTCTGTTCGTAAAATACGCACGAGAGAGAAATTAAAGACTCCTTCTGTTTTAAGGTGCATCCAAAAATACAAAACAATGAGATAGGCAGGCTAAAAAAAATCATAGATGAATAGGTAATGCTGTCTTTGCTCCTCTAAGATTCCTTTAAGTCGATTATTCGTGCGTGTGATGCAAAGACTAGTAGAATGGTTATTATTATTTGAACAGGTTCAAGTCTACAACAGCACAGTAGGAGGGAAGCATCTCCCCAAAAAGTCATAGTTACCCAAGCTAATTCCACTGTCACTAATAGATCCCAGGCTCCCCAGGTCAATCCGTCCACGGTGAGTTTAGTGCATATTATCTTACAAAGTAGAAGATCACACAAACCATAACCAAGCCAAAGGCCAAAGTTGAACCTACGGTCCAATAACGACAGTTGGCTATACGTGATATCACGCAATCGAGCAATTTTCAAACAACGTGCCTGTGCATTGGGTGTGATGTACATCTACAGCCACAATCTATAACAGTTATCCCCGATTACGTAGATATGCTTAGCTGAAGCTCACAGTATTGACATAGTTAATAGCAAAGTAGAAATGGATCAGTGCTTATGATACCATTTAAATAGTCGAGTTACTTGTAAGTAGATTAAATAGATAGAAGTGTTACTAGAAACCATCAGCTTTATCCTTGTTTCAATAATTTGTTCATGTTTGTTGTCCTTCAGCAGGGTAATTAAAAAAGATATAAAACTATTCTAGTGAGGCCTTAAACTGCTGTAACCTGCCAACACAGAATGATCACACCTTAAGATTCCGTACATTTCTGAACTACTCAATTACAGGATCACTAAAATTATTAGAAAAGAAAACATCTCGGTACGCATGCATTGCCCACAATCCTACATTCTCAGACAAGACTTATCCCACACTTCCACGGAACGCAAATGCACTAGAGACAAATGCCCTATCTCTAACACCGGGTTGTGTTTACGACGAAATGCAGTGTACCAGCTCACGTGGAACAGCTGCGATCAGCAATACATTGGTACAAGAGAGATCATTCTCTTGTGATTGCTAACACGACACGCTTCATCCATGCACGACCGCGTAAACGAACATCTCAATAATGAAAACTCCTCTGTGAAAAAAAACATATCTACCCCTGCCAGAACAAAGACTATGAATGCATTGAAGTCAAGATTATTATAAGCGAAACGACTCCGCTAATCTACTCCTTTATGAAGCATTTTTAATTAGAAGGTGCAAGCCTACACTCAATTCCCGGGAGGAATGTACTCAACTAGTGAATTTGCAGACCTTCTATTTTAGTATTTAATGGCCTTTTTACATGGAGGTGGGGGACCCCAGGTAAGTGAGGTAAAATATGGCGGGTCACCCCACCTATCATGTAAACGTGATCAAATTAAAATGATAGATTATATGGACAAACGGGTTACCCCACCTAAGCTGGTTACCTCACCTACCTGGGGTCCCCCACGTCCATGTAAACAGGCCCTTAGAGACCATTCTTAACCGCTTTTAGATGTCCTTTGTCCAGAGACGTTCCATCATTAGAGCTTTGTATTCCATTCACAGTTTATTTCTATAGCTTCCATACATACGTCACATCTTTTACAAATTTCACCCTACACCTTTTCTGCATTTATATACCACGCGCCGAAAATTTTCTTATCCCTGATGATGCCGTTGATCTGCGAAAGCTTGGATTTTATTTATTTTAAACGGCAGTGTAAGGCCTCATTAGAACAGTTTTATACTTTGTAACTTTGTTGTAACAAATATGAGATAACTAAATTGCTTACGACTCTTTTAAAGCCATCATATGATTCAGATTCAGTCACAGGATCACTTAAATTATTTCAATCCCTAATTGTTGTAGCAAAGAAACTGATGAACTTGTAAGTATTTGCCGATGCATTAGGAGGGTTAAATGAATTTCGTAGGATTATACTGGCGGGTGGTTCTTCCCTAAAACTCCTTTAACCCGCGTACGTTCTACCTACCACTACAGTACATTTGAAACGGCTCCCTCATAATAACATAATCATATTTAAAAAACATTATATTACTTCTGATCTTTCCCTTTTCAGCCGGCCAGCATTATGCAACAGGGGAGCTTTAGGTTCCCAGATAATTGCCCGGATGCCGATTGTGATTTTCTCGTGACATACCAAGCCTCTGGTGATAACAGTGTGGTTTTTGAACTAAGAGGCAGAGGAAACTGGGCAGGAGTGGGATTCAGTGGTGATAACCAAATGGTAAGTAACCTTAATCTTGAGGATTAACTTATCTGTAGAGGCAGGGCATATAAAGGAAGTAGTGAAAGACGGCTGCATCATGAGCAAATTTCTCGCATCCATAAATTCAAAAAATAGAGGTTGTTTTATAAGAGTGTTTCAATGGTTTGGAGGCACTCGCGGGTAGCGGTTAATAATTTGTCTTAGTTGTTAATGCTAAAAATTACTTTTTTCTCTACTGAAGTTAACAGAAACTAACCTGACAAAAGTCAGTTGTTCCAAAAGTTAAAAAAATGTTAATTCAATAGTCCCCAAATTCACTTTTTAATATTTGTAGTTCTCTTAGGATCTTTCCCAGATAAAAAAGGCTGAAACAGGCTACCACCAGCCAAACGGGGACGAATCACATACAGCCTGCGAGCATACAATCGACTCTTTCTGAATGGCACGTTACGGTTAGAAAAGGTTAAACAGTAAACGTTTTCTTAACCACTAACAGTTAGCATTTTTCCTTTTTTACGCCCAACTACTAATAATTTCAGCCCTGTTGGGGCCCTTTCTAACTCTTGCCTGGGTTTGATTTTATCTCGTTTTTCTACAGCCTGATACAGACATACTTATTTGCGCCAGTGAAACCTCTCTAAGTGGCCATTATTACGCATCCGGTAGAACAAGACCAACTAGGACAGATCCGGTGAGTCACTTGTTGCTTTTCGTTGGCGATATGGCCTCCTAAACGTTGCTGAACATCATCCCTTGCCTTTAATTAGTTTTCATCATATTTATTTAGCATGTGGTTATCCCAAGGTAGTGCGGCCGCCTTCTCTACTTCTTTGATTCCAAAGCTCATCACCATTATCGTTTTTCTTTAACTATATAAGCACGTGCGAAATTTTCATTTTCATGTTTTAGATATTTTAAAGCACACAGTAGTCACAACCGCATATTTTTATACAGTTTTATCACGAAAGTAAAATAAAGCAATCAATGTCTTGAGAACATTTGTGTACGTTTAACAAAACGTTTTGTTTTAAAATTTAAAGAAAAAGGTGACTGAGAAACATGATATAAAGGAAAAATAGAGCCAGTCAAGCAATAAATTAACGAGGTACCGCGTTGAATCATCAGATCAACTCACACTTGCCAAAACGATATATTTTTTATAGACTCCACTCGCTGTAGAAATCGCTGAACAATCATTTAATGGTGGCGTGGTGTCTTGCAGGTAACTTATCATCACCATCTTCATCATTATCATAGACCTCATTATCAATGAAATCATGACTATAAATATTTGTCATGATTATCGTATTCTCAAAACTATTGTACCATGTAATGCAATTATGCAAATCAGTGAAGGGTATAGAGGACTGATAGATTAAGGGATTTTTAATTATATGCAAAATTCACTTCACAGTTTAAAAAAAAATTGAACAATCGCGAAATTTATTTAGTACTTGTTTTTAAAATTCCTGTGATTTTGCTGGGGCTAGCCTCTGGTACATGCTGAAGAATGCAAATTTTTTTTGGTCTTTATTATGTCTCCTTTACAGGAGCGTAATTCCTGAAAACATTTTTATGATCATTAAATCGGGATGACTTATAAGCTTTTCGCATTATATTAGTGTCTTTGCGCACATATTTCTTTTACTATGCCATAAACAGACGGCAATAAACGTTAATTAGCAATTAATGAATTCGGCTTGCGTAGGATATGAAGAATTAAGCAGATCGAGAAGGGTGTTATCCTCAGAGGCCGAAGGCCGAGGTGGATGACACCCTCTTCAATCTGCTTAATTCTTCATATTCTACGAAAGCCGAATTTATTATTCATTCAAAGTAATTCCTAGTTTAAAAACATAGGTAAAACATGCTTACCTGCATCGATGTTAAGTTTATCTTCGATAGTTTACGTTTAGGTTTGTCCAGCTCCGCAAATATTCTCCTAATACCAGATGTCGCCCTCCGAATTGTATTCTTGCTGTTTTTGTTATGTTTTTAGCCATTATTTCGCCTAGTTCCAGCTGTAGTTATTGCTCTTGAAACGAGTGAAGCGTCTGCCATTTCAGTTTTCACAACGAAAACAACTCAAACTCGTCCCCAGGTCTTCTCGGTTAACGGCACATTAACCTGTAGAAGGCTGCATTTTTGACGTATTTCCTCGTTAAACACAAAATTCTTCCAAATTTGGTCATCAGTAACTGGTTATGGTGAATTATGCGTGTGCTTTTAGCCAATCAGAATAATTGGGGAAATATTTTGAATGAATAATAACAGATATTAACAGCCCCAGGCGAACGTTTCAAACTCTAATCTGGGTCGACTTAAATGAAATTAAGATCGTCAGTTAGGTCAGACGTCGCATTTAGGACGCGTCGAATCAATAAACTGAATCAGACCAAAAAGCAATCTAAATAACTTTTCTTTGGTGCCGGAGACGATCTTTAGAAGTTCAGACGGATACAACGTGTTGGACGATCGAAACTCATTCATGAACTTAATTCAGTAAGTTTGGTTCGTCTCTAGGCCTAACAGTGGGGTAAAAAAACGTACCCTTTACCTCCACCCCACGGTGTAAACCTCACCATTTTCCTTCATATTCAATTACTGTAAGCGTTCTGCAAAAAGCAAAAAAGGAATTGTTGATACCCTTAATTCAAATACTTTCTAGGGGAGCATGCCCCCAGACCTCCTAGTTTAAAGCGCAGTTGACTCTCTAACTTTCTTCCCGTGCGTACATAAAATCTTACGTTTCACCCCTGCTTTGCAGTTAGGTTTAGATATTTAGTTTTTGTTAGGATAACATAACAAGGGATTATCAGTGAAGACTAGATCGGTGGTGATTTTTTTATGGACAATGGACTTAGGTCGATTTACGATATTACCGGTATACGACCATTTACGACATCTCAAACCGTAATAGAAAAACATACGCCTCGTTCACTGTCTTACTTTCAAAGCCTACTCAAGCCAAAGGTGGGCTACGAGGTCATCCAAAAGGGAAATTTTTGACTTTCTACTCACCTAATCATACTACTTTAAATTTTATGCGCATAGATAGGTAAGTCAATCCTACAACCATTCCCCAAGATGTAAACTAGTGATGTCGCAGTTGTGTTACTGTCTTATAGAATTACAAGGGAAGTAAATCCGGGATTAGCGAATTTTAGAAATCTAGCAGAGCAGCAGTTTCTGTTGGGAGCAATCGGTGGCTTAAGCGGTAAGCACATATCTGATACGTTAATTGACAAATTTTAAGTTCCAAATTACGAGATTAAACAATGGAATAGATTTTATCTTAGTTGTCTTGCAATTTTCTGCTGCCCAAAAGACACCAAATGTCCCGTTATTACAGCATTATTCTGCAGCATTTTTATTAGGGAGCAATTTCACTTAAGGCTTGCTTGATTCACTCAGTAACTTCCCTTGGAACTTGCCTCCCATGCGTCGCCAAAAAAAATTGATCAATTATAGGAAAAAGGAATAATTCTCGTACTACGTCTTATAAATTATAATTGTTGCCATATGAATAAGAACTAGTACGATATAATGTTGTTCAGGGTTCTCACATTAGTATGAGCTTGGGTGGTTTCGCCTATTTAGCAACCTTTTTTAAGGCAAGTTTCAAGCTCTTTGTCTTGGTCGAAATAACTAAATATTGGGTACACTGACATCTTGCTGTTGAGGACTTTCAGTGATAAACCCATTGGTGACTGTCTAAGACAGTTTACAGTGGTACTTCAGATTTACAAGAGCTTCTCTCTGATTTAACAGGTGCCACAATCGGGATTCATAGCGACAGACGTGCGTCGGCTTCTGTAATAGATGTAAGGTCAGGTGCAGATGCTGCTGGAAATAACGCTATAGAGGCAATGGTCCTTGCTCACGGTATGCTAAATACCATGGTTGTCTTTGTACAAAATGAAAAGCCAGTCATGTGGTTTTAAATATTAAATACGGGCCACAGGGCTAATAGGGATTTTAAGCAAATCGGTCTGTTGCGTAATCGCTACTACATGAGTATAAAATTCGACTTTCCCCCTACCATTTAGATCACTGGTTTTAAAACCTATCAAAGATCGTTTTTCACTTTATAAAGAAAGTTTTTGAAGCTTCTGGTTTTCCAGTAATTACATCCTTCCCGCGTGTAATTAACAGCGACAACAGGGGAGGTTGGACAGAAGTTCGCAAAGGATCATGGGACGAATTATTAAGTAGCTCAGTTACAACGAAACCGTCGAGCTAGACGGACCACCGTGATGCACGCCTTTTTGCCGATTTTAGCCATAATTGTGCTAGCATTCTGAATATTTTCGCACAAAAAGTTTATCGTATCAAAGATGTTATAAATTCCTCACGGCTAAGTTGTTGAGATGTCTTTAAAACAAGCCATTTGGCGTCGTCGAAAGTTAGTCGGCTTGTGGCTTGCAAACAAAGCGAGCTGTGTCAACTAAGTGCGTTCACCTTTCTAGACAGCAAAGGTTATTGCGAATACACATTCAACTGACCGATTAAGAATTCGAATGATGGTTAGCAGAGTAATGGGCAAGGCAAACGTCCCACAGATTTGAGATTACAATTTAGTATCTATCGATAACTTAGTTTTAATTGATCGATGGTCCTCTTGAGTTCATTCTTTTGATTGCTCATTTGTAGTTTACAAGATAAGTAAGCTTATATTTCGATTCTTGAAGACTTTGTCAAGGACTGAAGTCATAAGTAAAGGTGTATCTGAATGAATGCTAGGTACATAAAACACAGCTTTGGCGAACGTAAGTTTTCTCTTGGACTGGACTACTTCATAATTGGAAGCAAGAAAACTCTGAGTAAATTCCTCATAAAAATCTATTAATTTTAGAATTGTCGACATGGGCTTCCCAAAGAGAAAAGAAAATCACATGCATTTCCAATGATACAGATATGAGATTCTCTCGCTTTCTCAGTCCTTTGAGCGATGACTACACTTCCATTTCAGCATATTTTTTAAAATATGCTGAAATAGTGCCATTTTTTCTTTTATATCGAGGTCCCAGCCATGCATGACCCCATTTCCTCCATCATAAATATTACATTAACAGGTGACTGAATGAACAGTATTTCAGGGACAGCATTTTTGTTTAAAAGACTCAGTGTAGTGGTTTTATTTAGTGTAGTAGTGGTATAAATATCCCTTACAGAATGATATCCAGTGGTTGGAGAAATAGTGGTAAAAAAATGAGAGAACCATCCAGCATTAGGCATCTCCGACTGCCAAGAAGATCACCATCACTAATTGTGTTCAATATCTGGAGAAGAAAAGAAATTACTGTTTTTTCACCCATGTCTGGAAACATTGTGAATACTCATGCGAGACTTATTGTTCTCATCCCTTACCCACTGTTCAAGATAGGAAATGTCTCTGACCAAAAGCACAAAAAAGCGAATACAGTAAAAATCTGCAACTAAATAACCTGGTTGTTAAAAGCCTACCAGTGTTAGGCTAAAATTTGTCTGTTAGGCCCCCTCTATACAAGAACCTGTTAAGCCCAATATTTAAAAACAGGTTCTTATTTTCTAAAATCTGTTTAAAAAAATTCTGTACACTTGGGCAAATAAGATATGTCAACATTCGGCACAGGTGCCTTATCACTGCGGACTATGCCTATCATACTGTAATATGTAATGGTACCACTGAATGGTCTTTGCTTGAATCTATTTTTTCTTCAGAAAATAAGAACCCATCCTCGGAGACCCAGGGGCCTAATTTTGTGCTAATTAACATTTTAAAAGTAATAATGGATACTCAGATTTGCCAGGACTTGAAAATCTGTGGTATGCCTACTCGCTGCAAAAAAAGAAAACCTGTTAAAATATATAAATACCCTGGAGAGTAACAGATCTGATTAATTTTCACCGTCTTTGAATAAGAAATCTGGAGGAATAGAAAAACTAAAAGTCAACTAATTGCTCTGCTCTCTGCTACAAAAAATATCAGTCAGGCATGTAGTCAAAGATTAGTTTCATAATTATGTACTTTATGATACATGTAGGACAACAACTACTTTGATTCTTTTACTACATTTATAAGATGGCATTTTTTATTCTCCTTCTTAACAGTTTAACTTCATAAAAGGTAATAATATGCACGGCATGTTTACCAAATCTCAGAAACAATTATTGTATCAAGCAATAATGAGTTATCTATTGTTCAGGATGTATCTCTTTGGCCTTGTGCTTGTAAATCTAGAAAGAAAAGAAATCACAAGAAAAACTTGATTAGGAATTTCCTCCAGCGTCCCAAACAAAATTAAAAGCTCCCATATGAAGAAAGCAAAGAGAGTGTACTTGCACACTAGCTCAATGTTATTACTGTAGCCTTACACACTACAGATGTATAGGCAAAATCAAACGTGGCCAAATATGCTCCCAAAACTGAAGAGAGCTCATATGACCCCCCTTTGAGCGATGACACACAACTTAATCTACGTGAGAAAACGATAAACTGTACTCACTATTACAAAAACTAAAATGACGAAGACTGATTGTGAGGATTTACGATGAGAATGTGGGGGGGGGGGACGGCGAGGTTCGACCCTACAAACTGGAAGATCAATATTTTTTCTTAAAAGGTTTGTGAAAAGTAGACCAATAGAGGCACGGAGAAGCGAAAGACTCGCACTTCAAATTGTATCACTCAAACCACCCAAGATGAGCAGCCATTTTGGAATGTTGAGCATAGCTCGATGAAAAAAAACACTAAAACTCCACTCACCTTAAAGATTTTCGCATCAATACAATCAAGAGGGCCAAGCTAAACCAGCAGAAGAATTTCTTCACGAATCGATGACGGAAAAAGAGGAAAAAAACCAAATTATTGAGGCGAACTATGCTTGGAATATTCATCTCACGATCTACAGCAAGATGGCTTTTCTCAATCGTGATTGGTCGAAATTGCTCCCGTGAACCTTTGCAAACTGCACTCCAACCTCTTCTGCAGCGACAACAAATAAGTGGGAAACCCCGTGGTCACTGTTTGGACGCCGCGCTACGGTGCTAATAAACTCGATTTATTTTGACATAAACTCTAAAGTATATGGTCACAGAAAAGGGAACGGAACTGAATGTGATATACCACACTATACACACACCGTGGCTTTTTTTAATCATGGTGGCGAGCTGTGTATCCGGAGTATTCAATCGATAAAAATCGGTATCGATTTATCAATCTATAAATTTGATTTGATTGATATCAATTGTATCGATCAATCAGTAGAAATCGATGACACACTCGTTTCGTTCATCGATTAATATCTTGATTTTTACCGATCTCATCGATTTATTTCGTAAGATACATCTGTTCATCTGTTCATCAAAAAATGAAAACTGAATTCATGCAAACAGTAAATTTATTGACTTTTGAGTTGAAAGAGAAAGGATCAAACATTTATCACTATTTAAAGAAATCTTTAAAACAATCTTATCTTTTCTTTAAATATATTGGCTAGGTTTGTAGGGGCCGATCTGCCACCCTTTCAAAATAACGTCGTTGTAGTTCCAGGTGTAATCCTTCATGAAGGAACGGCCTCCGAGACACCGAGGCATTAAGTGGTGTTAGCAATCCGGTTATCTGGTGTTATATTATTATTTTGGTTATTTGGTCTTCAGCATCTGTCGTCATTAGTGGAAAGATAGTAAAGGTACAGTAAACACCCGTATATAAGAACAAATGGATTAAGAACACCAGGCTGAAGTTTAGCCAATAAAGCCCCATTTTTACAAGAACAAGATCAGCCTGAAAATTGTAACATGTTCTTATAAAATGGAAAAAGTGTCGTAATTACAAAACATGTAAGTTTATGCTTGCTGTCAGATAACTTTATTTGTTGATATAATCAAATTACAGAATAATTGTTTATTTTGTTTTCCTAAAATATGCTAAATACAGGGTGTCCCAAAAGTTCCTTCCTCTGCTTTATAAGTCTGTATTCCAGTACGATTGGACTTGGTAAGCAAATCATTTCAACAGAAGGTGTGCCTTTCAATATAATTCACTATTTTCATACTTCTTGTGCCATCTTTTGACTCGAATATTCGATTTGTGTACTTCCGCGCAAAAGGTGCGCGTGCGCGAGTATATTTTCCAGCCACATATTTTTTGTATTTCATAGCCCGAACTGCTCTAACTCCTTCCTTGTTTCTTGTGAATATCACGAAAGATAAACCCCCTTAACACAAAAACGTTCAGCTGCGTGAGACCATAAGCCTGTATACTTCGATTTACTGGCTTATCTGTTGTAGAAATTTCTAAAAATCCCGTAAAATCCGAATGTTGGGTGGTAGAATGATCATAGAGAAATGAAGGTTATGAAGGCAAGGAACTAACTGGAAGACCAAAAGCCCTTAATAAGGCAGCTAAAATAGTTTTAAAGAAGGCTAGATGCAAATAGGAGACTCGACAAGGAAGCTCAGTCTCACATAGTTAGCAACCCAAATAAAAGGGTCATGAAAAGCTGTTTAAAATGTTTAAAATTAGAGGCCCCTGAGATGGCAAAAAAACCTCTGCTTAGTCTGCCAATTAACGCCCAGCTCGTTTCAAATTTGTAAAGAAGTACAAAAGCCTTGCTGTGGAAGGAAGCCGGGATGATTATCTTGTTTGTCTAAACTAACCAAATTTTGTTTGAGGGTTGAACTGGATCCTGCGCACCAGGTGATCAAAAAGCTCAAAATGGATCATTTGTGGGTCAACACGCTGTATCCCACTTCATGCCGCAACGGCTACAGAATGTGATAAAAAAACAAAAAGGGCATGCCAGTTACTGAAATTCTGAATACATGTACTTGATAGAGAAATAAACATGTTCTAGAAATTTCATGTAGAAATAAAGTTTTGATCAAAAGTTACAGTGCATGAAATTAGCGGATCGAACTCTTGGACACCCTGTATACCTCTAGCAACACGTTTTTGGATAGTATCACTAAATAAAAAATCAAGAACATTTTAAGAACATTTTGAGGCTGATTTGTCATTAAGCACCCGATAAATAAGAACTTAATCAGCCTGACCTCCAAAATGGTGTGTTCTTATATGCGGTTGTTTACTGTTTTCTAAATTTCATTAACGCAGGCTGGTTATGAAGAATTTGCCAGGTAATTAAGATCCATCAGAAACGGGGGGAGATTCGCAGTCCGCGCATTAAAATAACGGCTTAAGAGAACCAAAATAGCATGACTTATAAATTGACCAATAGAGTTCAGACAGATTTCAAAGCATTGCTAAAATTTTCTTCATATTTTTTTTTACTTGTGTTTACACAACGCAATTAGGTATTCTGATGACCCTTGCTTGGCTTCTCTTTGCTTTTGTTGGTTTATTTACGGCAAGATACATGCGTCAAGTTTGGGAACCAACAAAACTGCTAGGAGAAAAAGCTTGGTTTACGGTTAGTAATTATGGAAAAGATAATAACACTCAGAGTCTGACTTTAACATCTGATCTAGACTGGCACAGTAGAAACGCCTGAGAAATTAAAAGTAAGAAATTAACAAATTAATTATATTTTTATTCTGTTCAGAAGGGAAAGTTCTATTTCAGTCGAACTTTTTACCCTACGTTTAAACACACGACACAAACAACAGTGTTTATGTTTTACTGGTAAAACGTTAGCACGTCCAGTGTGAGTGTTTTCGGCAGCTTTATAAACGTTCCCGGAGTATTCCACAGGAATGCCAAAAAAACTATTTCGATTCTTTTTTTAAAACGTGTTGATTGAAAAATGTGGGAAAAAAAGTAGCCAGAATAACTAAGGCTGTTGAGATATAGTTTAGCAAAAAAAAAAGGCCTGTTTACGCGGAGGTGGGGGACCCCAGGTAGGTGAGGTAATCTACTTAGGTGGGGAACCTACCTGGGGTCCCCCACCTCTATGTGAAGAGGCCCTAATAGCCTCTCGCTATAGAAAAGAAATAAATTGTAATGTTGGTTTTCAATGGCACGCCATCAAAAATGAGGACGGGGCGTTAATTTGGTCTTATTTTCCGCATAACAATGATATGCAGTAACTGTATTTGTTTAGTTCGTTTTATTCGACGGGTTCATCGAACGCTGATGATTATAACATTGCTACTGACGATCACTGGAACCATTGTGATTTTTGTTTTTATAGATGGCTATTCATCGGTAAGTTTTTTCGTTATCGCTCTGGGCATAAAGAGATTCAGGAAGCCTTCATATGTACTACTACTACTACTACTACTACTACTACTACTACTACTACTACTACTACTACTACTACTACTACTACTACTACTACTACTACTACTACCACCACCACAACCACAACCACAACCACAACCACAACCACAACCACAACCACCACCAACAACCACAACAACCACCACCACCACCACCACCACCACCACCACAACCACAACCACAACCACCACCACAACCACCACCACAACCACCACCACCACCACCACCACTACTACACCACTACCACTACCACCACCACCACTACCACTACCACCACCACTACTACTACTACTACTACTACTACTATTACTACTGCTACTACAACAACAACAACAACAACAACTACTACTACTACTACTACTACTACCACTACCATTACCACTACCACTACCATTACCACTACCACTACCACTACCACTACCACTACCACTACCACTACCACCACCACTACCACTACCACTACCACTACTACTATGGTACTGCTACTGCTATTGCTACTGCTATTTTTATCCAGGATACCCTCAGTACAAAGTGCTGTTATCAAAGGGACCTGCTGACTAAGAGTTGAAACTAATAAATAAGAGTTACTAATTAAAAATAATCATGTAAAATAAATTAAATTAAAAAAAAGCAAACAGGCAATAAGGTAAAGCACCGTTTGAGACAACGATAGAAATTACAAGGAATAATCGTCCAAGGTTTTCCTAAATAAAACTCTAGAATTAATGAGTCCTCAACTTGAAAGCAATGAAAATACGGAAAATATAAAAACTACGGCCTGTAAAATCGTGTTCAGTGACCTTTCGCAGTTTTGCTGTTTTACCATTGTTTTTAAAGTGTTTAAAACGTTACGATGTGATCGTTGAAAATAATTCTTAAATGGAAAACATGCAGTACCATTAAGACAGTCAAATACAAAATAGCATGCTTTCTTTTGTAAAAAGTTGTCAATTATTAAAAATCGAAGATCACAGTTCTACGGACTGAATTTCGGGTAAATGTTTTCGAGGCTTCGTTTCCCAATGGAGTGGATCATGGGTTTAACAAGCATCATGTGACTTAATAGGGGTCATCAATTAAGTTACAGTGAATGCTTGCGCTGGCGTAGCCTTGACGAGAATGCGTCTGACATTTCGCGACGCCACCAAGATTCCGCCGCAAAATGAAACCAAGTGTCGGCTCTCGGGCTAGTTTTACAGTGCCTTCGCCTCTTGTTTGGTAATATACCGACGAAGAACCTATTGGCGAAGTTGCTGTCGCGAAGGAGGTTTGAAAATCCGATCTGAGCTTGAAATTTCTTTAAGAATATTCCACATTATATCAAACGCTTGAATTGTTTAATCTGATATTCAGACATTACGAAAGCTTCAGGTGCACTTTTAAACGGTTATACCTTTCAAATGCATGCATCAGTGTCTTTTTTGGACCCACATAAAGATGTTCGCTTGCGGGTATAAACACCAATCTCTGTTTTGATATTTCTTCATGTTTGATGAAAATTTTTTGATACCATCATTTCCTCCCTTTTATAACAGAGTGCAGAACCGCATCCATCTCTTGGTATCGTTACAATCGCATTAGCGCTTATTCAGCCGATCATGGCAGCATTCAGACCACACCCTGGAGAACCCAAGTAAGATTAAACTCTTTATACAGCTGCAACGATAAGAGATTAATCTCGAAGTTAATAACGCTTTATCAAAACTGAGGGGATTGAAGCCAGGAGCAAGAGACTACTGGCACCGTTCAAGATAAAACTGACAGCCACAGAATAAATGGACAACCGGCAATTGTCATTTGGCATAGGTTAACGGATGCCCCATTTTCACTCCTGCCAATCTTTTTATTTTCCGCCAGTCGCCATGTCGCCATGTCACACATATGGCAAAACATCTTTCTCGTGATCTTATGATACTAATTATAACAACAATTGTTATTATTATTGTTAGTACTATTATTATCATTATTATTATTAGTGTGAAATTTCACAGTGTGTCAGCAACGAAAGGATGGACGAATGGTGATAAATTAACCAAAATGTCCTGTATCCACTTATTTAATGCATATTCTCGAACCCATGCATGCAATTCCACAGCCATGACTAACACAGAAGTCAGCCATAGAATAAATTATCTTGGTTATATAATGTTGCAGTTATATTCTGTAATTAGGCAGTTACAATTTAATGCGAGCTCCGCTCTTAGGCGTCTCTAAGTAACCACAATGGACAGTCAACTCTTTCTTAGCCAACTGGAATACCCATACCAGGAATGTAGTTGATTATACATGAAGCACATGTAGCTTCTTGTAATATCACTGAAACATTATCTTCAGTTCTCACTTCATAACAGAAGCTCTTTATTTTTATAGGCGCGAAATTTTCAACTGGTGTCACAGAATTGTCGGCATTGGTGCTCTTGTTATGGCAAGTAAGTGTTTTAAAGAGTATAAAATGTATTATTATTATTATTATTATTATTACATTATTATTATTATTGTTATTGTATAACTTGTAATAAATCCAGAGACGCAACTTATGCATCTGCTTAAAGAAAGCGTGAAAAGATTCAGGGTTGCCGGAGTGCCGGTATTCTGCGGAGATAGCAGTGCGGTGCTTTAGCCAATTGAGCTAGCAAGCCAACTGGGAACTGAACATAATATTGTTTCTTTATGGAAGCTGACATTTCGCAATTCCAATCCGATTAGGGATTTGGGTCGGCCGGCGCCCACACAAACCGAGTGACCATTCTTATTTTTGACTTAGAGAGATGTAAGGGAATATCTTGTGATATCACAGTCAAAATAGTCTGTCTGAAAGAAAGGCGAATTTAAACGATTTGAAGCGTTTGCGAAGGACGTTTACGTGAGTTTAACCTGTTCCAGGCCCTCGGATGGTAGGGGTGACGCGAAAGTGAAAGGCACGCGAAAATATGAGCGCGTGGTATAGGAAAAGAGGGATAGTAGCGGGTTTTATATTCGTGTTCGGGCTTTCCTCAATTTCGTGGACCCGACTATCTCGGAACCTAGAAGAGGCTAGTTTACAGTAAAAGTGGTAGCTTGCTATACATGAGAGGAGAGGGTCTTCACCAAGAAATGCCATTTGCATAGCCGTCTACTAGACATGCTAAAAGCCAGAAGATTTTTCTCGTACAATTATGATACAAATCTGTCTAAAACACGAAGCAATCGAAGCAATCGAGGTTCAAGGGAGCTACGGCTGGATTTATTAGTGTCGACCTCTAACGATTACTCATTTTGTTCCCTTCTGATGTGATTGTAGCAAGTTTTGCCCTCCTGTAAATTTGTCCGATGGGAGGGGAGGCAGGAGCAAAAACGTCAGCGAAACGGAAGGCTGAACGTTCGGTTTTTCATTTTTGTTTTACAGTTGTAACAATCGACTACGGACTGGCAACGGAAAAGGTCGGATTGGGAAAGGAAGGTTTCCGGGCTATTATAGCTTTTATTATCGGAATTGGGCTAATAATTATGTTTGAGTTTTATTTATTCATCACCAAAATAAACAAGGAGAAGAGAACCTTTTCATCGAACAATAGCAGAGGTAACAGGTTACAATTCTTTTGTAAAAAAAGCATTTACTTTGACAACCAGAAAACCTTGGGTGGTTGAACTAGGCTTGTATCCTGGTAACCATGGTTTAACAAAGCTTTTGCTTGCCTCCAATGTCCTTGCAATGAAAGCTTACGCCGTAGTCGCTAGCTCATTGTATAGCTTACCTTTAGGGTGCGAAAGTGTTTCCCGAAGCTCCGAGTAATTTAGAACAGCATCATAAGATTCTTACCTGTCTTTCCATACGTTAACCCTAGCCTCATTCATTCATTAACTCACTGTATGAGGAAACAGTATAAAGTACCATAGGTGACGCGCGACTCTTGTGCTGGACGCGCCGGTGTCGCGTTATAGGCGTCTGTTGAAGATAAGAGACCTTGTATGAGAAATAAAATACTGAGATCTGGGAACGCTAAATAACGTTAAATCTAGTTTTCCCTTCAATGAAATGAATAAATAGGACGTACCTGCGATGTATTCCACTGTTTTGGTGTCTGGTTGTCGTTTTACTGCTTTTCTTGGTTTTACTGCTTAACCACTGTTACTCCCTTCATAAGACATAGTGAAGGCTGGTCATTTCGATACGGCAGGGTCCTGGACCAACAAGAATGCCATATTTTCGCCGAAATTCAAATCCACTGCAATTTTTTTTAGCTCCTGGCCAAGATGGAAACCTCTTCTTCTTCTTTGGGAGATCGGCTTGAAAAACTTTCGAAATTTCTCCGTAAAATCGAGCCATTTGTGCCGGCCTTCGAGGCACGTATGGCTTTCGTCCAGTACCTGTGACCACGCGCTTATTAGCTAATTTACACTTGAAATTGGACACGTCGCCAGGGTGAGAATTAGCACTTACAATTTGCTGTGGATTTGAATTTCGGCGAAAATACGGCGTTCGTGTTGCGAAAGGTCCAGGACCCTGCCAGATGGAAATGACCAGCCCTCACTTCGTCTTATTGAGGGACTAACAGTGGTTATGCAAGAAAGCCAAGCAAGAAACCAATCAGACACCAAAACACAGTGGAATACATCGCAGGTACATCCTATTTATTATTTCATTGAAGGGAAAATTAGATTTAACGTTATTTAGCGTTCCCAGATCTCAGTATTTTATTTCTCATACAAGGTCTCTTATCTTCAACAGACGCCTATAACGCGACACCGGCGCGTCCAGCACAGAAGTCAAGCGTCCCCTATGGTACTTTAAACTCTTTCCTTGTAACGTGAGTTTGGGGCCACCTGTGATAAGCTCCTAGCATTTTAGCTTTCAGTCTCGTCAAGCGAGTAGCTGGACTTGCTCTTGCATACGTAATACTTTTTCCTAGCCTCCCACGCCGACGTTCTTAGGGGTTCGTCACGCGTTCCTGCCCCACAAACGTCTGCTGAAACGAGGGGTTAAATTCCTTTCCCACTGTTTGCAAATATCAGCTGGAGCTCACGTGCTGACTATCGGAGAACCAATCGGCGCTATTGAAGTCAAAAGTGTTGACAAGCCAAACACAATGTACCAGCTCTGTAGAGTGCGATACGTGACCAAAGAGTTTTGCTCCCGACAAGAATGTAGGAGATATGGTTTGGCTTTTTGTACATTTCTCTCTGTTTGAAGGCGTGTGAGTTAACTGAGCAGTTTCTTCTAACCATTCACGAGACCTTTCTGTTCTGATCTTTTCTGAAGTCTCGCGGGAAATTTCTTAAGGTCCAAAATGCACTTCCCAGATCTTGAAGTGTGCTGTGATTGGTCTACGTTTCTTCCCTCTCGTTTCGGCAATTGTTTACAGTGGGACAGGGACGCGTGCCGAGCCTCTAACAACGTCTGCGAGGGAGGCTAACTTTTCTCCGCCCTCCCACCCAACCAAAAGCTTTTTATTTACTCGCTATGCTTGTCACAGCGAGTTGTCCATTTTATTTGTATTTATTTTAATGTAATATGTAGGGCTATCCCTCGAGACATCGCTAATATAAAGGGATAGGCTCTGCCTCCCTGCCACCCAACTTTTACCAAATTATGATAATGAATATATTTCAAAAAACTTGAAACAAAAAGTCAGACCGCGAGCGGTCGTCCTTCTTTCCTCATTGCCATACGCGGCGAGCGAAGAACTGTGTTTTTCTTCCATAGTTTCACCAACTTTGCAGGGATGGGGAGAGGAGAAAACATTGCCACACTTAGTCATTCAGCTCTTTTACCTGAAATGTAAATATTGTTTCCATAACTTCCTTCTCTTATCCCCTCTTATGATAATCGGCCCTTAGGGACTCATTGATAATCATTAATGGCATTCACTTCATGTCACTCTTTTTAAACGTAACTCTATTTGCAGACATCCAAATGGAACCGACAGGACAACAGACCGTCCAGGAGCATCCTAAAATGTCGATCAAGGTTAATAGGAATTTACACTATAGGCATTTTCTTCAGGGCATAGCTAATATAGGGGAATGGTTACGAAGCCCGTCAGACTCCTTTAATATATGTTTTTGCGGACTTCACGCTGCACAAATTTTAAGCCATTAAAGCGAATAGCACTCCGATTATTTCGATCTTATTGACCATTTAAAATTTTAACGTTGCGTTTACTGCTGGTTTTCAGTGTCACCTCATTCAAAGTAGATCAAAACAAAAATCAAAACCATTTAACAGATAAAGTCCCGAATCTGGGAAATGAAAGGAGGTAAATATACAAAGACCCTCGCCAAGATCTGGGTCGAAGGAATAATTCGTGTACGAGATGTCCAACAAGGAAATGTTTTACCCAAATTTATAGAGCTTTGTATGGAGATGCCATGCTGGAGCTCATCCGGATGAGCTCCAACATGGCGGACGGAAACCAACACAAACATCTGTCACCGAGTTTTGCTACAAAAGCGTGAATTTACTCCTAGAGGAACTCATAAACATTAAAGTAATACTTTTTCTAATACTTGAACTGTTTAGATAGCAAAATTCCTCGAAAAAAGTCACCTTTTTAAGCCTAAATGACCGCCTTCTCGGCCGTCATGTAAATGCTGCGTCACGCAAAAGCTTAGAAATTCAAGCGTACTCTATTACTACCAAGAACCCTTTTGAAGCGAAAATTTGTTTGAAAATTAGCTTTCAGCTGCTCTAATACACCATGAGGGTAAAATCTCAGTAGGATCGATAGTTTTGTAGTTTGAATTTTAGTGACGTCATCTGAAACCAACAATTCATCCCGTCACAATTTCTAAACAACAAAGGGTTGTGCACGGTCAGGGAGCTTCCATAACAAACAACAGAAACGTTGTTTTCATCTTTGATGCTTGCCGCGTTTCATAACCAGGGTCCTCTACTATCTAAGTTCACTAAAACAATAATAACGTCGAAAAACATATAACTTCCTTATGTTAGGAAGGTGCTATAAGCCTCGGCCGAAAGAAGGGGATCAAAAGCAAAATTAAAAAGGCAAATATTTGATGGAACACTTAATAACCTGACTTCAACAAATTTCTATCATGCATTTTTCATCTATTTATTTTTATACTTCCATTATACAATAAGGAAGCAATGCTCAGAAGCTTGATGTTTACTTTGGTTGTCCTTCTTGGAGCAGCTGTGGCGCTGACCATAATCCTTCTTATGGTGTTAAAATAATTGCAATAAGGTGAGCGTGGGGTATAATGTGAAGGAATTTTTTTCATGACGCTGCTTCTTTTAAAATATCGCATTTGAAAATGCAAGGAGAGCTGATGCTACACATATTTGTTTTAATTTGTTTAGCTATAATGTTGAAAGTAACTTTGAAGGTTATACATAACGAGCAAAGTCACCAAATTGCAAAATTTGAGAGCTAGGTTAAGCATCAGTACCTGCTACAATTCTAAAACCGGTAAATATGCAGGTTCAAATGCAGAGACCGCGAGTTTTGGCCTGGTTTAAACTTAGATATAGATTAATTTACAAACCCAAATGTGAATCGAGCGACGGATAAATAAATAAATAAATAAATAAGAAAAACAAAGATTTTTTTATTCTATTCTTATTTTTCTCAAGAGAATTATCCGGCATCAGTAATTAAACTGAATTACTGATGCCGGATAACTTCTTGAGTCCACTATTCATCTTTCTTACACAATTTCTCACTTTCTTTCTTACTATGTTTTTTTCCAGGCAATGTGTCATATCACTGCCATTTATGTCAAAGTGTGGAGGAAATACCAGCGTTAAATTCCAACGACGAGAAAAGATACTTTTTCGAAACATTGGTCTTAGCTTTATATTCTTTTTAATCTACGAAAGTATTTTCCTGCAATAGGACGCAGTATGTTAAACTGTCAGCGGATTCATTTTATGTCATCCAAAAAACTGCGATATTGTACGACCAGTATGACTGACAGGGCCCCTAAACGTCCTTGAGCAGTATTTTTATTTGGAGCATTTTTTTAGTTTTTTTTTTTTTTGGGGGGGGGAATTTTTCGAAACACTGTCAAAACCGCTCTTGCCTAGATTGTCTTCGGTAAAATTAGCGTTGAATGAATAGGCAAGCGTTTACTTAAAATAAAACATTTCAAACTAAGCTGAAAACTCCCAAAAAATCCCAAAAATCAAGAATTAAATAGTTTTTCTTTTCTGTTATTTATAATTTTTATTTAACATTTTAACTCTTTTCAAACTTTACTTACCTAAATTTTGTTGCTTAAATTTGAAGGTCGTGTGATGATCATTTCGCTGGGCAAGGTCTGTTGGCCTAGAAAATGAAACCTGTACTTGACACTCTCTGCCTGTGCATTTTTGGTTGAAGTTACAAAATGATTTAAACAAGGATGAAGCGCTATGAAATACCAAAATACGCAAAAAATGTATAGTTACTTTTCGTTGGTCCGATATTATTAAATCGCGATCACGTACCAATTGCGTGGTACGCAGCTTCGTTACCTTTTAATTGATTAATCCTGTGCGAAATTTCTGACCATATGCCTTTCTCCGTAATTGTTACGTCACATTTTAGTTCCTTAAACGAGGGGATATCTTTACAATATAAATCGAAAAAAAAAAATTTGTTGCCAACAAGAGTGGAGAGTGTTTTTTAAATTATGCCGTGCAAGGTGGAATAGATCTACAACTGACAGCAACAGCAAGCTGTGAATAACAATTATTACTAAAATCCAACTAGTGGTCTATTATCAATGCTGCGTTATGATTGGTTGTGCTACTATTAGGCTATATATTAGATACTACTAGGCTATATATTAGTTGACCACTAGTAGCAAAAAGCGCGGGCTTTTTGGCTGCAAAAGAGGATTAAAGTCTAGCTTTAACTAGCCAGAATTTTTTTATTCTCAATATTTTTGACCAACTAGTTGGATTTTACTAAAACAATTATTCCTCTCGCTCTCATAGATCATGGCCTCTGAGTCAATAGCCCATCATGGGCTATTGATTCATAGCCCATTCGGGCTCGAGGAATAATTGTTAAAGATGCCGACATTATTTTGCTTACAATATTTCTGTCGTTTTAATTTCGACAGCAGGTTCACCACTTAAACCTTTCTTTTTCTTATGCGCGGAACAAGCAAAAGTAAATAAAAAAAGTTGTTAAATCATATCACAAAAAAAAAAACTCACTTGTCTTGCTTTTCTAGCTTTTAGAAGCTTCTCTTTAATGGTTAAGAAAAATCAAACGCCGAGTGCATCAATTGCTACTGTATTATAATACGAACATAAGATTGCACTCTTCTTTTCTGCCTTTGTGTTTTCCTATTAATCATTAGCTTGCTACATACCCCTTGAGGTAGCCTGTGTACAGACGTCCCCACTCCCTCAGGAAAAATCGGGAGAGGAGACGTCTGTGAATCGCCGTCGTTAATCGTGTTCCGGTATACATTTGCATAAATTATTTTTTTGTTCTATCGCTGACAGTTGAAAAGGCACAGGTGGGTCGAAAAAATAGCTCTGGCGTCTGTGAACAGGCTAGTTGAACATCTTCACGCAATGTCCACCCAAAAATCCAGATATAAGATCTCTGATTACAGTCAAGCCAGGTCAAGCGTACCTCCCAAGATCCATTAATGTATTTATTATTCGAAATTAAGTTGAGCCGTTGGTAGTTGTAGCTTTCAGATCCATCTCCGTGTGCATTTTTGCATGCGTAATGAGCCGTGAATTCACACGCGATTTAGTTACGAAATTTCTACCAGCTCAGTTTCCCTGAATTTGATGCAAATGTCTTCTAAGACATTTAATCCATTCAAAGATTTTCAATCTGACCAAATGCAAAGAAGTTCTCTTAAAATATTCACTGCTCATTACGCATACAGGAATGCCGATTTAAATTTGACACCAGTTACGGGAACGACTAACGGATTCATTTTTTCAAATAATCAATTCATTAATAAAATCTTTTTGGGGTAAGCTTGACCTGCCTTGGCTGTTAACGTTGAATTTTGTATGCCTTCTCTTTTATTTACAATACCGACCGGTACAGACAGACGCATCCGCAACCGGTACAGCAAACATCGGTGGTCTTAACTTCCCATGCCTTTTCGAGAAAGACGAAATACAAATACCGGTAAACAAATATGAATGTCCACAAAGGCTGAGCTTTTCCCCGGGGAATCTATTCTGAGGTTTATTCACCAATCACAACACCGGAAATTATTTGCGTCATGGCATTAACATTACAACCAATCAGAGGCTGTCCCCAACATTCCGGGGAAACGGGAACACGACTATCTTCGGCGATTCACAAACGTCTCCTCTCCCGATTTTTCCTGAGGGAGTGGGAACGTCTGTACAAAGGCTACCCTTGAGGCTTTTGACCCCATATTAAGTTATATTGGTTTTGCTACGAGGAAGCAAATTGACGCATAAATCGTCATTTGAATAGTTTAAGACTTCACAAAATTAGCCAGAACGTTACGTTTTTGTATAGGTAAGATATATTGGGCAATATCGAATCAGTGTTAGTCAGACTGGGTTTGATCTCCACTATGAAGATGAAGATTAACACTACAAAAAATCGCGGTGAGTACATCGATAACTAAAACTTGCAGAAGCGGTTATTATGAATCAAGGTTTTCGTGGAGATACTATTTAAAAAAAAAAGTAATAAACTTAGGCCATTTTAAAGTTGAGGCCTCAGAAATCATGAGGGGCTGCTGGCCACGTAAAGCAACTTGAGATAGAAAGATTAGATAGTACGATTGCACATTGTTACAGTCATAACTCGGTCTAAAGCACTTGAAAGTACAGCCAAACGCAAAGAGACCACGGGCCTTCAGTCTTTCAGAACGCAGGGATCGCGGATTGTAGAATGCTCCACTTAATCGTAAGACGTATTATGCATTGGACCTAGGGTACGGTGCCAACATTTGTGTTATTTCGTAGTTTCTCAGGTGCTCTTTATTCATCCAAATTCGACTCAGGGGGAAGTACATTTTCAGGACTCTCAGTAAACTGGAAACCGACTTCCCGTTTTCCTGTAATTTTCATTTAGTGAGACGGAAACAAACTTTGAAGTAAATTGACTGGTTCGATGAATTATTAATTGTAAAAATGAAGGCAAAGGTGTATGCGAGCCACGAGGCCTCCTTGCTCCTCCGCTCCAATATAGGAGGAATTTATTTATTCAGTGTCAAAGATGGAGGCACGATTTTAAACGAGAGAGTTTACACAGGAAAAAGTGAATTGTGATACTCATCATAGATCGTTTGCTACACCCCATATAAATCCTTTAATTCAAACGATTGTAATCATTTTCCATAGTAGCTGTAAGTACTTTCGTTATGTTAAAGTACCGTTTTCAATTAACAGCCAGAACACATAGAAAGATGGTTAAACCCTTAGGCGGTTTAAGATACGGGGAACCACAGAAGGTCACAATAAACCTAGAAATCAGTAAGACCTGACGAAGGCCTACTCTGGGACCCTAAGTCGCCGTAATTTCAGGCGATTTAAGACGACTTTAGGAGATATAAGCATTTAGATGAATTACATGTTAGTGTATATGTTGCAGTTAATTTTTTTTTATTTCAGTTAATTTTTGGTTTCCCTTTGTTCCAAATTCATTAGCATACTTATTAACCATACCCAGAAACAATGGAAAAATAAGAATTAACTTAAATAAAAATTTTGGTTAAAATAAGCGACAGGCATCACACGACTCCTACACTTAATCGTGTTGGAAGTTATATGGCCTTCAGAGCTCGCTCTAACTAGTAAGTCCTTAAGAAATTTTCCCTTGCGATAAGATATGAGAGGAGGCTCCTTTAAGATTTCTCTTAGTCGTTGCTGGTTTTGTACCAGGTGTCCTTTCTCCATTAGTATTCTCTTCAGCTTAGGTAAAGCCGGGTGGTATTGTGTAACCAAAGGTAGAGGTTTTTTTGCGTGCGGATTTGTTTCTTTGTTGTAGGGCTGTTTTCCCGTCAGCAAATTTTACCTTACAGAGGTATTTTCTTAAAATAGCGGCAGGGTAGCCTCTTTCTAACAGGCGGTTTTGAAAATTTCTAGTATTCCTCTCAAATGAAATCTGCGAGGAATTAGTCCTTAGAGGCCTGAGCCCTTCTCCTTTAATGAAGCCTTTTTTCACGCCTGGTGGGTGACACGAGTAGAAGTTCGTGTACTGGAATGTTTCTGTTGGTTTGTGATGTGTTTGC